TAGTATTATATTTATCATTTTTCATGTAGCTATTTGTAACCCGAACGTCGGTCGTTCTTTCTGGGCTGTTCACTCTCGAGATACTAGAAGGGGTTCAAAGGGCTAGACTGACCTCATCCTTATCTGGACATATCATCTCTAAATCGGGGCTCCGGGGCCCGCGCCTGGAAGCCTGAAAGTCACGGTCTATAAGCAGCTGCGGGACCTACGAGCCGATACAACAAGATTGCTTGAGCGCCTGGCTCACTGTAGTTCCACCGAAAATACTAGTTCAGTGAGTTCTCCTTTTACATACAATATACAGGAAAAACTGTTTTCAAGTCATTCCCCGAGTTATACTCAAAGATCTTTGTGTGCTGGGTTGTCGATCTCAGTGCAGAAGTTATCGGGAGAGGTTCTTAGGACATGCAAGTTATTCACTGCATTGCGCCAGGTCAAGATCCATGTATTAGATGCTTCAAAGGGTATTGAGAGCAGGGTACAATGTGTGACATTATGCCGTGGAGCAGATGCTTTCGTTTAAAAGAACAGGGTGTTAACAGTTGGAGTCGTTTGTATACCAGAAATTATATACATCAGTAAGATCAGAGGAATTATCCAATAAATTTCTTCCTAGAGTGTCATATTTCCTAGGCCCCGATGTCTAATCATGCACAAGATTTGCACCAATCTACAGCATCTTTTCTTGCTGCGAATAAAAGGCCAGATTTCATTTGATGTCTAACATCACAGGTGCTCCTTTAGCCCTAGAAAATAGTCAGCTGAAATCGAGCTCGGCTGTGATTTGCCATCTCTAGAGACAGTAAGAGATGTCTGCTCCGATTGATATTCCATTCTTTTTGTCAATAGTTGCTGTTAACAATATTATTTTTCCTGAGCCTAGCCATGATGATAGAACAACCAAATTATCCTCACACCCCCCAAACGGCTCGTGTCATTCGATTCATATTAACAAAGTATAGTCGGTTGCTCTCACTTCCCTGAGTATCCTAAGCGCTCAGGATATGCCCTTGTAGTACTAATGACTAACCGGTGCTCGTATATATGCTGCTACGCACAGTCACTTGAGAATGGACTTTTGGCAATAATTTTTCCCTACTATTCTGGACATATTGGTATGTCCTGGAGATTGTGCTGTCTGAATGCCTGCCACCTTCCCTTTTGAAACTCCAACGCCGCGGCTTCCCTGTAGAGATCTCAAGAGTGATAAAATCCAGATTGTATCCCCATGAAATTTCTTCCCTTTCCCTCCCCATGTATTTGAGTCGTTAATTATGCCTTATACATTCTTTCGTCGTTTTCCAGTGCTGAGGCACCTTTACTATCATCCCGCCCACCGCGAGTGGGTGGGGACGATCATCGGCGGAGCGGCAACATGGTCTAAAATGAGGGAGCGAGCTGAACGTGGCCGGCCTCAAACACCTCAGGTGCCTCGAACACCTGAGGTGGTCAATAGATCGCCGCTGAGTGATCTAACGCCGGAAGAGTTGATGCTTCTTTGCGTTGGATGAGTTCACTGCGGTGGGACAACACCAAGGTGCGCTTGCGATTAAGGCGGTTACAGGAGCCATAGGGGCCTGTATTCCGGTGGACATCGTCACTCGCTTGTGAAGGCGGTTGCAGGAGCCATAGGGGCCTGCTTCTCGGCTGATCAGGTTCGCTGGTGCCCATGGTGCTTCGTTGTCCAGTACTTCGCGATCTATTTTGCTTTCTTGCTTTTGGGTGGGTGGGTGGGCTCGCTCCTTGCTTTAGCTTAGTTCTAGTTTAGTTTTAGCTTAGTTTTCTATCATTTAAAAGACAGAAAAAAAAAAAAGAAAAGAAAAGAAAAAAAGAAAAAAAAAAAGAAACCGGGCCCGGTGGATGGGTGGTTGGGTCGGGCTTGGGAAACCTGAGAAGTGCGATTCACGGTGAGAGTATCTACATCATCCAGCAGCTTGACTCACTAACCATGTTCATATGTACCTTTCCCATTATCACGGCGACAGCTACTCCATCAACTCCAGCATATGGGGGTTTCGATTCCTTGTCCGACTTTGTTCCATCCCCGAGCGTGATACATCAACACCGCCTCTGCCCTAACCACAATGAGCTCCGCCAAACCATAAGTCAACCAGCCAGGACCAGTCAGTATCAAATACCCTCTCCAGGCGACTATCACCTGTGCAGTTGCTGATTGACAGGGTTGTGGATAGGAAGACGGATGAAAACTGCCGAGCTTGTTGCACCATTCTGGGACAAACTGGCAGGGATGGCCGGAGTGATCCCTCGGACACGCTACAGATTACCTAGGTCAGCACATCCCTATACCTCTCGGAGGGTCTTGGAGGCCTGGGCTCGCCCAGAAGCCCCGTAGACGCTAAGCAATAGTACTACTACTTACCCTGTGCATAGTTGAACTAACTCCCATTAGTGGCCCCATAACAAACCGAGGCTCTAACAGCATGAGGCTCACCCGCAAATTCTCCGGTGGAACACCAAGCCAGCGCACTGACATCCAACGGCACAACAAGACGACGGAAAAACTAACCCCGCAACTTCGGGGTAACAGCAACCGATGGCGTCTTGGCTCCCCATATATTACCAAACAAATGTTAGATTAAATCCCAGGGCCCAGCGACAAATCACCAGCAATTGGCAAAAATGTTGGGAATCAGGACACTGTCACTTCTGCTGTACGGCGCAGTCGCGCAGAGCAAATATATCGTGCCCGGGGGCCGATGGCTCGACACGGATCGTCATCTGGCGAACGCGCATGCGGGATGCATTACCTTTGACGAGGGCACGGGGAGATTCTGGTGGTTTGGAGAATACAAGACAGAAGGGCAGGAGGAGGGCGGTGGAGTCTCGGTGTATAGTTCGGAGGATTTGGCGACCTGGGAATCGCATGGGTTGGCATTGGGTATGGGTGACTGTCACTGTTGTGATTATATGGGTTACTGATGATATGTTTCGCATAGAGCCGGTGCAGAACCATTCGTATATCTCCCCGGAGAATGTGATCCAGCGACCCAAGGTTGTGTATAGTGAGGAGGCTGGACAGTATCATGTGAGTGGGTCTCCTGGGCTATGAGATGTGTATGCTAATGTCGTCGCAGATGTTCTGGCATGCGGATAACTCGTCGTATGGATTATTGCTCCAGGGACTTGCCACGTCGGATACTCCCGCCGGTCCCTATACCTTTGTCAATGTCACGGCGCCGATGGGCAATTGGTCGCAGGATTATGGGCTATTTACGGACTACAAGGATGGACGATCGTATGCTCTTTACTCCAACGGCGATAGCCAGGAGGGTCGCGATGTCTATATTTCTCGGTACAACGAGGAGGTCTCGGAGCTGGAAGAGGTGGTCTATCGATTCGATAAGTTCGATCTCGAGGCGCCTACCATTATCCAGACGGACGACAGTTATTACGCGTTGATGAGCCATAAGACTGGATATAGACCGAACAGTGAGTGAAATTGTCCTTTCTGGGCAACTGAGGCTAACTAGACAGATGTCGTTGCGTTCCGGGCTGATTCGCTGGAGGGTCCTTGGTCCCAGCCGTTCATGGTGGCACCCCTTAACACGCGCACATTCAACTCTCAATCCGGGTATTCATTGAAGATTAAAGGCTCTAAGAAGACTACATATCTTTACATTGGTGACCAGGTACGGTGTTAGTAGCCTTCCCACGCGTGTCTTTACTAACATAGAAAAGTGGGACTCGAACTCGCTTTGGGAGAGTCGTTACATATGGCTCCCCATGGAGATTGACGACAAGAAGAAAACGCTAGAGCTGGTTTGGAACGATGTCTACGACCTCAATGTGTACGTTTACCAATCTTGCCCGAAGATATACCAACTGACACCCCATAGCAAAACCGGAGAGTGGAAACCAGTCAAAGGGAAGACTTACTATGGAAAAGATGCAAAGACTTCCGGAGATGCTTTCAAGCAGGAGGCAGTGAGTACCATTTCACTCCTCCTGACAGTCCACTCACTAACTCCATAGAACTTCGCGAGCGACAACACCATTTTAACCGGAATCTACGGCAACGACAGTACAGTTACGTTCGAATGCATTGAAGGCACAGGCAAGCCGCAGTGGGTGTCATTCTACTACCAGAGTAAGTCCCGTTACTTGGTTGGAAAGAGTCGCACTAATAGCCTTCAATAGACACTGACGATATGGGATTCGGAGACCAACGTAAGCTCTATTTTCGTCTTCTCTCTTGATCTTGCTAACGAAATGTCCAGCCGGCGGATCCCCTGACCGCATCGGAGGGGCATGGCAGCTCCGACGCATTAGCAGCGTCGTTGTCAACGGTGACACTTCCAACGTTCAGACGCTCTATCAGCGAGATACTCACAAGAGCATCATCCTCTCCACTCCATTGCAGTTGACTCTTGAGAAGGGAAAGAAAAACACTATCACGATTGGTGGGCTTTACAACGGATTTGACTACAAGGGAGCAGACCTGGACCGGATCGTGGTGTATCCTCCGGAGGAATAGGCTTGCCGTTGCACTATATATTTGATACTATAGTCAACCATGGATGAGAATAATTGACGGCTTCACTCAATTGAATCTCGTTCCATTATGGAAGTTTTTGGTACTGAAATGACATTCTAGTACAACGTACGAACATCATAATTCGCACTATAGCGCAAGTCGGGATTGAGGATCAACCTGAATGACCGGGGGTGGGGATTTCTAGTTCACTGAATCTATGAGGAATAACGAAAAAGAGGAAGGCATGTGTATAGTTAGAAGGACGGACCCTTGTCAAGTGAGACGTTCTCCCACCAACCTGTACGGGGATAACGGAACCTAGTATAGGGCGCAGATATACTCGTAAGTGTGGAGCCGCCTTTATGAGATCCAGAAGATTGAAAGAAAAGTACGACACGCATTGATCTAAGAAATGATAAGTAGGATAAGCTTTCAGAGGAAAAAAGAGAGATCACAGCAAAATAGTATCACACATACGACCGACGTACAGACATCACGTTTCATTTCAGGCCTCTTCCAACTCTACTGTCAAAACCCCATCTCTCCACGAGTCCTCCCACTCTAGCCACCGTTGTGCCAGGTAGCATTTTCGCTCTTCCCACGGCAAGCGATATGGTAGAGGAGATGCCCATTTATCTCTTGTTTGTATGATAGAATGAGCAAGAGCATTCCGCTGCTCCAAATGCCAAGTCATAGTGGGATCCAGCTGTGCCGTCATTTTCTCGGTGAGCAGGGCCTGCGTTGCGAAGGCCTGTGCCTCTGCTTCACTAACAGCACACTCTGCCTCATCCGGAGAAAGAGTTGCTGTAACGCGGCTTATATACATGATGACATATAGCAGGAATCCGCGAAGTCTGACTCGAACAGTAGATTCGGCGCACACTGGGAGGTCAAAGAGAGAAGGTGGATATGGCGGCCTCTGTTGGTAGCGAATGTGGCTCTCATGCAATGTTGTGTGCATTTTGTTCGTTCGCTCAAGGATATTCCAGCTCTTCGCCAGGTATTGGGAGTGTCCTAGTGTATTGCTGAATAAAACCCTCATATCTCTCAATATACCCGGCATGAAACTGATTGCCCCGAAGAATTCCCACCAGAGACTGGAGTCAGCGTCCGTTTCTGCCTTGGATGCATGTGCGAAGAACCGCTGCCACCCCAAATCTTCGAATATTGAGGCTTGCTTCCGATACATTTCGTCTACCAGCTGCAGGAGAAATCAGTTGTTTCATCTTTGTAGTGGGTGAGATATACCCAACAACGTGTACAACGCGGAGGGAGAGAAGGGGACGAACAATGGATGGACCTTGGCTTCTCAAAAGCAACCAGTCAAACTCAGATTTATGGTTCTCGGGCCCCCTAAGCTCGACTAGTTTAATTCCGCCCCGGTTATGGTGGATCCAGTGATTTGCGTCAGGCAGGCCAATTAACTAGTGTTACTGTTTGTAACCAGTGACGCAATATATATAACGAATTCTTACCTCGTAAATGGCTAGAAGTCTTGTTGCGCAGTAGACATCCGCTTCCAGGTACTGCGTTTTATCCTCAATCGCAGCCTGAAGGCTGTTCAGAGCCTTTACGTATAACGCAGGTAGCGTCGATGCACGAGTTGGGAAGCCAAGCATTTGACCGGCTCGAGCAGCCACGCAATGTATTGCATCATCAAGACATTGGTTAGACCCATATCGACTTGGAAGATAGGACAGAAAGGATGATGATCGCTTGTGCAAAAGGCTAACGAGGCGGGCTGGTTGGTCTCTCAGCGACAGGTAAGCAATTTTGCCGAGGTCTACATCTGTAAAGCTAGCGAGATCGGTAACGTCAAAGTTATACTTAACCCTGAGCGTCTCGTATCCGTTGTACGATGGCTGCGGTAAAGGTGCAGGATGTGGTATATTGGCTAGGATCATGCGCGGGCAGCCGTTGTCCTCCATAACCAGTACGAGGCCTGTGGGACCAGCTTTGACAGGGACCAATCCCTCTTTGGACTCGGCCTCATCAAGGCCCCTTTCACCCATGCTTCCGTCCCGACGCGTCTGCAGCCCGACCTTGCAGCCTGCCGTCTGATCATGACCCTTACATCCTTACCCTGTGGCCCAGGAGGTAAATTATCCGCGGTATCCACGAAAACGAAGGCGGGCCCCTCCTGGGCGCGGCATCTGGGCTTTTTGAAGGGCAACCTGGGGCGCATCCCTGCTCGGTTCGTGGTCGGCAGCTTTATTGTAGGGTGGATAGATGAGGATGTCACGTAAGTTTGGAGATAATATTCCCGTGTGCCTATCCTCCTTTACGGTACAGTGCAGTCTAGAACAGATTTGGCCTAGGCGCGGGGCTCTTCCATGTCCACCTTAAATCAGCCTACGTGATGCCCTACCATGACTATGTATTGTCCTTCTAATATATCAATAGAGCCATAACAGTAAGAATAAGTTAAATCTATCAGTGTATATATATGGACACCTTCCGATGGCCGTGGCCGTGTACCTGTGAAGAAGAATACCATACTTCACTGAGAAGAGCCAATTCAACTGCTCGGGGTGTGGGAAAAGAATAGGCCAAACGACTGTTCTAGACCACGGCTCTTGGCATGAAAAGCCGGGAAAGACGAGGCTATCATACAGTGGCCGTGCACTTGTGCATCAGGAAGGGATGGACCCATCTTTTGCCGAAAGTAGTAAACACTACGCCATAAAACCCTCCAAGCTCCGCTGATCTGCTCCTACTTCAGTTAGAAGTTGGCTGGTCAGTTTCCTCTCTTGATTTAGCTTCCCATTAGCCAGCCTGTTCGTCTTGAGCTGTCTAAAATCGGGGTGTCAGCTCGCGCCGGCAATCCCATAAGCTAAACCCGTGAGGAACCGTACGACACCTCTCGAAGTCTAGTTCAGCTATGTCAATATACTCCTCTGTTTTAATGGCAGTAATAGTTATAACTCTATTTTCCAGTATCAAGATTGTGTAGAACGAGTTGCCAAAATGCGAATGAAATCGTCGAGTAATTGTCGTCATCATGATTCGTCAGACTATTGACAGCTACCATGACTCCGGTATATAATTATATCGAAGTATGCAAAACATAAAAAGCCGAAGTGTTCTCATCAGCAGCAACAATCAGAGTCGTCACTCTTGCTATCTCCCATGCAACAGTCCCCACAGTCACAATCACAATCACAATCGCAATCGCAACAGTCAGAGCACCAACCATCATCGTCGCCACTATTTCCCCTGGTCTCCTGGGTATTCTCTTCAGGCCAATAACCCCCACCATTGCTATGCTCAGATTCGCTGCTATACTGGTCTTGGCCCCCGTCACTCTCTTCATCGTCGCTTTCCTCTCGCTCCTCCCTCTGAACCTGCTCATGAATCCACCTCTCTTCGTACCACTCCTCCACCAACATGGCGCCACCAGCACCCACAGCCGCTCCGGCCGCAGCACCTGCCAAAACCTTCTTCTTGTTCCCCTGCTTCTGTTGCTGCTGTTGCTGGCGCTTCATAGCCTGCAGCTCATGACCCATCCGGGCATTCTGCTGCTTCATCGCTGCATTCTGCTTGGCCATCTGTTTTTGCATCGCAGCATTGCTCTTTGCCATTTGCTGCTGCATCTGAGCATTTTGCTTGGCCATTTGCTTTTGCTGCGCATTACTCTGGCGATGCTGATTGGCAGCCTGGTGTTGCAACGCCGCAGAATGCTGGTTTATCTGAGCGCTGTTGCGGGCGATTTGCCGGCCTTGGACATTCTGCTGGTTTCTGAGGTGGGCAAGCTGTGGGCTGGAGCCATTGTGGTGCTGTGGCCGATATTGCATCTGCGGTGCTGCGCGAGGTTGATTCCCGCGCAGGTGGGCTGGGGCTGGGGGGTGTGGTTGCATGTGCTTGTTGGGAACGGGTTTGCGGCGAGTTTGGGCCATGGTTCTGAATGAGTTGAGTCCCAGACTGGTATGGAGTAATGAATTGCGTTGGTAGAGATTAGGATTTTGAGTAGTAAATGGCCTCTGTGCTCTCTACAACAAATATATATATACAAGCAGAATAGTGAGGAATCCGAATGAACACAAAGATCGACCCAAGTTACTAATTAAATCCCGATTTCCAATCATACTCGGCCATTACTTGCCAATTCAACATCCCCGAGCCTCAATATTCTAAAAGGATTCCTGATAGCCTTGCCGCTACAGACAGCCACCACCACCATTGGCGTTCGGGCCGCAAAAAGATAGGTGGAAAAACCGAACACGTTCACACAGGCTCATGTCTGCCAGTTCTCGGTATAGCAGAATCACAGCCTCGTCTCATGATACGAGGATGAGAGTCCTATCGAGAAGCTCGCAATGTAAGACCTAAGAACTGTTTTCTGGCTCAGTGTTTGCCCTTTTAGGAAATCAGATTATGCAGGCCCGCACGGGCTTTACTTGGCGCCCTTCAGAGCCCGAACAACCCTAACTAGCTTAACTAACGTTAATTGCCGGCCGTCTTAGCACGGTAGGCTTAGCCAATCACAACCTGTATAGCTGTTGACATATGCACCTAATCCAATCTGTCACAGGTGCGGCCGTGGGCGTGGCGGGTTCCTTGTTCAGCTGACGCTTAAACACCGCTTGTAGTATACACACTCTCAGTGGGGTGAGGTGGGCTTGAAGGAGTATATTCGAGACTCGGACGTTTGCCCGGACTCGGCTATGGTTGTTTTTATCGTTAGGAGGAGATCTAAATACAGGTGTCGTTTGTTACTGCCTTGTGATGCCGACAGATTAGGCTGAGTGCCGTTGATTATTTATACTATTGTTGGACGTTTAACTAATACCAGTTCCTCTTAAACCTGAAGGGTACTGGTTCGTCTTTGCTGACTAGCCCTAAAAATTAGGACTTTTCTCCTTGCCTACTTTCCTCGCCTACTTAATACCCCAGTGTCCAGATCTGTACACGAGCCATTGTGATATCCCCGCACTTGCAGAATAAGAAACCTTCGTCGCCGAAGTGCCCATAGAGTATCAACCTCCTGTATCCTGGTATATCAACTTTTGCCCAAAGGATAATCCTTCTGTCGAGGTCAGTCCGTGTCTAGAAATACCTCCACCAAAAGCCAAGTAAATACTAATCCCAAGCAGATATCTCCATCATACCCCCCTCAACAACAACGCAGGATATTATATACCATAGTCAACAAGATCATCACACCATGACTACCGACCCCCCCAACTACACCATCTTCGATGCACTCCTTGACTGGGGCTCCACAAACGCGCACCAAATCCACGAAGCGCACCTGTCCAAAGGCGGCTGGGAAGGCTGGGCGCAAGAAGAGATGCGGTTTCTCTTCAACGCCGGCCGCGAAGACAACTGCTACCAGAACAACGCACGCCAAGCGGCCGACATCGTGCTGACGCCGTACACATCGGGCGCGGCAGCCTTCGCCCAGCCATACGTCGACGAGGAATGCGTGGTGATCGAGCTGAAATGCGAGAGCTATTGGAACGCACAGAAGTTCCGGGGTGAGGTCAGAAAGGATATGCAGAAAGTGAATAGCGGGGTTTTCAAGGGGCCGTTGTTGCGGGGCGGTTGTAATGTTTATTGTGTTGCGTTGGCGATGACGGATGAGGGCGCGTATGAGATGGAGAGCCTGGGGTTAGAGTTGTTTGAGGGGGGGTCTGGTGCTGCGCCATTTCAGGTTTGGTGGTGTATGCGGCGGTTTGAGCCGGAGTATGATAGTGAGGATGAGGATGAAGAAGATGATGAAGAGGATGATGGGGATGGTGAGGACGATGATGAGATGCAGGAGGATGAGGTGGACTTTGATGTGGAGGAAGCTTCATCTGATGAAGATGGATATCAGAATGCATATGGGAATGGATACCATGACGGGCACAACGGAGGCTGGGATTATAATTATTCATAGCTGTATATAGTGCCCTGGAGACAAGGTGCTGGCGAGCCTGGTAGCAATGGTAGAGGAATATTTACTCGATATCCACGCATTCCTAAGATCATTTTTTTTATCACCTCTTCTTAGACCAGCGCTCAAGGCGAAATGATAATGCACTTTTTGCGCGAGAATATATCCAATACCATTCATCGGGCTTCACCAAGAGAAGAATTGTTGCTAACGATAATCCCGCAGCCGTTACCCAAAATATCCAGAAATCACGGGAAATTTTCAACCCACCCTCCGGCCGGACATCGAAAAAGCTCGTGCTGAAAATAGCTGCGACGGCTGATAAAGGTAGGTATATGACGGTTAATACCGTCATAACCTTGGCATTAAAATCTGCAGACTGGGTGAGGCGCTGCGTGGCGCTTTGCAGATCTTCGTTGTTGATCGAAGCGTGCATGTCACACTGGTCGAGGATATTTTGAATTGAAAAGGTGAGATGGGACACTTTGGAATCAACGCAATATGTCCCTGCTGCTACTGCTATGGGAGTATCTGGTGATACTGGAGAGGTTGGAAGTTCTTGCAAAGATTTTAATATTTGGGAGCACTCTTGAGCCTTGCGCTTCGTAATCGAGAGCAATTTCAATGGCCTCCTGTTGGTAGTTAAAATCCGGGAATATCGGTCAGCGACTGCACCTGGTAGCTGGTTTATCATATGTTCCATCACGACAGTTGGTAGGAGCAAGGGGTGCCATGCGAAACACCCCAGGGAGGCGAGGCGTCCAGCCAGGACACCAACGCTCGTCGCATCGCTGAGACGAACCACAGTCGTAGTGATGTTGTGGTTCGGATCATATTCCATTGTGAGACAAAACTGGGCATATTTGACGTATAGTATTACGGCGATCTTCCTGCTGTCCAGCACATATTTGATAAAAAACGATCCATTAGGGCATTGTAAAGGATCCCTGGGCACGTTGTGGACAACCCTAATCTCATCAAATACCTCAGGCAACAATGGGAAGTGTGGTTCAAGGGCAGTTCCGCCGATACTACATTATCAGGATGTTCGTCCAACATGAACGTAGTTTGAAGGAGGGGTGAATCTTACAGGATTCGAATGGAATTCTCTTGCGGTGGATGTTCGCGATCTTGGATCCAGGTTCCGGGCGTGCTTCCTGCGGCTATTTGTTCGAGAGGGGATGTCGCTGACCCTTGAAAACATTTTGCATAAGAATACTGCGGAGATGCTGGGCTTCCATGAATCTGGTCGCTCATCTGGAGTGTCATGGCAGATGTGATTATTGAGTGGTGTTGAGTGGTTGATCTGTGACTCCAACTCCGCCTATCTTATAATCTATGTCTTTTTTTGTCTTTTTTCTTTTTTTCTTATCAGCCTTGCATCGCCTCAATGTGTTGGCATAACGAGAAGGAATCCGTCCGTTAATTCGTTGGCCAGAAACGCCTCACGAGGCTGAGCCATTGGCAAGTCTATTACGCGCTTCGTGACTATCAGTCTGTTGACTTTGCCTTATTGGCTCGAGAACTTGTTTGCATGGCTATCATTGCAGCCTTGCATATGCCTTTTTACATTCTATACATAATGTTAATAATGAAGCTCGCAGGCCAAACTAGATATTTCCGGAATAAACTTCAGTCGATGACTTGAATCATAGTACTAAGATTGTAAGAATAACTAAACTAAACGACTCATCACTATGATCAGACCCTAGCTCTATTATATTTCACACGAAGAATATACCATCCCAGAAAGTGAGCTACCTATTGGTGATCCTCATCTTGCTCCCTCAATTCAATCCTACTGACATCTCCAACTACCGGGCCCGTACATCCGCCAAATCCTTGAGCAGCTCAAAACCTCCCATAAAAGCACTTTCACGTTTATCCCCAAAGCCCCAAGCACACAAGCTCAAGCGGAATATAATATACTACAATAGTGTCAAGCTTTTCGGTGTTTCAAGCCCATGACCATCATGCATACTCATCAACGAATTTGTATAATTTCTTAGATGGGATGCGGCTACGCGATCGAAAAAAAAATAAAATAAAAATAAAATACACCACTGGGGACAGTAGGAGTATATGATAATTTCAAAGTAATCTAAACTACACAGGTACAGTTTCTGTCTGTTTCAGAGAACTCTTTAGGGGGTGGAGTATGGGTTTATTTATGATCATAGGTCCAGAAGAGATACGCGAGTGTGTATACGGTCTGTGGAATGTGGTGTTCTTAGATTAAACAAGTATTTTGATCCGGTTTTCTCAGATTCTGGCTGCTAGGAGTACTTCTCTTGTAGTTTAATGGTGTCTAGGGAGCGGGCAAGATTTCAGTGGCGAGAAACTTCGTGCGCCCTAACCATCATTATGTTTCAGAAGAGGAATAAAACATTGCTTTACAACTACTATATAATGGCACAATCTCTTTACCTCAAGAATCAGTATCGGCGACCTGCGTTGTCGGGTGGAGATCTCTGGCAGCCCGCTTTATCCGGTTGAACTTGTCCCGAGCACCTCGAGGGGGTCGTCCTAGGCAATATTTGCCATTCGTCCCCGAATCGCCCCAGTGTGCGCGTCAATTGGTGTCCAAAGGAAGATCCTCTCATATTCGCAGAATCGCAGCACTGCTGATCAGGGCACTTGAGTTTAAGCATATTGTGCCTGCATTTTGTTCAGACTAATGCAAGTACATGCCCAAATCAATGCTGTGAAAATTATATTCCCTCTGTAGCTATAAAACTCGGGAAAATCTCTCACATGATTTTTTTGAGCCGTTGATTATTTGCTTTCGAGATACGAATAATACAAGACAAGTTCTTGATGCTACGTTGCACCCTATCTTAACCCACAAGCATCGATCCTCCCGGAGGATCACGACGATCATCAACATGGTACACCGGCTCGCCCCTCCACCAGACAAATGACTTATGATATGATAGTAAGCAGTGATCTGAATTCCTCGCAAATGGCAGAAGCAGCCGGCTGTCACACGGACTATTAAAAGACATCGGTCGGATATGCGACTGTTTGGCAGCGTGACGGCACCTCCAAATAAAGCTAGCAAAGAAACTGAATTAAAGTTCGTGGACAACCCTAGTCAAGGCTTTTATCCCTTTCTTTGTAAACATGTCTAGACTGTTGGCGAACGAGAGAAGAAGATGGAGGGCCATTTTCGACATGCGGGTATAACAATAAGAGGTAACTAGCCCTTTACATTAGTGCTGAATGGCTCTGAGGGTACTTATAAGGAGAGTTGCTAAGGCAGGGATTATAGTATTAGCTTGAAGTACAGTGAGTGAATCAGGTTCCAGTGACTCCGAGATAACTCTCAAGCCTAAAAGTGCTGAATGTCACGTTTTATGAACACTTTATCCTCCCAAGAGGCTTCGTGATCAACGTTCTGCTATGCCTCCCGTATAGATCATCAAATCCTGATTGATAGAAATGTTGAAGCTTTGAACGACCAGGAGGTGGGAATGAATGTCGAGTGTCTTGATAAATGAGCAGAGGAATTGAATGAGAATGAAGGCCTGGTTTATCAAATTACTGAGCGACTGACTGTGTTGAATACATCAGAATCGACCAATCGATGTTTGGGGGATCCTGGCGGTTGGCGTGGTTGTAATTGAAATATTGAAGCAGTCCTACCGGAGTAATATGACTCTCGCCAACCAATAAGAACGAATAAGGGGCTCCATCGTTTGTCGCCATTAAACACAAGTGAAAGCAAAATCCGGGAAATATCACATGTTCTTATTTTGTTATTTTAAGCGAGCGTGGATGAGCCTTATGAGAAACGAGGGAAGAAAACATCTTTTGGAGGTAATGAAGGAATCTCCCAGCATTCCTGGAGTCTGGCTTCGGGGCACTAGTACTGTGGTTGAAAAGGGATGGGTTGTTGGGGTTCTTGCTGGGCCCTGCTGTGGGAGTCGTGGTAGGGTCAAAGACAGTCTGAGGGGCGGAAGTCGGGGTCATGATGGATGGAGGGGCGGTGGCAACGGTCACTATACGTGACGAAGTCAGGGCGGAATTGGTGGTAACAGCAGTAGAGCTGGGAGGCTGGGTACTGCCTGAGGAGCCATTGGGGTAAAGGGCAGGACCAGGAATAGGATAGGAATCCATAGTTTCCCAAATATTAAACAGAATTCCAGGATCAGTCGCGGAATAGAGCTCCGTTCCAGGAATGCCAGCGGGGTTATCAGAGCCATCACTGGTTATCCTAAGGTTAAAACACTGGGGGTAGTTCTGGGCGCCATTTGCCTCACTAGCAGAGTGTAGGGCGATGATTTCATGACGAAGAACATAATTGCCCGCGGAAATACTGCTAGGAATAGTAGTACTCCAGCTATAGTTATTGGCAATAAGCTCATCAGAAGCCCAGAAACCTTGACCAGTGTTACCAATGGCATCGATAAGTCCCTTTTCAGAGATCTTGAACCACTTGAGCGAGTACTTGTCAACAACAGAGCGGTCACCATCACACCGCGCAAGGTATTCGATAACAGGCCCATGGTGACTCTCATCCCAGTCATCCCACTGGAACTGAACAGTGCTACCAGCAGTAACGGTAGCAGAGAGAGCAGCATTTTCAGCATCCCGATGGCAGATAATATCACCACCGGTATAACCAGTGCCATTAACAAACCCCAGATCGGTAGCACTTTCGGACCATGCAACAACACCAGGAGGGGTATCGGTATAAGGATATTGAGTCATAAGATACCCTCCATAATATTGATTATCATCGACCACAATTCCGGTAACATAGCCATGGCCGGCGACAACGGCAGCGGAGGCGAGGGAAAGGCTAACAAGCCTGGCAATAGACATTTCAATCAAGACAGGGTCGTGTACGCACAGCGTCACCCCAAGTATCGGTGCAATTAAAAGAAGGTAATAAATATGTATATTGCAGCTGGAGAAGAATGTAGGCAGAAAAGAGTGTCAAAGCTGGATAGGAAAAAAAAAAACACAAAAAAGACTCAGCTCTTGTCATGGAGAAGCAATAGAAATTTATGTACTCTCGCGTAAACTCCAGACTATCAAGTATACTGGGCGCCAAGTGTCCTGCCATATCTTAATTTTTAACCGAGATTTGACTTGTTCAAGTGGGCCCTTAGGAGTAGGCAATTATGCAGAATCCGGGGCACGGAATCTCAAGGAGATAAAAGCTCAAGCAGTTAGTTGGATGTGGCAGGAGAACAGGTCATTCCAGAGCCCTGCCAGCCTCAAAGCACATCACGGGGTCTCTTGGAAGGCTAGGGGTTATTTGTAACAATTCAAGTTTCAGATTAGGATAATCCACCCCATCTTATCCAAGAATCGTCACTAAACTCGGAGTCGCTCTACCCGGTCCGCCGGTGCACAAGCTCAAACTCATGCATAAGGTAAACAGAATGAATGGAGTGAAGTCCCGAGTAGTGTTGACACCGCCTTGTAATCAGCTCCTTCTGTCTTTCTTCTATTCTTTCTTATATCTATTAGATTAAGCTAGTCAGTTAGTTTAGTTCTATTAAATTTATTGTCTGATTTATTATTCTAATTATCTTCTTATTAAATATGGATAGAGTATAATTTAAAAGATTTATTAAGAGATTCAGGAAGTGTATTTATTATTTTTAATAATTAATACAGAGATTATACTGTTACAGACCTTGCAACTACCTTATCGGCGGACACACAAGACAGAAAGGTCATGGGACAACACTAGCCGAAAACAACCCCACAATCACCAGAGAATAGTGATAGAAAGTATACAGCCGATATCAGCTATACTATATAATCTCCCGTGATAATAATATATACGCTAAGCAATAGTATACAAGATACTAGTATAGTATGTACTAAGATAGTGTACAAGGACGAAGAATATCTAAGGACGCTTATGCAGGTAGTTTAGTTTTTTGTGATTAATTAATTGTTACTACAGAGTTATCTTTACTAGTAAACTAGTCTCAACTTGTTTGTACTCTTCTAGTTACTAAGTATATATACTTGGTAGGCCTGGTCCTTTGGACTCAAGTTCAGTTTCGACGGCAGTCTTGTGTCGACTGCAACCCAGTCTCAACTACGACTTCCGTCCCGCCAACAAATCTCTTTATAGAATACTTAGTACCCGCGAGACCAAGCCTCTTTTACAATTCTATAACACTTTTTATAATTTTGTATAATTTTCTATAACAAGATAAAATCAGTAAAAACTAGATATAATTAATACTAATATAGAAAAAATCTTTTTAAATTTCATAACTATTTTTCTATCTTTCTCTACTATCTTTCTACTGAGAGTGTTCTGAATTAAGCTTTATAAAAACCCTTATACCGCACCCATCTAAGCCACTATATATCTATATCCGGGTATACAATGACATACAGAAATCGGACATCTATAACTTTGTCGGCCCTGTGCTTTCCCGCGAGTACTCGCGTAATATCGTCGATGGAAAGCCTGTCACAGATACGGCATTCACTCTTAATACAAATGAGTACAGTGCACCACCGCCGTTTACGAGCTGGACAATCGAAATTATGAATTCCGGGTCACGGGACCTTTGTGGCCTCACTTCTGTGGACTTTCAGTGGCATGGTGAGAAGTACAGTGAGAAATTCTTGGGGTAATGGATGGCTCGTCGTGGGATACTACTTTTCGTGAAGTCAATTCAATGAGCCAATGATAATTTAACTGGTGGTTAATTCTGTCAAATATTGGGTGGCCATTTCTGTCTCCATTCTTGACTTGGTTTACACAAGCCTGTGGAATACTACTCCAAATAGTTTTGACCACCATCCTTTCATCGCAAAATACATGTTCTCTTTCAGTTCACTGGATGTTCATGCCTGAACATGTATGTGTCTTGTAGTATTCAGAGTAACATGTCCGTGAGCCTTAAAGTAATTTCTTCCATCCTAAGCTAATGCACAATTGGAACTGGCGCAAGGATTATATTCAGCGGTGAAGTTGAACGGGGATTTCCAGACATACTAATATAGACACCGTTTGTATATGGAGCTATCTGGAACTACACACTATCTCGATTGGTCTACAGACCAAGCGGAGGCTCATTATCTCGTTCATTTCTGCCTTTTTCGAGCATGGCATGGGCAATATCTTCCAGTTTGACAACTTTCATGCGTCGGGTGATACGACGAGGACGAGGGACATGTCACTGGCATGAACAATTAGTCTAATGATGCTATTTGACTGTTAACCAAGCTGACGATATAAATTGTATTTATTTCTAAGTACGTCATTTGACAGTATGCTCCCGTCTCGAGTATCCGTGATATTGTTCCCATTCTACTCCGCCAGACGAGTTTCCATGACACATTGTTGATCCCCGGGAGCTGACCAGACCTGAACGAGCTTGAGAGGTGGTTCCACCGCGGCCAACAGCTCATTCCACTGTTTCTGGGTACGCTCCATCCCGTTCGTGAAGAACAGCATAAGCATATCCATATTACTCCTGATCATTGACTCATTGAGATCAGCAAGGATCATTTCATTGATAAGGAGACGAGACTGAGGTAGCATGACCTTCGCAATGTTGGAAAGGATCTTGCGGGAGGCGAGGTCGTCCCAGTCATGAAGGATCGATTTGAGGTAGTATATATCAGCACCTAGATCAGTTTTAGCACTAGCATATCAAAAGTGTCCACTATGCAGGCTACTGCCTCTCTTTTAGTGTGTGCGCTGTACAAAACCTACCCTTTGAAGTCTGCTCTGTAAAGAAGTCATGCACAGTCGGCTTGATTCGAGAGTCAAGCTCTCCAGGAATCCTAGCTATAGTCTCCGGGAGGTCCTGCAAGATCAGCTCGCAGTCTAGCTCAGGGAATGTATCCGCAAAGCGCTGTAGATCTACCCCCTGATTACCACCCACATCAACAATAATCGGCTTTGTCGACACTGTCTGTCCGGCTAATTTCTCCCCAACCGGATATTTCACATGCCATGGAACAGAGAGCGTCTTGTTCCGAACGGTCATATTGTCGTCAAAGCCTGTTTTCCACTCGGTGTCTTTCGCTAGCGTTTGCCAGATGGCCTCCCCCATCGCGAAATCGTATGCTGGGGGCGTTTTGCTGATATCAACAGGTTTGTTTTGCCGGAGATATTGCCGGATTTGACTTGCAACGGGGAAGACAATGTCATTGCTGATCGATGAAAGTAGTGTCAGCGTACGTTGAATCGTAGCAGAACGATACTACCGAGATTTGGGAACACTCAACGAGATAATCATGCCTCCAATAGCGCCTGCCGTGTTTTGAGCCAAGGTACAACCATTTGCCGTGTAAGTCTGATACCCGGTCTCATTTGCAAAGCCGATGGCTGTTAGCATGCGCATCACTCGAGCTGTGATGTATGGAATGCATTAGTCCGCAAGCTCCATCAAAGCGTCCTCTGATAACAGGACCCGAGACGTACCAATAAGGCCGGCATTGTACCCGGAGGCCTTAGACAAGTCCTCAGCAGTCAGACTCTTGCCTTCGTTGGCAGCCAAGGTCTGCAGCAGGCCCATCTCATGCGCCACCACGATGCAAACGTTGTTCACTGTCTGTTGTGCGAGGGTCATTTTGGTTTGCAATGTGTTCCAATACCCGGGAAAAGAGAAGCGACGCGACATACCTGAAGTCGCTGTTTCATTGTAAAGATGTGAGGAGGCACGAGCTCCCGACGCACCTTTTCCAGGGCATCTTCCAGTTGCATCCAGCTGGCAGGGTCATCTTTATTGTATTTCTCAATCACCTGCTGAAGCTCGGCGGCGAGACGGCCCTTGTCTTCCATGGTGGTTAGCGGTCGCTTCTTGGATCGTTTCTTGCCGAGAGGACTGAATTTGTGAGGCTTATCGACTGTATAAATCTAGCGGCCATATTGCGCTTCTTAAGGATCCAACCAGGACGCATGAGGGGCAGGTATCATGCCATGGTAAGGGAGGAAAGGCCTTCATTTCCAACGTCTTCCGCAAACCCCGCCATGGAGTGGAGATCAGAAACAAAGAAAAAAGAGACGTTTCAGCCGTGCTGTCAGCGCTAGTAGACTAAGCCCGATCATCCCTGCAAAAGAACTGGGATTCTCATGGGATACATCAACCAAGCACCATGAGGCGGCGAGGCTTTTTCACCTAGCGCTCACACCACTATCCTCGAGGAACTCTTTATTTTGTACGGATCCATATCCAATGGTGTGTCATGCAAGTACACTTGAAGGTGGCAGGGAAAGGCATATCTATACTATAGTACGAGGACTCAAGTGTCCGTGCATCCTACCAACAGGGGTAATGATCCACCGTAATTGCGCCTCCCATAGTAGCGGGGCGCTCGCCAGGCAACTGGCCGCCGCTTCATAGCCAACAGCAAACAGTCTACTTTGACCTGGTTTATATCGGAGTTGCCTGCGGCAAGGGTAGAAAGCACCATCATATTTCATGGAAATATCTGTCAAGCTGTGCGTGTCTGGAGGTACAGAATGTTCACATCGCAGTGTTGGCTTTTTTCACAAAGAGAGGTTTCACCCCCAACGACACCAAGGGGACAAGCACACAAAATAGCTCAACGCTTAGGCTGCAAAAATCGCATCGAAGTCACCGTCCATCCAGAGGATTGTAACCTTAATCGCGCCGATCTTCCACTCCCCATCAACCCGAGTAAGATCCATGGTATTGACCCCGTGGCCCGTAGCCCGCACCACCTCACCGTCCTGGGGAGTCCTCCGATGGACCCCCATGATTTGAAAAACAACCCTGACGTGGGACTCCGACTCCCGTGTCCATTTACACGCGCCGATAAAATGGTGCGACTGCACTTCGGGATTCCCTAATTGGTTTGGGCTGGAGTAATGGTCGATATAGAAAGAAGGCGGAACGGCGGTGGCCTTGATGTGGCCTAGGTCCGAGTAATCCACATCGATACTGGGCGCGAAAATCGTCGGCATCCGAGTCCAGGACTTGGTGTCCAGCATGTTCGCCCAGTCATGGAGGAGGTTCTGGCACGCGACCGGGATCGTTGAGTCGGGCATTGTGAGTTATCTTGTTGAGGTCGACACGCAGGGTGTAGGGATCGAGTAGAGTTAGTTCACGAGCTCGGTTGGCGCTCAGTAGGGCACTTCCTTTGTGTAATAATCCAAGCCGAACGCAAGGGGTAAGATGTGGAGTGCGAAGAGGGTGGTATTTAAAGGGGAGGGAGAATGCCTTGTGATGAACGCCCTGGTTTAGTGCTTATCCCAAGACCCATGACCGAGTGGATCAGAGTAGTACTGTGGAGAGGGTGCGGTGGGGTCGTTTAAAACGCTAAACGTTCCCACCCTCTCCACAGTATCGGAGAAAGTAGCCGTTGGTCTCTCCACACACACGAAATAGGGTGACATCGTGTACAGCAACAGGGATACAGATGGACCATGAGGCTTTGTCTTGATACTATGTGGGAGCTGGGATTACGCTATGGATCGAATTATAGGCGTTTACTCAACAGCTGGACTTACCATCCGAATAGATATCTTTCCTACTGAGATAGGAGGTCTATCTTGACCGTCTATTCACCCACCGCTCTGGAATTACCTCGTGACCCAACTTCAGCGCTCTTAATATCCTCATTTGTAACTAATTGTGGCGATGTACGGTGCCCCAGAGTCTGACTGAAGCAAAGCATGGACTAGCGCAGCTTACCCTCAGCTCCATCGCCCACATGTGGGCGACAACCGTCAGGTCCATGAGTGCCGCAACCTCCTCTGGCAACAGCTAGAAATTTTCGATCCTAAATACATACAGGTGAATGCCCAAGCGAAATGAAATTTCTAAATCCATGGTGGGCGTCAGCAGGGGTGATATTCCAAGGTCTCAATCCTCATTTGCGGGACGCCTAGCCGCCCTACGTGTAGCTTCTAATCTAGCAAGAGCAGCAGCTCTATGACATCAGGAAGCCCGGATGTTGATCATTGCATGCGAGATCTGCAGCATGCAAGTCACATGCTGTCGGGATTGGGCCAGCCCTCTTCGGTGATGGCGCGGCGGATATGGTGTTGTGCAGCTCTCATAACCTGAGCGACAAGATTCCCAGACGCTTCGGTGTTATTGATTGGCGTACATGTACCACGCCCAACACACACCAGGACATGTCATATCAAGTAACATCTAACAGGTTCCTTTTGTCACTGCTGAAGCAGGTTCCTAAATATCTCCGCAAACTAAATACGAATCTCGGTAGCTGATATGAGTAGTTACCACGAAGCCCCTAACGTAATCCATAGTGTCAACAATAACCCTATTAGAAAATATACAATCTTGATTGAAAGAGAGATAAAATTTATAGCAACACTTGGCTTCAAATTGTCTGGGGATCTATTTCTATTATCTCCATCCATACCCTAGCAGATATCTTTGGTTCAAATACCCTGCAAGGAGGCTTTGGATTAGGAGGTAGTGAGAGCCGTCCGGAACGGGGATAAAGAAGTAGGGATTCCAAGTATCCGCTCTGTCAACTTCCAAGAACGGTCTTAGGCAGCTCCACAATCCGATCAGATATATACCTACAGCAAATAAAGGTATTTCCCAGCTCAATCGCTATGAATTCCCGGCTTCTTAAAGGAGGCCACCTAAAACATATCCCATACATAAGGTGCTGGTAGGTACTGTTGTCACTAGAGATCTTAACACATCATTGGAACAGTGACTCCTGCTACGTTATTGTCCTCAGCCATTGCCAGATATTTGTATTTTACGCAAATAGTTCGATTTTCCTCCGCAAGGAGTAGTCACAATATTTATTCGCTATTGGTTCTCCAGTTCCATAATCGTAAGGGCTATCTCTGGTAAGTATACATTAAAACGCATCCTCCTTCGATACAGGCCAGTACTTACTGCGAAGTGTTACACCCGGGGCTTCGTTATGAAGTCCTAAACCAGTACGTAGACCGCGTGTGGATTTCGTAGAATCCTTACCTGCAGTCGATACAGGAATATAGAATAGAAATTTTTATTTTCTTTCATTAATATAATAAGTAATTGGAAAATATTAGTATATATTTTGGAAAATCGGTGCCGATAGTCTAAGATCCGGGGAGGGTAATAACTTTATTGTTATTATAGCCAATATATTATTTGGCGATCCCGTACTAGACCAGGGGCCGACACAGTAATACAATGGATATCAGTTTATCGATACTGCTGTATACAGAATTAATATCGCTAATAGTACCCGACAGTATCTACCGGTACAGTTCTGCGGCTTCTGGCATATGTTAATAATTTGAACTGTGTTGGGGATCTGTCACAATGCCGTCTGGACGATTGCAAGCCGTGAAATATTAAAGATCTACTCCGAGACCTACAAAAAAGTTTCTCTAGCGAGTACAGCAGCGCAAAATATTCACTACTAGTGTGTTTTCATAGGTGGGATTGCAGTAATGGGGTCTCAAGAAAGGAGCTATTTCGTTCAAGAATTAAAATTCTAGACAATATACAACTTCAAAGCAAGCTGGGAAGAGCTTTCCATCACCTTGTATTCCATTTTAGAGTATGATCATACCTGCGATTTAGCTGGAATGGATATATAGATAAAGGCTTTAAGTCTTTGGGATTTTCATTGCATGCAGTACAATCCAATTATTTCGACCACATGTCTTATAAATAATAAGTAATACTCAGATAAAGAATTAAAGCCCTCTTGTAGCAAAAAATCTTCTTAAAGTATAAGTAAAATATTAAGAGATGTGGGATGCTTCTACATAGATTCCAAGGTTATGCATATCACATGTCTGGCGATGTTTGCACTGCTGTGTTAATCATGCAATACCGGACGGAGCACTTAGTGTTGTCGCATCTTAATGTTCCACCTCTAGCTGCATAACTCAGAGTTCATAAACGATCTTGTACGCAGAGATCTTCCCATCTCGATGCTCCTGAAATCCTTCAGGCACGGATTCCATGCCCGAATAGACCTTGGGATGACTAGGCTTGAGAGTGCCCTGCTCCAACCAGAGAGTAAGTTTCTCGAATAACTCGGATGATAGCTGATGGTCTTCTTCGGAGGCCTGAATAGACGATACGTTAGCTCATTCGAAGCTTCGTATACCAGTAGATTTACTAGTTACCGGCCACTTGGAGGTCCCATAAGCGTGGTCCTTCAGGAAGGAAGTGAACACAAACACATCGGTGACGCGACAGCCTGAAGCCACCTTATCAGTATTTGCCTTGCCCGGTCGTACAGTGCACACATTGCCCCCATCTTGCAGAGCCTGCGACGCAGTAGGGGAAGAGGTATCATTGCCGATCGTATCGAAGGCATATTTGAGTGTTGGAGCCACAGCTTTGATCTTGGCAACCACTTGTTCGTCCTTGTAGTCGAAGACATGACGGGCGCCGTACGAGCGCACTAGCTTTTCATGCTTCGGGCTGCAGGAAGTGATAACCTCTAGGCCATGCATAGAAGCTAGCTGAATAGCGTATAGCCCGACACTTGCTACACGGATTAGTTAATAGGCAGAATCACCAGAGATGGATGTAATATCGTTCGACGCGACTTACAACTACCACCCCAAATCAAAACGCTACTCCCTTTGTTCTGCTCCCGATCGATAGCCAGACAGCCCTTGGAATACAAGGCTAGCCAAGCGGTTGCTGCTGCCAAAGGCACAGTACTCGCGTGTTCTCGAGAGATACTACCCGAGAGCGGAAACGAGATTCTCTCATCTGCCAAGGTGTACTGACTGTAAGCACCCAGACCCGGTATCTCGCCTAGGATAAATTAATATGGCAACATGCCTAGCTATAAATCGTGTGATAATTAACTTACCACCCCAGATCAAGCCTGCTATGATATCGCCCTTCTTGTATCGTTTGACGGAGGAACCGAGCTCAACACATTCTCCAACGAAATCACAGCCAAGCACAGCACCTTCCTCAAACCTATTGAGATCAAAACTTTGGACTATGTGCAGTCAGCTTTGACGATTTACTGACGATCCGCTGACAATGAACTGTGTGACGACCTCTTCTAGGAGCCTAGAACGAGCTTTCTTTGACTTACCATCGGTCGGATTCTGCGCAACGTGAGAGATCTTCACGAGGACTTGGTTATCAGCAGGAGTTGGAATGTCGATATCTTCTTTGGACAGGCGCAAGGACTGCTCGCCGGAGGAGCGGTTAACCATTGCTCTCATTTTAGACTCGATTGCCATCGTAAGATATCTTTGGCTGCGTGGCAGCTTTGCTTGTATGGAATTTGTAAGTTTTCCTTTTTTTTTTCAAATTGTCACTTTGAACCACGACTTGCTTTAAATATGCTCACTCTTACCTTGAAACATGTGGCACTCTCTCGCAACCAGAAGGTTAGTTATTTGTAATTTGTGATGTAGTACGGCACATTGGTAATCATTGAACATCGGAAAAGTCTCCGAGGGGAGGTGGAAGCGCCTTTAGTGGGGATTGTACCGTCTTACAGCCTTTGAAAAGCGGGACCGCTTTCCCTCTACGCCTTAGCATTAAAGATCTACGCCTAAATTTTTTTCACGATCAAAGGCTTGATTAATGACTCTATCTAACCTTGTATTTAGGGCAAGTAAAATTATATAGTCCTATTCAATAGCTCTCTATGTACAATAGAATAAATAAATAAAGATGAAGGTTGAATTATTGATTTGTCGGAAAAGGTTGTAATCTAGGGTCTGATTATACACCGCATAGGAATTTAGTAAATAGTGTGGATATATTACTTCATATGGTGTTGACTAACCACCTAGTATCGTGTTCTGGGTATAAAGAACTTATACAAGTTGATGGAATATTATAAGATCGAAGATTTGTATTTAGCTATCTTTAAACCTATAGAGAGAAACTCTTATATGCTGTAGTGATACTTGATGGGATATCCTTTAGTGAAAAGCTTAATAGATAGAAAATACAAGGGCCATAGATAGTGATATTATATCAAACATTTATGCTAATGATAGGAAAGGGAAGTACAAAGCAGTTCAAGACTGTTGAGGCTTGCTAGTTTAAATAGTAAGCCACAATGATTTTAAACCTGGCTGTATGGTACTATACATAATCAGGGAGTCGATTTACAAGGCCCTTGGAATAGGATTATAAGATATAAAAGGGTTTGTACTAGAAGACAATAGTTTTCAGAAAGCGTGTACTTTAGTAGAGATATTATTGGCAGAGGGAAAGTGATTGGTAATTACATACTAAAAACAGCAGCATAACAAGCAGCCAACCTCGAAGATCGATGCCATGAATCTTCATCCTCCATAGGCCCCACCCTCCAGGGTTTTCCTCACAGCTGACAAATGTTCCCGACTTTCTCACGGATGACAAAAAGTCCCCGAGGTCTTCCTTACGGCGAATAAAAGGTCTTTTTCTCCTTCATAAACCGCTATCTTCAATGTTTACTCGTCTATCGTCCGGAGTCCTCAAGCAAAGATTCATTGCACCAATCAGTATGTCCCGGACAACTTGCAATGGCCAATCACTTACCTCTTAGAAGGATTCCTAGCAACCATGGCGACCGATACCTCGACCTACAAGCTCAACCGTTAGTCCACATCTGGGTGACCTGGAACTTTGCGCACGCTGACACGGGGCAGACACGATGATGCGGGTCAAGGACCCAAAGCGGTCGATGGAGTTCTACAAATTCCTTGGCTTGAGCTTGGTCAACACTATTGATATGCCAGAATGGAAGTTCTGCAACTACTTCCTGGCTTATGATGGGCCGGCCTCCCTGCAGGGTAATCGTCACTGGACTGATCGTAACGCAGTCTTGGAGCTCACGCATAACTACGGTACCGAGAGTGACCCGAGCTATAGCGTGGTAAACGGTAACACTGAGCCGTACCGCGGCTTTGGCCACATTGCTATCTCTGTTGACAATATCGAGGCGGCATGCAAGCGTATTGAGGATGCTGGATATCCCTTTCAAAAGAAGTTGACCGAAGGTCACATGCGCGATATTGCTTTCGTCAAGGATCCTGATGGATATTGGGTTGAAATTATTCTCCGTGCTGATGAGGACCTGGGCACCACTACCGACCCTGGTAGCTACCGTCTGAACCATACCATGCTTCGGGTCAAGGATGCTGAGGCCAGCTTGAAGTTTTACCAGGAGTCTATGGGTATGACTTTGGTTCGCACTATCGAGAACCCAGAAAACCAGTTCAATTTGTATTTCTTGGGATACCCAGCTTCAAATCCTGAAATTAAGGAGGGTTTCAAGAACAGCGTGGCGGATTGGGAAGGCTTGCTGGAGTTAACTTGGAACTATGGCACCGAAAAGCAAGAGGGACCTGTCTACCACAACGGCAACACGGAACCCCAAGGTTTCGGTCACATCTGTAAGTTTCATCACAAGCCCCTCTGTGATCTTCTAACTGAGCCATCAGGTATCTCCACCGACGACCTTGGGGCTGCCTGCGACCGATTCGACTCCCTCAAGGTGAACTTCAAGAAGCGCCTGACCGACGGGCGGATGCACAACATTGCATTCATTCTGGATCCGGATGGATATTGGATTGAGGTTATACAGAACGAGAAGCTCAAGCCGACGTCCAACTGGTAGAGTAGATTATCTTCAGTATAACCTAACCCTTGGGGGGGCGACACTAGGCCTCGCCAAAGCCCGCGGGTTCATGGGTCGGGTCCAAACCTAACCTGTTTCTTAGTGGGTTTTAGGTCGATAGGCTCAACCTATAGATTAGATATAGATTTAAATAGCTCATCTACAGATTTTTAGTAGATATTTATAAATTACTAAACTAAATAAATGTCTAAAAATTAGTAGATTGTATACATTATATAGCTATAGTTAGACTGCGGCACAATCCGCAATATTGTAACTGTGGTTGCCTTAGATAACAATTATCCCGCTGTAAACAAGACACTGGCAGTCTAACAGCAGTCTAGTATACTATATAGAAAGTAATAATTATATAGAGAATTTAGGTTTTAAAATAATAATATAATAAAAATTCATATAATCTATAATCGATAATCTATAACTAGAGTAGTATAACTGTAACGGCGGTATACTGTATAGATGCCCCCAGGGTATTCGGAATCGTTGGTCCCGAATTATATGACCTTTTGGCCTTGTGGAATAGAGTGCCCTAGCTCTATCTCTTACATAGATATGGACACTCCGGTAGAATGCCAGCGTGTATATACTCTATTAAAATACTCAGACTGCGGTATTCTAGATTATAAAATTCCTCAATATTCTAATTGTCAGGCTATTTAACCCCTCTAGAGTGGCATTACCTAACCGTTGTAACCTAGCCATAACCTAACCTAACCGACCTAGGTTAAGGTTAAAACTAGGTTAACCGCGGTTAACCTAGTGCTGCCTGATAAGGCTATAAGGCACTAAACTAAACTGATATAGGGAGGCGGTCTTTTAGGGCTATTTTCTGCCAGTTGCATTTTCGATAGCCTTAGCCTACCGCTTGCTTAAATAGGCTTAGTTGATCGCCTCAGGCAGAACTAGGTTAACCGGCGGTTAGGTATAACTGACCCCATTAACCTAACCTAACCTGGCCAAACGCCACTCTAAACCCCTCTATAGAAATGTGACTTTTCGGTGTTTTATATAGCTTCATTTTTAGAAGTGTATGTGGCTGCGCAGGTCGGCCGTGCGCGCAGCTCGTACGTGGGTTACGTTACCTGTAACTATTCTAGTGCTGCTATTGTGTAGACCAGTATATCTTTATACTATACTACCAGAAGCCTTCATCCAGAAAGAAAATATAGTAAAAAAAATGCTATATTTGGTTGAGAAAAAAATACAAACTGTAGGATGCAATAAAAGCAGCACAGCAGTGAGATATAGAGGATCTTCCTAGTATAAAAGATAGTCAGGTGGATAAGGAAGGCCCCAGACTACCTTCTTGGATAGATACTGGAGGCAATGTCGTATAGGAGCCTGAATAGCTTCGAATTTATCGCCTCAAGGGTGGTGCCACCCGGAAGTACGGTCCAGCCGACCTGCAACCGCGCCCTTTTCCTTTGATCTGATTTGTTTGTGACTGATAGGCTGCTGTGCGTCAGATCGTGGTCTTGGCAGAGAGGATGGTCGTAACACCCAGGCGATTGGAGAAGGAAACGGGGCATACTGCTATTAGGTGAGGATGCAGAACCACATTACTGATTCTCACCAACATGATTTGAATTAAGCATACAGCCAGCGTGAGTTTCGTGAGATGCCTGATGATGTTCTTGACAAAATATCATTTCTACGCTCATCAGACGCTCCCGGCCCGGAAGAAAGCTACCATTGCCTGCACTGGATGTTGCAAGCATTCTTTGCTGCCCGGTATTTTGCGCTGTTGGACATTGGGACTCAGCATGGCGGGGGCGCAAACGACGGCGCATGACGGGCGTCCGTCGGAAAAGAGGGGGAAGGTGAGGGATCTAAAAGTGTGTCCACTTCACGATTAAAGTGGGTAGATGGTGCCAGCCCATCAAGCAAACGGAGGCCTGTATCTTCCATTCCCAGTGGCGTTGTATTGAAGAGATCGGACCCAAGAGCCCACGACGACGGCGATGGTATATTCAAGAGAAGCAACTCAGAGAGATTCGGGCTGTCGCTAACTCTGGAGCCAACCTTGCCATAATCGAGCATTGTCCAAAGAGCGGCCACAAACGCAGCGTTGAGGTCGTCTGTTACGCAGGCGGGGTCGAAGAGCGAGGAGAGTATATGACTTTGGGCGTGGAATTCACGTAGTCGAATAGTCTAGAAAGATAAACGGACAGTGGTTAGCAAGATGAAAGAGGAGAGTCGCAGGATGGGAACATACCATGTTTGCTGCGTGTCCCCATGTCCCTCCTAGTCGTTCAAGTGTGCTGAGGCTTTGGTGGAAGTAGTCCAAGGTATTTGACGACCGAGGATCATTCTGGGAGGCTTGGAAGTGGAAGGCAAGAGACTGTATTCCACCTACGACGACAATGCAGTAAGAGTAGAAGGATGACTCCAGGGGAAAGCCCGCCTCGGTGGCATCGCGAAGGAGGTCTAATAGTTGGTGGGCGTGTTCGGCCGCCGCATGGAGGACACGTAGGCTGAAACTGGTAGGCACTTTTGATCCAAACGGCTTCAGTCGCAATCGCAAGAGAAATGGGTGATTAAGCAAACAGTGGGAGAGATGGAACAGCGTATGGGCGAAAACGACCTGTTCTGATTCCGACCGATGGGCCGACTCGTTGTCGCGGAGCGTGTCAACGACCGAGAGCCGTGTGCTTCTGGAGTAAGACTCGAATAGCAATAAGGACGAGTTGATCTGGGAAAACTCCGAGCTTGTGTCCCAGGGGGGTGTTTTGTTGGTATTGCACTCCCTGTACACGTATCTGGTGCAGCGTCCGAAGATGGATGCCATTAAGATGACCAGGCTAAATGGACTGGGAGGCTGATCGTGATCGATCTTTGAGTCCCAACAGAGGAGCTCGTGGAGGGTATGTGATGTCTGCACTCGCCCAGTGTAGAGTGCGTTCTCGTCACATGGAAGTCGAACATGGCAGTCGTCGTCATGGAAGCATAGAGGCCGTGACTTGCCGCATGAAATGAGCCTGTCTAGTAAATACCCTGACCAGAAGACCCGCCTCCGCTCCTCTTGCTCGGGGATTGATAGTGCGTCGGAGGGATCTATCATCAGGCGCAAGTCTTGGGATATGCGAGCTGCGAGGCCGACCTTCAGCCAGGCCGAACTGACATGACCGACTGGGAAGGAAATCAGATACGACAATATGAGACGGGGAGGTTATAGACGACGGATCCTACCGGTGTAATCGACAATAGCAAGCAAATTCGCGGTTTGTACCACCTCAATTGTCAGGTTATCCGCGACCGTGAGATGCTCAGTGAGAACCGACATCCACGAGCGCTTTGCATATTCTTCGATCGCCTCCTGTTTTCTCCCTTCATAGTATTCGTGTGTGGAAAATCGGATTGCCGATGCTAGCACGGCGAGGAGTAGACAGTGGGGCACAATTCCCATTTCTAGTTTTCTCCGGAATGAGGCTTCTTGGATACACGAATACGGGCGGTTGTGGACGTGCACGAAGAATGTGTCGATGACGGACTGCAGGACTGGGGAAGGAGGGAGGGAGCTGGTTCTCGCAGCGCGTGTCAGTACAGCCGTTATCCTGGCTGCAGGAGAGCTTCCCTACCACTGTTCATTATCAAACCGTTTAGGCGGCGATGTTCTGCAAGGAAACGCGATCAGTATTCGCTTCTGAAGAGAGGCAGAGCTAGTATACAACGCCTGAGGAGCAGCGCGGTCACTGAGATCGGCCAGACGCGACTCAAGCATGCTAATCCGCTGCAGAATCGCGCTCTACCAATCCGTCAGTATCACTATCGCACACAAGCCATATTGACGACGACTGACATTGTCCTGGGCAGCGGGTGGCGGCGGAAGCGCGGCACTGGTATCGCTGATGGTCATCGCGTAGGGCTCGTACACACAGCGCTGGCGACTGCGCCGACAGTGGAAACACACTGGACGCTCTCCAGAGCATTTTGTCTTGCGTCGTCTAATTGTCGCAGTAGCACCCGAGGTTAGCGAGGGGAATGACGTGGGGTCAGTCACCTACCGGCAACTTGCACAGGCATGGCGGATGCGCTTGGAAATACTGGCATTCAGCCGGTTGGGATCGTGATCCATCAAGGTAGCAGAAGCCAGCCGGGCCTGGACAGAAAAAAGTCGAGAAGGGAGGAAAGCAGGTCCGAGGAGGAGGAGGAAAAGGCGTGACTTGAACTCTCCACTGAATGAATCAACTGGTTACTGTGGGGCAGACCCACCGGCAGAATAATATTACTCCTCATTGGCCAATCCACGAGAACACCCCACTTCCCCGCATGCGGCCCGGCGGAAATGGAGCGGCACTACTTACCCATCCGTCCCGGCGATACAGGGCTAACTGGAAAGACATCCTCAACCAGTTCGAGGACGCGTTGAAACGGCGCGTATCTACCGAAGGAAAAGAAGTGTCTCTACGCCGGCATCAGTCTAAAGGGCAGTTGTTACGTGGGTGATCGTCATTTCCGAGTATAGTGCTGTCTAGCTAACGCATCTATAGCAAGCGGTCGAGTGGTACTTCTCCTAGATCCTTCTTTCCCTAGTCAATTCTGATATCCAGAAGCCTCTGAATATGCTAGATGCGTCTATGCAGATTGCCAATGACTCGCAGCTCTCCTTGTTTAAGGCGAAGTATAACAAGAACACGATCAGGGCATGGGCTCAGATTCAAGGGGCCATTCCCAGCTACATCAACTCTGTATTGCTAGCTAATACTGAACTACAGACTACCCTGTCGGGATTATCACCAGTCAGATGTCGGTAGTCAATCCTAACGAAGCTACCAAAACAGCGCAGTTCATTAAAATATACAATCGAGAGTAGGTCCTGTTCCGTACTGTCCTTATACTGATGAAGAATAAACACATGAATTATCTTCCTCTGTAAAATTACCCGGTATATTGTCAGCATCAAAGCTGAAAACGATAGAATCATCAAGATACCTGCTTATCTTATGTCGTCTGTCAGCTACTCCACCATCCCTTCTATCTCTATCATCATAAGCGCATCCTATATACCTGGCATCTATACAATGTGCGGAAGGTCCTGTAAACCTCGGGTTATATTTATCCGGCCTACAGATCGCTGTAGCGTCATAGATCTCGATCAGCTATCAGGCTTAATAAAACTATATAGATACAAAACGCTAAGTTAAAAAGGTCGATGAGCCAGAAAAGATTAAAAGATTAGAGAGCTTCTGCCAGAGTGCAGCGCGGGATAGCGGGTGCTACGCAACGAGGTCGATGCTCTAGGATGATAACCACATGACGACACAAATTAACTATAACGCCAGTAACCTCCGTTACTAATTGGCGATACACGAGTAGATATATTACTCACAGTTTGTTCAACCTCGTCATAGCCCTGATTTCTTGGCTCACAGCCAAATCTGACAGAATCTCCTCGCTGCCACCCCCGACCACCATCACCCGAACATCTCTACTGATCTGTTCAATTCTCGCACCACGACCGTTCTTTGAGTACCCGAGACCTCCCAGGACCTGCTGGGCCTCCCTGTTGACCATCTCCAGAGTTCGCCCTGCTAGGACCTTGAGGTTGGCGAACAGGCCACCCATCGCGGCGTCAGTGCGGTTCGCCTTCGCCGTCTCCGCCATGTAGACGAGCTGCTCCATCCAGGCATATGTAGAATCCAGGCTCCGGCCTATGGCAGCAAACTTGGCACGGATCACTTGGCTCTCGATGAGTTTCTTGCCGAAGGTCTCGCGGGTAACGGCATATTGATAGGCATCTTCTGCGCAGACTCGAGCCATCCGCAGCGATGTACAAGCAAGCCAGAGACGTTCGTGGTTGAAGTCTGTCCTTATTAATTTTGTCCATCGCGCTAACACTAGGAGTTCATACTGTTCATGATAATGGGGAAGCCTTTGTTCTCTTCTCCGAGGAGGTTAGCCACGGGCACCTCAACATCGTCAAATTCGATGTATGTGGAGCCTTCATCCAATCGTCAGTCTCAATACAAACCTATGGGGCATATAGCGGGCTCTTACCGCTGGCAAGAACTCCAGAGTTGTCAATCTTCCTGCGTGTTACGCCCGGTGCATTGAGTGGAATCACTAGAGCCGATACTCCAGCTATACCCGCTCCGCCTGTCCGCACAGCAGCGGTGCAGTAGTCCGCAAAGATGCCGTTGGTAATCCACTTCTTCGCTCCGTTGACAATATACTTGTCGCCCTTTCGTTCCGCAGTTGTTGTGATGCCCGCGACATCGGATCCAGCTATATCAGTGTCAGTTGGCTGTACCAATCCACCATGAACCCAGACAGAGGATAACAAACCATCCGGCTCAGTGACCCCCAGACAGAACCGAATGTTGCCAGTCAACATGTCAGGTAAGAACCGGTCCTTCTGCTCCTCATTTCCAAAGTTGATAACGGGTGGTCCACCAATCGAATTCCCGCATCCAAGCGCCCAGATCACACCGAGATAGCCGCATCGCGCAATCTCGTCAATAAGAATCAGGTCGTGGAACCCGTCCCATTCTTCAGCCTTGATTCCGCCAGGAAGTTGCTGGCCATTGAGATAGTCTGTAGCCAGGGGAAATGGGGTGGCAGCGGTATAGCCGAGCGCTGCGTGTCGTTGATGTACCTGCGCATAGTCGGCACGGGCATCATATTACATCTTTGGGTTTACCTACCTCGACAGGAACACAACCGTTCTTTTCCCACTCCTCACAATAAGGAGCGATATGCGTGTCAATGTACGAACGGACTTCCTTTTGAAGGCGTCGGTGGGAGTCCTTGTAGTAAGGGCTGTACCCGCGGTTGAGCCAGAGGGGGTCGGCAAAGGGGAGCGTTGATGACATGGTGCGTGTATCACAAATGCATATACTTGAACATGAGGGGCGTATAAAATAAGGGAGGTTATTCTCTAACTATAAACAGCTTGTCTCTACATTTCGATGCTGTCGGTCCGTGGACGCCGATCGTCGGACCGCGCCCCGGACAGCCTTAGAAGCATGCTACGGAGGTCGCTTTGGCTGTTGTCTCTCAAGTATCCGGCTATCAGTATCTATATGTCTTTTAACATTCGTAGAATTATACGCGTAGAGTAAACTAAATACGTACGGAGATATGGTGGAGAGTACGGCAGAAACCATCACCTCAAAAAAGATAGATATCACAATTCTGGTTCTCATCCCCCGGTTCCCCTTCCTTCTTCACTCTCCCCCACCTTTCCTTCTGCTTCTCTCCTCCATTCTATCGCTTCCTCACTTCACATCGTAACCATAGCTCCTAGCATAAAATTGCTGTCGGTGGTCGATGTCAGTTGCTTATTTTTATTCCTCCATGACGTTCCCCCGTTGAGTGCGCGTCTAGCGCCTTGCAGTGTCCAGTCTCAGCGCCACCCACACCATCTGTCGTCTGCTTGGCACATAGACTATCACATCCAAAAAAGACAAGCCACTATATTGGGTTACTCCTGACATCGTCGGCCGTTGGGGAGCAAGTAGCTTACGACAACTGCTACACACGCTGGCAACCCATTTAACCCCAACCCGGTCTCCAAGCTTGAACTGTGGGTTTTCACAGCCCGGCCCGAACTTGACGATTCTTCCCACTCCCTCACGCCCACCGATTTGACCCCGAGGTGTGGGGTCTGGGCGCGCTTTCTACTGCCAGAGTTGCAAGGTTACCTCCTCAGTTACTGGTCCACTACGGATGTTTGGTACTAACTGAGTTCAACATATTGCTTAGGTCCGAATGACATACACCAGAATGGGCCCTAGAGCGATTTTTGAGCACTTGTTCACTGGGCCTTACTTGTAAGGCATTGTTGTTAAGACCGTGAAATTCACAGATTTATTAAGACCTGGCCGAAGCCGGGCTCTAGCGTGTCAACCATGACGGTTTTCGTGAACAAGGTGCTAGGCTGATCGTAGATCGCCGCCTTGTACTGGCAGGGGACGTCAAAGCTGGATGTCATTCTGCAGGAGGATATTAGAAGCACGCGGACGGATGCTTCATGCGTGGGATATCTTTCTTCAGTTGTAGTATTCCCTGAAGTTGCAGAGGATCGAGGGAGCGAGGCTGCGACATCAAGACCGTGTTTATAGTTTCACCCACGACCCTCGCTTGAAGGCCACGGCCCCTATGGATGCCAGGATTCATGACCCCATGCACACTGGTCCCAGGCAGTGCGATCGCGCAGAATTGACAGAGACAGGCGCTGATGTATAGCAGAAGAGCGAATTCATTCAGGTGCCTCTATGGTTAAGGGGCATGGCAGGGTTTCGGGATGCAGGTCAAACTAACGGCTTGGAGTAGGAGTGTCCGTCCACTGATTGGCTCTTAACGTGGGGCCGGTACCTTCCGTGCCTAGAGAAATGAGTTGCAATCTTCGTGAGAAGAGCAACATTGACCCAGAGGAAGTAGCGTTCGGGCTTCGGTCCGACGATGCGGTCCGATAAACCATACCACAACCTCCTCGTCCACCAGACAGTTTAGCTCACGGGCACGGAATGACATGATATGGAGGGAAGACAATAATCACACCGTATCCGCGTCAGATTACTTGAGGAAGGAATCATAAGAATATATCTTAGTCGGCGTCTTCTAAATTTATGTGCTAGAGACTCTTAGTAGTCCTGTTAGAGCCGAAAGTTGGTTCACTTGTATTACTAGTCACTAAGAGAAATAGGTAGTGCTTTTTGACGTAATGGCAATTGGGCATTTTAATTTTCGGTCGCACATCGAGTCAGAGACCTCCCCCGCAGCTATGGGTGCCAATGGATGCTATCCTAGTCCGAGAAATGGTCGGGCATTTCGAAGCCAAAAGAATTCCGGGCCGACTACCATTTGGACTGTCTCGAATAGGATGGCTGGTGAAGTCTATCCCAGGAAGGTTGGGAGTGCGGAATATGTCTTGAAAACCCCCCGATCCCCCCAAGGCTGAATCAGCAAACGTCGCCGTTGCCACAACATGGATGCGCTCAGGTATGTAGCAGGATATGTCTTTTTATTAGGCCACGGACTCGTCCTAACCTTCGCCCAAGTGAGACTGTCTCTCCGTCTTCGTGGAGAAGCACCCCTTGCCGACACATGCGAGCAACCAAGGGGGTCTCGGCGACCGAGCCACTCGATGACATGGTCTCCACGGCCCTGGCCATCCTGGGCGAGGATTGCACGACTTCCAGTGATCAGGGAGGAGATGAAAATGTCCATCAAGGTAGGCCATTTATCAAGTACTCACGAGGGCTGGATACATATGAATTCCTGAGGCAAAGGAGCATTTTCGATTTCCCGGTGCACCATATACGTCTGCAGTTTCTACAAGCATATCTTCACTATGTTTACCCCGGACAGCCATGTATTAATTTTGATGATGTCTATAACCTTGAGCTTGAGCTCCCGGACTCGCCCCGGAGCCCGCTCTTAATGTGGTCGATTCTCTCTGCTGCTTGTCCATTCGTTGATATCAACACCATACGTCAGGCTGGTCACCCGTCTCGCCTTGAAGCACAAGCAGAGATGATTAGCAGGGCAAAGGTAGAGATGCTAATGACCTGGATGGGGGCTGACGGCTAACCGTATAATATAGCTAGCTTACCAGGTGGGAACCGAGAAAGATCATCTGGTCCAGATCCAGTCGCTGTTACTGATGTCGCTTTGGCAAGGGGACAATGACAGTCCGCTGGAGGCTCCTTACTGGTTAGCTCAAGCTCTTTCTATTGCTAAAAGCACTGGGTTAGACATAGACGTTGGGAAATCAAAATGCCCCAAGAGTGGCCTGAAGCGGAGGATCTGGTGGTGTATATACATCCGTGACGTTCAGATCGCCCTGACCTACTACCGGCCCTGCCAGGTTCACGAAAGGTACGACACAGCCTTTTCAATCACCGAGAGTGACTTTGATCAAATCGAAGGGAATCCTCACTCCTTCAGCCTATTTCATCCTTCCGTTGTTCCCTTTCGTTGTGACGGGAGTCGAAAGTGGCTCGCTGCTCTGTTTATCCAGAAGGCCAAGCTTTATCACAAGACCAGTCGCGCCCTGAGCTCTCTCTATAGCGTCTCCTGGATCCTGAACTCAGTTGGAGATGCGTGCAGCGTATTATCTCCAAAGGACGGGGTATGTGCAAAGGATGTACTCGTGCATCAGCTGAGCCTAGAGGACTGGATCCGAGATCTTCCTCTGGAGATGCCCGGGTTTGATACGAACGCAAATAACCCAGCGTCCTTTATACTACAGCATACGGCCTTGAGGATTGAGTGTCTCTTTGCACAATGTATGCTAATTCAATCACAACCACCTGACGAGATGAACCAGTGTATGCCCCATGATATTCAAATGGCGTCATCGCAGATCGTCTCGCTGGCCCGGAAACTCCACTCTCACGGACTCGGTCGCTTTCTCCCAGCCAGCTGTATGGCAGCGATCGGATTCACGACTAGGGTCTTCTCTCTTCAAATGACCAGATATGGGACACATAGTGAGACAGAAGCCTTTGCGAGCTACCTGGTCTGTGTCGCCTTATTACGGACCCTGGAGGCGATACATCCTGTTCCCCCTTACTACATATCCTCGTTCCATACCCCATTGCTAAAGAAATGAAAGCATCAAAAAAGTTAAAGAAGGAAGGTTAATGTTAATATAAAAAGAAACAAAAAAAATTTACATAGCAGGAGAAAAGGGAGGAGCTGGAATAATTAACTCTGTATTTTCTAAACTTTCTCCAGAACAGCTTCCTGGTGCTTTTTCCCTAACTATCCCACCTTGGTAATTTAACTTTAAGCTCATTGCTTCTTGACTAATTTACGAGTAATAATCTAGAATTACTTTCATGGAAGCGACAGTTGCTGGTATATTTTTATATCCTTGTCATCTCTGGCAGAATGTGATTAATTTTATATTCTTTATCACTCGCAGTGACTTCATTATTTATGTTTTCTAGATTCAGTGTTCAGGATGGGACGGCGACTCCTGACCAGACGTTGCAACACACTTTCACAGTATGTAGCATGCCTATTGAGCTACCAAAGTGATAATATTAAGATGTTTTATAACGTCTGTTCTCAAACCAAAGGTTTTTCCGTACTTGATGCCTCTTGCCTGGATCACGCCGGCTTATTCTCGTAGCGGTAAGATTCCCAAAGGTTCGATCAAGGTCGCCCTTGTCAGGGGTTTTGGGATTTAGATACAGCTTCTCAAAAGGTATCACGAAGGAATGGGAAGCAGGACACTATCTGCCGTCACGTAGTGCCGAATGGCGTCATGGGGAGCTTCTTAGACTCATCGCAAATATTATCGGGATCAATGATGATGATACGGAGGGCAGGTGAGTGTCAGTTGGTCTGGTAGAGATCACCAAAGATAGGAAAACTACTCTCTCTATATACGGCTGATAACCCGTGCGAGTTATAGGCCAATGCTTGGTAACGACAATGGCTAAGCTTTGATGTCGTTTCCCCAATCCCAATTTGGGGACTAGTGGGATCCGGCTATCATGTTATGGAGGGGTGACATACTCAGTATTAGCAAGGCATCATAATGTAATCCAATATTGCACGGTAATTATTTTCTCTAAGGCCTCGAGTTACTGGAACGGAGGACTCTGTAATCCCATATGCCGGGGCCCGACAGAAAACCAGAGCCTGGAAGTTCAGGTTATCGGGATACCTCCTGTAAGCAGGGACGGAAATAAGGGTAATCTCAAGAAAGGATGTTCAACCTGAGATATAAATGCCCTAATCCATCGTATCTTACCAATACAACAAGCAAGGCCACTACTCGGGGAGACATCTTTTTAAACTAATTAAGATGCTAATGGATAGAACAAAGAATCTTCCCCTCCTCGACAGCGTCACCCTCCTTCCAAGTAGAATGGAACTGGCCGTCCGCCGACACCGTGATAGTAACCTCCATCTTCATACTCTCGATGACCATGACGCTGGCCCCAGACTTTACCACATCCCCATTCTTCTTCAAGACCGAAAGCACTTTACATGGCATCGGCGCAGTCACATTCCGCTGCTCCTGGTCGTCGTCCTGCTTTACCGCCGCACGAAGCCCTTCCATGAATGATAACAACGTGTCCCGTTTGAACTCGACGTATGTACCGATCGCAGGAACATGGCAAAGCACTGTCTGTGTGCGATTAACGGAGGCGGATAGCATGTCAGTGCGGCGAGAGGGTACTGCCAGGTGTGCCCGGATTCTAGACCCGTTGATCGATACTTCCATTGTGCTCGTCAGCCAGGACTCCCTTGTTGCAAAGTTTGCTTCCGCTGGTGTCCACGACTCGACTCTGACGGTGTACGGACTGCCAGGGGGTACGACCTTTCCGGTCCGAAGTGATTTGCTAATTTCATTGTACTGGGCGCTGGCTCCAGGAGTAGTATCGTCCTTGGAGACCTTGGCTTCAGGGACAGGGAGAAGATAGACTTGTTCTGTAGCGGTAGATGCAGTGCCTGCTGCCTCTGGTTGCCATACGCACATAAGCGGCGCTGATGCATCCACTCCGTCCGCCACTGTGTAAGGCCAGTCGACCACGGAAACAATCTCGCAGTGAGCGCTGACTGGGTCGAATCGCTGGTTCCGAAACTGTCGACGAATATTACGGAATGGCCGCGGATTGGAGACATCGGAATTGAGACCTGCAAGTCGGCACAATACCAGGCCCGGAAGAATCGACAGAGACGCCCGGATTTCAGCCATATCCGGGTGAGAGGGTTCTCGCAACAGCTCGTCCAGGTAGGAAGGCAGAAATCCGGTAGTGTACGCTGGATCCTGGAAGGCGGGATGTAACAGCGCGCTGCGCAGAAGCAGCTGGTTCGTCTTCACACCGGCACAGATGGTATGAGAAAGAACTTGGGCCATCTTCTCAATAGCCAACGCCCGTGTGGGAGCCCAGACGACGAGCTTGGCGATCATAGAGTCGAAGTATATGGACACGGAGGAGCCTGTTTGGACCGCAGTCTCGTAGCGCACGTCTCGGCCGGGCCCTAACACGCCAGATGCCGGCAGCCAGAGATGAATTTTGCCGTGTTCCGGGAAGAAATTGCGTCGAGGGTCCTCGGCACAGAGGCGGCATTCAATGGCGTGGCCCTGTTGAGTGACATTCTGGGCAACGGGCAGAGCAGCCAGGCTCCCTCCTGCGGCAACATATAACTGCAGAGAGACCAGATCGACCCCCGTCACTTCTTCAGTGATGGGATGCTCAACCTGCAGCCGTGCATTGACTTCGAGAAAGTAGAACTTGCCAGTCTGTACATCAACAACAAACTCCACCGTCCCCGCATTCTCATACCCGATCAGTTTCGCAATCCGCACGGCCGTGGCACTCATTTTCTGCCGTGTCTCTGGCGTGAGAAAGGGACAGGGAGTCTCCTCAATTACCTTCTGATGTCGTCGCTGCACCGAGCAGTCCCGGTCAAAGAATGAGACCACCTCTCCGTTACTATCGCCCATGATCTGGATCTCGACGTGCTTGCTGCTCTCGATGTACTTTTCTAGGATACAATCCGCCGACCCGAAGGATCGCTGCGCCTCAGACTGCGCTCGCTGCAGCTCAGACTGCAATTGTTTCTCCTCGCGGATAATGCGCATGCCTTTACCTCCACCCCCTGCCGAGGCCTTCAGCATCACCGGAAATCCAATCTCGGCTGCAACCTTCGCTAGCTCTGTCGCATCTTGGCTGGATCCCGAGTATCCGGGGATGAGAGGTACATCCTGCGCATGCTCTCGCAGGTAGTCCTTCGCTGTCCGTTTGTCGCCCAACGTCGACATGGCGCTGGCACTGGGTCCGATGAAGATCAGGCCAGCATCTCGCACACGAGTCGCAAACTCGGCGTTCTCGCTCAGGTAGCCGTATCCTGGATGAATGGAGTCCGCACCGACCGACAGAGCCGTTTTGACGAGCAACTCGATATCAAGGAAGGGATTCCGCTGGCCTTTCTCGATGCTGCCAATCCGGACGGCCTCATCCGCGTCTTTGATATGGCCGGATGAGGCATCTCTGGTTGAGGTTAGTTCTGCTCTCGTAGTTCCAGAGGGTGGTGGCCGCACTCATCCACGTAAACAGCAACAGATGTAATATTCAGTTTTCGACAGGTTTGAATAACACGACAGGCAATCTCTCCACGGTTGGCAATCAGCACCTTTCGGATAATCGGACGGCCATCCGCTCCGACTGGAGAAGGTGCAACAAAGAGAGGGTGTCGGACGGGTGAGGCACCTTGGATTGGCCCATTCATTGTCGTGAGTGATACCATGGTGTATCTGCTTATGAATGTATACGGTAGCAAGGCGGCAGTGGACAGGGCTACATACCTATTATTAAAATCACTGGAAGTTCATTCTCCGTTTGTTCCGTTGCCCCCGGGACTGAAGATGCCGCTCCTGGTCCGGATCGGTCCGATTTCGAGCCACCGGACCGTCCACACCACGAACATCCCACGTTCTCCAAGAAACGAGCTGTTCTCGTCCAGGGTAATCGAGAATAGGATTCCTAATCTGAGAAGTGTTCTATGAATGTTGGATGGTATCATCTACCTGACAACTTGGTTGCTCGTGCGGGTTGCGAGGAGCTGACGTAGTACAATATAATATCCTGCATTGATAGGTGTTTCATATCCAAGCTACATTTCTTAACAATCTTGAGGAGAAGATCTAAATCCTAGCCAAAAGTTTATGCGTCTCCGTCCCCTGCACCCCCGGCAGAGCCACGACCTCCAAACACATCCCCAGCACATCTCGCGTATCTCTGGGGTCAATAACGCCATCGTCAATTAACATCGAACTTGTCGCGTAGCACTCACTGTCCCGCTGAGCGGCATCCCTGAATGACTGCACCTGTTTCTTCAATTCCTCCGGCGACAGCACCTCACCCTTGGACTTGGCGCTTGAAATCCGCACCGTCTCCATCACCCCCGATAGCTGATCAGGGCCCATCACACTGCAGCGGCCGGTGGGCCAGGTAAATAGAAAGCGAGGTTTGTAGGATCGACCGCACATGGCATAGTTCCCTGCTCCGTAGGACGCGCCTAGGATAATGGAGATATGGGGCACGGTAGAGCAACTGACGGCCGAGACCAGCTGGGCGCCCATTTTGATGATTCCGGCGTGCTCGGCTTTGGCGCCGACCATGAAGCCAGTGACGTTGTGGAGGAAGATAATGGGCGTGTTTCTAGAAAGTTAGTATATAAAGAATTGACGTCAAAAAACAAGTTCAGGCTCGTACTGTTGATTACACATGCGAATAAACTGCGCTGTCTTGGCTGCTTCGTTAGGATTGATTACTGAGATTTGGTTCGCGACGATACCGACGGGAGAGCCTAGTCCATGTTAAAGGTATCCCACAGGTTTGCATTGTGGAAGACATACCTAAAATATGCGCCCAGGCTGTTATCATATTCGGTCCATACTTGGGTTTGAACAGGGATAGACGCGAATCATCAACAATTCGCAGCAATACCTCCTGCATGTCGAAAGGTTTGCGGATATCCGGGTTCACAATCGATAGGAGATCTTCAACGGGATACCGTGGAGCGACAGGTGGGATCAGCCCAGGCAACAGCGGGGATCGTTCGTGGAGTGAGGCAACCCATTCCCGAGCCTTGACAATGGCGTCAAACCTATGCCCCTTGTCAGTACCCGGTTGGGATCGCATGAAGGGTATACACACTCGTCCACCGCAATCTGGTCAGCCAGGCCAGTCATCGTCGCGTGAACCCTGGCTCCGCCCAATTCCTCGGCCCCAATCACCTCCCCAGTAGCCATCTTCACCAGTGGGGGACCTCCAAGGAATGCCTGGGCTTGGTTTTCGACAAAAATCGTATAGTCTGAGAGCGCAGGATGATAGGCACCGCCGGCAGTTGAGGAGCCAAACACAATCGCACACGACGGCTTTCCGTGCGCAGTGCGGACTGCGAGATCACGGAAGAGCTGGCCGCCCTTGTGGAATACTCGGAACTGCTGGGGAAGAAAGACACCCGCCTACACACATTAGACTTCACGGATGAGCGGACTGGACGAGACTGTGTTACCGATTGGACTAATGAAATAAGAGGTAGGTCATTCTCGAAGGCAATCTCCATCACCCGGTTTACCTTCACGACTTCGGTCTGTCAGATTTATCTACCCGTCGTTGAGATTTGACAGCTTCATACACACCAGTCATTTCATTCCAGGCGCCGCCACTCTGGGTTGGGATATGCGACATGACAAAGGTTGGCCGCCCACTAACAGTTACTCAATGAAAAAGCTTCTGGCAAATGATAGCGAGAAAGACCAACCTGACATTGCCTATTCCTGCAATCAAGTTCGCACAGGGCGTCGAGTCCTCATTGCCGAAGCCTGCGAAGGATCCCACTTCCAGAAACGGGGAATCCTGGTCCAAAAGAAGGGCCACTCTGTCTCGGGCTACACATGGTTAGTCGCACAGCTTCGATACGGGGATTGGTTGACTTGCGCAACAACTGGCCCCTGCTTTGGTGCCGTCTCAGTGAAACATCGTTGCCCTCTGCACTGACTTGCTGCAAGGCATCTTCGAATCGCTCCAGAACGGGCTCCCATCTGGCTTTGTTCTGTTGGAACTGTTCCCCTCGGAGGTCGAGGCGGGAGTTGACTACGGGAAACAGTGATGTGGCAGGCATGATAAGCAATAGCGAAGATGGTGATGGTTGAACGTTACAATGCAACGGTTAATGGAAGAGCTCTTGTTGTTTTGATTAAGTCACGCTAGAGCGCACAGCTTCGATTCCGCTGCCCGGTCCGAATCCCGGTGGTCGTCCGTCCAGGGCTGTGGGGGTGGAGACCGGACAGCACCTCCACATGCAGTTCCCCGCTTGCCGGGCAAGGAGGAAATTATTAAAGATGTATTCTATTTGCTAGAATGTGTGCTTCTCCGAGGGATCTGTATAGATTGGACGGACTCGCCCTCCCTCTGCTCACCTGACCTTAGCCGAGACAGAGTACGCCTCTCATTTCCTTACAAAGTTCCATCATGGCGGCCCAGTTATCGCTCATCCACGGCCCCAAAGAGCCCGAGCTCCTGACAAATACAACTTTATGCGATCTCATTCACGAACAGGCGGGTCGCTACGGTGATCGTCCGGCCGTGGTTGTCCCTTGGCAATCCGTCCGACTGTCCTATCGCGACCTGGCGACTCGAAGTAAAGCGGTAGCAAAGGCACTGTTAGAGATGGGTCTCAAACATGGGGATGGTATAGGAATCATGGATGGGAACAGTTCCGAATACGTGGAGGTCTTCATGGGGGCAGCACGAATTGGGTGTCCGGTTGTCGTGCTGAACACTACGTACACCCCGGAGGAGTTGAAGAACGCCGTGCACCGAAGCTGTATGGATCTGGCCACACTCAATCGCGATAAATTGACAAGGGTATACGCTGACGATCAACACTAGGCTGCAAGCTGGTCTTCATTGCACCTCGTATCGGATCTCGAAGCCTAGCTGGCCATATCGGGGTTCTCCATGGTCATCAAGACCGCAATCCAGAGCTCCCAGAGCTTCGAGGGGTGGTTTGCTTGAGGGGGGATGTTGGTGGTGCGCCAGGCGTCATGTTAGAGTCATATGCACAATTCACGGCGAGGAGCAGTACAGTGCACGAGGGAGATGCGCTGCTTGCACAATCAGAGCGGGGCCTTGCACCGGAAGATGTGCTGAACTTGCAGTTCACATCCGGTCGGTAAATCGGTGACCCAACTCCACTCATCCTTTCTGACCGTGTCCCAGGTACGACGGGCTCCCCCAAAGCCGCTATGTTAACCAATATGTACGTCTGACCCCGAGACACTACAACGACAGCTAATATCCCAGCAGCAACATCATCAACAATGCACGTTTCGTCGGCAACGCCATGCGCCTCACACCGGAGGATGTCGTCTGTTGTGGCCCGCCTTTATTCCACTGTTTTGGCCTCGTCATGGGTCTGCTAGCCGCATTCTGCTACGGAAGCTCTATCCTCTTCCCGTCGGATCATTTCCGCGCCAGTAGCGTTGTGGACGCCGTTATGAGCGAGGACGCCACGGTAATCCTAGGAGTGCCTACGATGTTTGTAGCTGAATTGGAGGTCATTGCAAAAACAGGACAGCGGCCACGACGCCTCAGGACCGGACTGGCATCGGGATCAGCGGTGTCCCAGAACCTAATGAGCCAGCTGCGTGAGCTGATGGGGTGCGATAAGATGCTCATTGCGTATGGAATGACAGAGACAAGCCCGGTGAACTTTATTACGTCCTTGGATGATCCGGAGGAGAAGCGGACTGCCACTATTGGTAGAGTGATGCCTCATACCGCGGTGAAAGTAATTGACCAGACGGGCCGGATTGTGCCCAGAGGTCAAAGAGGCGAGCTGTGCGTCAGCGGCTACGCATTGCAGAAAGGATATTTTCGAAATGAGGAAAAGACGAGGGACGTGATGAGGAGGGATGAAAATGGGGTGCTCTGGATGCACACCGGGGACGAAGTCTTGCTGGATGAGCAGGGATACGGGCACATCACCGGTCGCATCAAGGACATTATCATTCGAGGTGAGTGGTTCGGTTACGAGAGGCCTTCAGACTGAATCAATCGCTCATGGAATAATTAGGGGGGGAGAATATTTTCCCCCGGGAGATTGAGGATCAGCTGATGTCGCACCCCTCTATCAGCGAAGCCAGCGTCATCGCCATTAAGGACGAGCGATACGGAGAGGTTGTTGGATGCTTCTTGAAAGCTGCTGTGGGGTGCCAGAGACTCTCGGATCCCGAAGTCAGACAATGGGTCAGTGACAAGCTCGGTCGTCACAAGACCCCCCAGCATGTGTTCTGGTTGGGAGAGCATGGAATGGGAGACGACTTTCCCAAGACTGGCAGTGGCAAGCACCAGAAGCACGTCATGCGGGAGATTGGGAATCGGCTGGTAAAAGAGCGGCATATTAGGGCTAGACTGTAGAGCACAGCGTCTTCTGTGGTATCCCCATTAGTACTCTACTACTAGTGTGTACTTGGTAGTACTAGTAGTAAGATAGATCAGAGCAAACCAATCACAGAGCATACATAAGCGGGCCTCTCAGAGTCGGTCCGGGGTCCGGCAGCCGGAGATCCGGGGAAGAAGAGCGGTCCGGGGAACGGATTGCCCACAACTATATCCGCAGCCCTAATCCGCGCAAAATAGCACATTAACAGTATGGATGAATCAAACACAATGTCATCAGCCTCACCATCCGTACGAATAGTCGAGGTCGGGCCCCGCGATGGACTCCAGAATATTCGCGACCCAGTGGACACGACGACCAAACTAGAGCTGATTCGTCGACTACGAGCAACAGGACTCCAGACCATCGAATTAACCTCGGTCGTCTCCCCTCGAGCAATCCCTCAGCTGGCAGATTGTCGGCAGGTCTTGCAAAATCCAATGATTCAGCAATTATTACGCACCTCGGACCTCCGTCTGCCGGTTCTTGTGCCGAACCTCAAAGGCTTTCAGATCGCCGTCCAGCATGGGGTCAAAGAGGTTGCGGTCTTTGTCAGCGCCACAGAGGGGTTTAGTCGAGCCAACATAAATAGCACGGTCGAAGAGGGTCTGGCGAGAGCGAAGCAAGTGGCATCTGCTGCAGTGAACGCTAACATTGCGGTCCGAGGGTGAGTCGAGAAACGACCGAGAATCCAGCTTCATCTAATGATTCCAGCTATGTATCGTGTGTATTCGCAGACCCGTATGACGGCCCGACGCCGACCTCCTCGGTGCTCCGGTGTGCAAAGACACTCCTGGAGGCTGGGTGCTACGAAGTGAGCCTCGGCGATACCTTGGGAGTGGGCACTCCTCTCGAGGTCCGCCGCCTTGTTACATATCTCAAGGAGAATGACATACCGCTCGAGCAACTCGCAGGCCATTTCCATGATACTTACGGGGGAGCGGCAGCGAATGTGTGGGAAGCCTACAGGTGTGGTGTTCGGGTATTTGACAGCAGCGTGGCTGGGCTTGGTGGCTGCCCGTTTGCTCCTGGGGCAAAGGGTAATGTAGCGTCAGAGGATCTAGTCTATATGTTTCAGAAGTCTGGAGTCGATACGGGAGTAGACTTGTTGAAACTGGCAGAGACCGGGGCCTGGATATCGGAGCGACTGACGAAATCAAACTCCAGCCGCGCGGGAGCAGCGTTGGTCGTGAAGCACAAGTTGACTCAACAATCGGCGAATGCAATTAACCTGCAGTGGACGGTCGTCGGAGAAAACGAAGGACTACTCCTGTCCCGCAGCGGTGTGAATTTGAAAATCACTTTGAACCGTCCAAAGAACGGCAACGCTCTCTCTGCGGCATTGACCGATGAACTCACAACAGTAATCAAGAACGCCAATGCGGACCCATCAATCACCCGCATCATTCTCACTGGCAACGGGAAGTTCTTCTGCACGGGAATGAATCTAGCCAAAGGAAGTACCCCCGTGGCCCAGGGAGGGTCAACAAGCGACACACAATATGACAGGCTTGTCAATCTCCTGGAAGCTATCGACCAGAGTCCCAAAGTAACCATCGCGTGTCTGAACGGGCCTGCATTTGGTGGTGGTGTCGGGCTTGCGTTTGCCTGCGACATTCGACTGGCCGTTAAAGCCACGAGCGTAACCCTGAGCGAAGTAAAGCTGGGCCTGTGCCCAGCGACCATCTCCAAATATGTCATTCGAGAATGGGGGATTCCTTTCGCTCGAGAAGCCATGCTGTCTGCGCGGTCGGTGACAGCGGCTGAACTCAAGACACGAGGGCTCGTCGTGGAGGTTGCGGAAGATCCCGAGCAGCTATCCATAGTGTTAGATGGCTTTCTGACCCGACTTAAAATCGCTTCATCAGCAGCATCCCGGATGTCGAAGGATTTGGTGAGGCTTGCATGGGTGCATGGTGGAAAAGATGAGCAGGCGAGGGGGATCAAGGAGTTGTTCGATGAGATGATGAAGCCTGATGCGGACGGATCCTACGGTGTAAACAAGTTCCAGGCCAAACACCCGGTGGACTGGGACGCGTACGATCTGCAACGATCAAAGCCGCGGTTGTAGAAATCCCATTATCGGCACAACGATGAACTAGATCTGTGAAATCCTCCCGAGTTCTTGTGTGCTAAACAGCTTAATTAATGTAACAGGCTGAGAACAAAGTAGTGAGACTAAATGTTTCATACGTACAGCACATACTGTGGCAATCAATAGTGTGGAAAAATAAAGGGATTATGGCCGTACAAAAAAGCTAGAATTTCTGATTAACGCGGTGTAATTGACATACAAAAGATTGCTTTCATGGTAGGCAAAATCACGCGGTTGTGTAGGGCCTACTGCTGTCCTAAATAATGTCAAAGTCATTTCAATTTTAGCTAGAATACTGACCTATTCAGCTTTTAAAGTCAACTCTATGTATCAGTCGTACAAATGGCTTTCAGGTCATCAATGTACATACTGCAGATGTTTGTTCTCTTATTAAACTAGCTGGTTATTCACTGGGGTTCGTTTCACGAAAAGGCAACCTTAGTCCTTTACACATCGAACGACTTAATAGCCAGTTTCGTCTTGATTACAATGTGTTCTCATTGTTTGTGAATCGCAATGGGTGGAGTATAAGACCGGACTGCAATAACTCCTGGAAAGGCATGCCGCAATCGATTTCGGTGTCATACTCATATATAGTAGCATTGAGGCCAGACTCAATAGCGATTTGGCACGTTGGGACAGGCAAATTGCTTGGAATTCTCGTTAGTTACCAGATTCGATTTCTATATTAGCATCTAGGGCAGGTAGGAAGGTTCGATTCATATTGGGTTCAGTACTCATTTTTAACATAAGGTATTCTACGCATTTGAAGGTGAAGATACGGAGGATATCGTAGTAATCTTGACTTTTTCAACTCGGATGCAAGCAATGTGACTTAGTTGGAAATGACCTAGGTACTGTTCTTGTGGTTATTTCCGCGAGGTTTGAGAGCTGCAATATAGTAAGCGAACCCTCTGATCTCGCAGTTCCCTCGCATGGTCGGATTGCACAGAATCAACTTGAAAGCAATCTGCAAGCCAGTCTGGTCCAGGCTGGGGGTTGGGGGGCTCATGCGAGCCATCCAAGGAAAAAAAGAGGGATGCACCAGAATGATACTGCTGGATATGACACCGGTGGACTCCCTGATGCTTAAGTAACATTCACGCCCAAGCTAGTCTCAAGCAGCAAATTTGCCCGATTAGTGATTTAAATTCACGAGAATATGAAATGGTTATCGGTTATGGCAATTTCCGGCATACTGTCAATGACACACGGGGCATTTATCCAACATACTTACTTTTGGAAAGTCATGTATTCTCACCAACTGTTGGTCCCTATTTACTTCTTTTGTCCCGCGCTTATATAAAAAATACTGATATAACGTACTCGGTAAACAAGCTACCACCACACGCGTTTTCAACGTGCCTCAATTTCTTAGATAATTAAAATACCAGCCATACTACCAAGAATGTCTAATTTATCAAAGTCACGCGTTGAATAGAAAGTTGGAATTCTACTGAGTATATGAGTCGGGTTCGGGTCCAATATAAGAACCCGTACCCATGGGTTACGTTTGGACATTGTATCCAAAATCCAAATCTATAAATCTGCGGGTTAGATCTACAGTCTATAGATTATCTACCAAAAGCCTATTCTTAGATAAAATTCTAAATTAGACTCTACGAAGCTATATGGAAAGACTATTCTTAATACCGGACTATTTCACAGGATTAAAATAACAAGATTATAAGAACTGAGTGTATAAAATAGTTCAATATAGAAATTCTATTAATCTCGATATAAACTAGCATTTAGATATATAACTGACTCTATTAACCTATATTAACCTAATCTAATCAGCCAAACACCAGTCTATACCTGGTACATAGACACACAATACTAATTCCACCAACAGGAAACATGCACAACCTTTTGTATCCTCTGCTTACTTATTCGGGGAATCTGGGGTTCGACTCCAAGGATCCTTTAGTCGAACCCTAACCCCAACCCCAAAATCATGGTTCTGAACCTGAGCCTTATTGGTTCCGAGCCAAATCGAATTTGCCAAGTCGCGACTCCTTACGAGGTCTGCTTCTTGCAGGATTGAAAAATACTTCACGTTGCTCACTTAGTTAAGAGGTCGTGTTACGTACAACCACCGACCAACATGACCAGACTCTTGAACTCGCTTCATATTGTCCCAGACATCCCCTTCATACCTTCATTTAGCGTTGCCAACGCTGAGCGAATCCGACTGTGATGTGCAGCAGCTATGGGGAGAATCGGCCGAGGGGGCGCTGCTTTGCAAAGGCCAAGCTCATTAGCCAGTGCGAAAGCCACCTTGAGGTCACCAAGCTCTTCGAATAGGTCCCACATTGGCTGAAAAAGAGCCGAGATACGCCGCACTTCGATATTATCCCCGTTGCGAGTGGCAGCCATCAGCGCGACCGATGGGGCGGGGAGTACTCCCGCAATCACACTGTACCATGCAGAGCCTCCTGCCAATAGCGAGTCAGCCACCAGCCAGTCCGCGCTGTATCCGACAGAAAAGCCAGACGGCAGCTTGGCACGAAGTGCTTCATGTCTTTCTTTCGCCTCAGAAGCAGGCGCGGGTTGCTTAAGCGCAACGACATTTGGCAGCCCTGCAATGCGAACAAGGAGTGTGTCACTGAAGGTAAAGTGCGTCGTGCTCGGAGTGTTGTAGATACAGAACGGCAACGTGGTTGAACCAGTGATCGACTCGTAATGCTGGTAGACTTCCTCTTCACTCAACGGATTGTACGAGACCGGTGCCAGTAGCAGCCCATCGGCCCCCGCCTCTTCAGCATCCTTGGCCAATTCCTGTGCATCATCTGTACGAAGTGCACCGACAGAAACAATAAGGGGTTTTCTGTCTTGCAGAGTTTGTGTGGCCGCGTACAATGCCCGCTTGCGTTGTTCTCTTGTCAGATACATGTAGGTCCCCGTACTCCCCAACAATCCAATCGAATCAACCCCCGGAATATCCAGCCTCTCAAGAATTCGACCGAGTGCGGCAGTATTGACGATGCCATCCGAATCCGTAGGAGTAATCGGAAACGCCACGAGGCCTTCAAAAACGTTCCGTGTCTTTCTCATATTGAGACTTCTATCCATCGATGATCCACGACTGAGCGATCCGCGACGCCGATGAAGTGCACTTATAGTAGAATAAATGTTGTGTTTGGCCCGGTGGCAAAGGGTCTTTGTCTGTGAATTTATATAAAGGTATCAACTGCGTCACTGTGGCCGGAAGGGCTCCGCCTTGGTAATCGAGAGATATGCTTCTGGTATGTATCTATGTAGTACATCCGTCCTCCGAGAAACCGGAACTCGACTCCACCAGTAGTTCGTTGACTGCAATGCCCCACCGCCACTCCTTCAGGCATAGGACGGTTAACATCTTTATTGGATACTTCCTCAAAAAGAGAGGAGCTTTCTATCATTCCACCTCTTAATATTGGACTCTTTCTATGATACGACGTCATAGAGGGTGAGTATGTCACGTGAAACTTCGTCATGCGGTGCACGAGAACGATTCCCTAGTTGCCTGAAGAGTGATGTTGTGAGATACTGTAGATAAGATCGAGTAGAGAGGGCTCTAACTTACCATTCTGGCCTACGTAATTACGAATTATTTCACGACACCACGGAAAGCGACGGCAGAGATCCTGGACCGAATTGTGAGCCCAATTTCGTCCTTCTTTGGGAATTGACGCACCTACCCAACAGCAGTAATGATCTAGACCGAGCCTTGAAGATACACGCGGGTAGGCTGGAAGAGCGTGGAGTCTAGAATAACTTAACTAGTAACTGACCCCTGCGGAAATGTGCGGAACCGCGCTGGTGGAAATGTGCGGAATGGCGGTAGCGGAAACCTGCTGGACCTTGTATACTGTCAAAGGCCAAGTTCGTCTACACAGTATATAAGTAGCTAGGAGTTTCAGTACCTGATGCAATTCATGGACCAACGAAGTGTCTACTCCAAACATAATACACTGGTGTTTCTCACGGAATCACCATAAACCTCATATTCAAAATGTGGGGAGTAAAGCTACCCGCAGAAACCCCCATTGTCACCGCGGTCTTTAGAATCCAGCGCCACTCCTCCAGGGACAACTCTTCCCTCATAAGCCACTTTGACAGCCTGATAGTCAACCAGCCCGGCCGCATCGAAAACCTCGAACAGGACAACCCCGTCCCAACCCGCGTCTGGCTCACATACTGGCCCTCGCCCGCCGCGTATCGGAAATGGTGGACCAGTGAGCCTGTCGCCTCGTTCTGGGTCTCCCTCCCGGACGACGCCGGCGTATACCGCGAGATTCTCACTGTGCCGCCTGGCAAGACGCAACATGGAACGAGCATCACAGACCGTCCCTCTGGCATGGCACCCTTGGGTAAATTCGAGTCCATTCTTGATAAATCGGGGTATTGGGGGTGCTACTATGACCGGATGGGCGATGTCAATAAGAAGGAGAATAAACTCCCCACTCCAGTCACCAAGAAGCCGACCAGGACGCATCCATTGTCGATGACGCCCAGCAGCAACGGCAGCAGTCTGCCCATCCGCAGAGGAAGAATCCAACTTCCCACTTTACCGGATAACATAGCATTTGTAGTCGAGGGTCAAGACCACGGTCTTATCCTCCCAGAGGAAAAGGAGCACTGGCTCGAGAACTTCGACCAGCTCACAACCAATTGGATATCCGATCTAGTCGAAGCCGGCCCAGAAAAGGGGATTCTGGATTCGAGATTATGCTACAACCCGGACAGTGGGACGTTCAAGGGCGCCGATTCCCAGCCGCGCGAGTTGAGCTTCAATGACAAGGTCCAGCTGTTCTATTTCTTGGATATGGAGGCAATGGAAAAATTTGGGAGGGAGAATGCAGGGCATGTTAAGCTGCGACGCGAGTTCGCGCAGAGTTATGGGCCGAAGGGTGCGATGACGGAATTGCCTGGGCAGTTGCGCTTGTGGGTTGAGGCGAGCATCTTGAAGGGGAAAGACATGGAGTGTGAGTATGTTGGATGTATTGAGGGGACGGGGTTGATGGGGTTGAATTGGCGTTGACCGTTTGTGGGCATCCCATGTTGGTTATGTTGATGTAAACGTTTTTCCAATTCGGTGGTATATTCTTGTACTATTTATGGTCATGTATTAGTATACGCGTGATTGTTCTATTTGCCGCGGAAAGAGAAATCTGGTGTTATAGATATTAAATAAATATTTTATAAATAAATCCCTTAATTCTTGTACGGTTGCGGAAATTATATAGAATCGGAGGGATAATACTATAAGTTAATACAGAGATAACTCAGAACTATTGTGAGCTTAAGCCGGACCCCCTTGATATCACACTATTTTAGATAACCAACCCTTATAGATAGACAGGCAACAATAAGAATAAGAGCTTCACTATGAGCACGATTTAGTGCAACGGCATGGTTTATCCTGCTTTTCTAATTGGAGAAGATGTTGGATCATGGGTCGGTCTGCTGAATAAATGAGATAACTCCTCCTGGCTACTGCATCCACCACAGTGGTGTCGCTCAAGACCACTTCTGGACAGTGAAATAGCTATTCAATAGAAGGCATTGATTTAGAACTGCATTCTAGAGCTCCCTATGGCGCACTGTCGAACTGCAAATAACCCAGCAGATCATTTCAGGTCAGCCTTTAGGGGGATTTGGGCATCTGCAGCATCGACTATGGCTAGATCATCTTCTACCTGCGTCAGTCCACCACCAGGTCCAGGAATGACAGCGTTCAAGTCCGGTAGGCGACATTCAGTGGCCTTAATACCCAGAAAGCGGCTGAGAATCCATCTCCAAGCGTCAGTATTCCCGTTCACAAAGGTCTGCATGTGGTCCAGGCCGGGATATTGGTGGTACTGAACAACAGTACCCTTACCGCAGAGGTGGCGCACGAGTTTCTTCGTAACTTCGACATCACCCACAACTTTGTCATTTGTTCCTTGGAAGATGTACGTCGGAAAGCCAGGAGCCCCGTGGTGCCCTATAACACCCAGTTTGTTCAGATCCTTACTGAACTTGGATAGGGAGTCCCTCTCGAAATTAAATGCTGCGCGAATCTAGTTCAGGGTGTGATAAGCACTTTGACAGCCGACCGTGAACGCAGCGTTCCAGCCCTCGTAATCGGGGATGTTCAAGATCGGCCCATACCCATTCACGAAGGGTTACACGAAGGACAAGTCCATCATGTTCCAGGACAAGGCGGGCCCCATCGCGCCAACCTGGAGCCCATACGAGGGCGAGCAATTGATGTCTGGAGAGTCATCGGCGGGCTGTACTGACAGGACCCAGCCTCTCCCGGCATCTTGTGGGACAATCATTGTCGTGACTGAGTGGGCTTTCTTCTTATTTATGTCCCTTGTAGCGTACAGTAATTGATATGCCGTTGCATTGGGCAGGATGCCGTACTGGAACGAATAGACATACACTTAGCGCTAATCTACAATCGATACGGATTCGAGTTCTTCCCAGAACCCTTTCTTTGGCTTATAGAAGCCGTCCAACTATAGGAAGAAAGGTGTAGGCGCTGTAGCCCCAGATGCAATGGCAGCGATGAGCCCGCCTGTTAGGCTAGGCTAATGCGGGAGGCACCTCATGTTGATATGGAACGACAGCAGAATAGGTGTTTCTGCTCATAGCTCAGCTGTGGTCTACTAATATAAGAGCAGTGGGGAGGAGCTGCTCCAAGATTGGGTAGTGTACTTGGTACCATAGGTCAATTTGATGAGATATCCATATTTATAGCGGCAGTCCCAACTGTTATTCTGTTAGGATTCTAGACTTAGTACTGTCATCATGTCCAACCATCTTGGCGATGTGTGTCGGGTATATTCCAGCTCTCGATTCCCAACAGGCCTGAAATGACGGGGAACATTCTCAGCTGCACCAATTGATGCTTGATCAACCTTCCTATGATGCATGATGTGTTGTGTAAGCGTCCAGCAGGTTTGCACTACATAGGAGTTCGGGTAATGCAGTCGCCTACAAGGGCAGATTCAGCTAGTATGCGCCAATGCTTCATCCACTGTTACACACAAGGGGTTAATGCCCTCCTCGGGTTGTCATGGCACTATTGCAGGGACTCAGGAGAAGTATGAATTCTCTCAGTCTCCGGACAAACTCGAATGCAAAATTGTGTCAAATAAACGCTACACAACCACAGAAGACTGCCGCAGATGTCCGGAAGCGAATTCCGTGGCTTCACCATCTGGGAGCGGCCAACAGAAGCTTCTTGCCAATCAATAAGCCAAGGAAGATCCTATTTCGTAAGCTTCTTACCAGGAAAAGAATGAAACCTGAGACAAAAGAGGATATGTGGGTCCACGTTCGGCTGAGGTCTCAGACTACGTGGAGGAATGACCACTGACCCAAGAGGTATCTGCAGTGACGCAACCGTAGCTCCTCAGGAAATAAAGCTTGATTGTATGCAAAGCACATTATTTGCTACCATTTCTTCCCTCGCGCATCACGGCAGCTCCGGCAATTATCGCGTGCTGAATTGTGGACGGATCAACGTAGTACGCTCCTAGACACAGTAGTGGCTTGGCTGAAAGAGTGGATCATCCTTTACCGTCCCATCCGTGGAGACGATTTTGCTTCTTTCTCGACTGACGCCCCCCTGGCACACTCGCCGCATCGCGCTAATGCTGAACAATATAATCACAGGTTGACCCCTCCTGCGCCCTATTTTTCACGCACTATGCAGGTTACTGAAGTTAGAGTACATCTCATTGCCTATTAGGTGGTAGCAGCTAGCTATGAATAGGCATGGTATCTTCTTTGCACGACACTGTAACAACGGTTAACTAGGCATAGAGTACCTGTCCGTACAGAAATCGCTCCTGGTGGCATTACTACTATCAGTCTCTGAATCAAGTCGAATGTGGATCACTACATCGCGGGATTTGACAGTACCATGGAGGCTGCATAAATGAAACATAAGACGCAGTTTAGATGCAAGCCATGTCTGGCTGTTAATGGGCCACATATGTTCCCACCGTTGCAAGCAACAAAGCTTCTCCTACTTTAGTAACAGCTTCAAGTCCTTTCTGGCTCCCACTGCCACTGTTGCCTCATTCCTTGTCCGTTAGCCCATTCGAGAAGCTCAATAGTAGGACCTACCGAGGACAGTTGCCATATCACCGTCACGGTCCGTGAAGAGTATAGGTCTAATCACTGAATCCCTAAACGAAGACCTAGGAGGGTAATTCCAGCTTTGCTTATAACGCTACCTACAACACTGTTTTCTGCTTGGTGTAGTCTGCATTGATCTTCGAAGGTAGACTTCTTTGCGATTTTCTTTGGCTGCTCTTCCGCCTGCTTCTATCAGGGGACTTTGCGGGTTTTATACCACTGAGACATCCTCTACGATCGAACCATTGGCGATAATATCCTCTTTATACCTCTACAAGGTAATTCATTGTACGTCTCTCAATTTCGGCCTGGATTGCGTCCTCGAAAAATTGTAGAAAGCTGTACTGGCTATTGAGCTGTGTACAACTATCATTGAACGTGCTTTGAGTAAGTGCAAAGGATTATGTAAATTCTAGAATAGAACATATCGAGTCATTAGGATTATAAAACATGGTGATCTATCTATAGTGCGAAATCTTGCGCCGTCCACGCCCTGTCAAATCTATAACAAATCCGGCAAACCAAAGGAAAACAAACATAACCGCAAAATTCAAGTCGTATACCTCGTACGCTCCTCCAAGGCGGGAGCGTTTCTAATAACTGGGGCAGCAAAGGGAAGGTATGGAATTATAAAGAATAAAGGAAAACAAGGCAAACAACACGATAAACCAACGAAACAAAACGGCCCTCATGCGGGGTGGATATCACGTATAATGGAGCAGAAATTAAACATAACAAGGGGGTGCATATTGCGCATTAACATCATACGCAGGAGGCATAGCAGATTCTCCTTCGTATAATGGAGGAGCACTGTTGCCGTGGAAGGTACCCTCCGGGATGGCATTTCGGCCAGCGACTTCATGAATCGGGAGTGTATAGCACGTTGTGAATGCTTTCGCAAACTGCTTTCGGTTTATGAGATCTCCGGTCTTGTCGTCAAGAGTGTCTTCTCCAGCGATGAGATGGAGCGTCAACCGGTGATCAACCATGATGGTTGTCCTCTCGCCTCTGGACTCAGCGCAGTCCTCGTTAAACTTGCAAGGGGTCACGTGGCGACATGGTTTTCCAGAGTCAAAGGTGCATGAAGAAAGATCCGGTCGATCGGCGGTGGGTGCACTTCTGGGGATGGTTATATCAAATTGAACATCAATTCGGTCATGGTGGTCTTCGTGGAGCTTTCGTTGCTGGGCAGATGGTTTCTTATTCGGAGCCCAGCGACCCTGTTGCTTTCCCGAGCACAGCTGACGCACAGATTTCTCCTTCCAAGTGATGCTCTCTCCGTCAGGACCATCGCTGTTGGAGACTTTCATCAACCTCACCGTCTCTTCAACGCTCCATCGGACCTCTCGAATGAAGAATTGCTTCCTTTCCGTTGGGCGAGCACCCCGCGCCGTAGTGCCACGGGCCACAAGCTTCGCAGTGTATGCGAGCTTAGCTTTGGGATCTGTCGGTTGCTCCGGGGTCAGAGACAACTCCGACTGCAGCCGCTCGCCAGTGTACTTTTTAAAATGCCGAACAGTCTGGCTGGGGCCGGTCACGATCTGCGAGAGAATTTGCACGTCCTTTGTCACGTCCACTGCCACTCCAGATGGCAAAGCGACCGCAGCGCGGACAGCATAAGACAACCCTCCGAATGGAGTCTCCGTGGTGCCTGATGTGCCGAATGGAACGGGTATCGAGAAAAGAAACTTCAGGACGGCTGCGCCCGAGTCCTCATACCACTCGACTGGTTCTGGGGAGTGCCATAACTGACACTGCACCAGCGTCTCTACCGTACTGCTTCCCTCTTTTTCTTGAGTGACACTAGTCTGGGTTTGAGGCACGCGTTTCCTGCGGATCCGCTGAAGGAAATCGCCCTTTTTGTTGTCGTTGTGGCCACTGGATGCCAGCTCATTGTTTCGCAGAGTCACAGTTCGAAGCAGACTAACAGTCACGTTGGGGTACTCCGCCTGATCGAGGTCCAACGAGGATACTGGCACCAGAACGGAGCCCGAAATGGGCGGGCTGTATCTCTCGCCGTGAGACCCTTCATATACGTGATGGGTGGTTGGAACGTCCAGATGCACAGGTCCCATGTGTGAGATCGTATCGCAATTGCCTTCTCTGATTATAGATGATGACGGTGATGATGTAACGGGCATCCGGGCACTCCGTTTTTATAACCCTTGTCCCTCCTTGTCAGGGAAGAAGATGAGAGCGAAAAGCCATCATAAAAATGTCATAAGGGGCAACCCCCCGGATCCACGTGGTAGGGATGACTCTTGATAACGACAATTCTTCTCAAGTCATAAAAACTGGAATGTGTGTAAGCGGTGCCGTTCGTTTCTCGTTAGGGCACGAGCTCCCGTTCGAAGATGAGTCTCGACCCAGACGTTCCCTCTGGCGATCTTCCCGAAACGGAAGCCAAGAGGGAAGTCGGTTCGTAAGCTTTCAAGGTTTTCCGGGGATCCACCACACGACCCTAATTTTGGAAGATGACAACCGTCCAGAATGATCGAAGATGCAACGTGTGGAAAGTACTAGAGAAGAATGATTCCGTCCATGTGACTAAGTGGCAACAGGCGTGGCAGGTTCGCAAGCAGAATTTTCTCCACAACGGAAATCCTCCGGCGGTGTCAGCGTGAAGAGTTTTCTTCTTCACCATGGCTACAATGCATGCGGTGGTTGGAGATTGATCATGTTGGACAAGTTGAATATAGCCCGAGAGGTTGGACCTGAAGCTTAAGGTTGAGTTCAGGCTCCTTCCTTGATCGACCTTCGAATGAGGATCCGTATCTCGATTCTTCATGCATTACTCGGGTCGGAAACCCGGGTGACCCACAGTTGTTTACCCACTGGCGAGGCCTCGGTTGGCACTTTTAGTCTTAAGTTTCGGGCAGGGACAAGGACAAAGTATCTTCAGGTCCAAAAACTGGCCCATGCTTTTTTTTCCGACCTCGTCAACAACGCATTTATCTTTTTCAGCCTCCTTTCTCTCTGGTTGTAGCATGTAGATGTTCCACGCAGGCCTTCATCCAAGAGCCTGCGTACCAGTTAGTCATCGTGGGTGGGTCTGGTATCATGGAAGATAGAATCCCTAGTTCGAAAGTGATGTCAAATAAATTAAGTATAATTGGGGAAAAATTTCAGAAGACCCCTCAAGGGGCTATGACAACTCAAGCCCAAAGAGCAGGTCCACCAAGGGTACTCAATGGTTAGAATGAGGGCGTCCGGTCGGTGAGTTGAAAATCGAGAGCCATCTACCCACACCAGTCATTGCCGTCGCTGCATTGCACCATCGGCTCATTACACCGTAAAGCATAGTCGCGATAGCTTTGGACACCAGTGCGGTAGACACGGCGTCGTCTAAGCCGGCATCAGGTGACTGGTGGAGAGTAATAGTGCAACGCAGACTCATTATGTCTCCATCGCCTGGTATGGCGACAGATCTGGATCGTTCTATATTAACGCCTCTATGGAGCACGCCATATGAGATGTCTCGTGATCTGTTGCGGTAGTGGAGTTGGTGAGTGTTGCTTCCAGCCATCAGTCCAAGACTATCGGATTTCCTCCGGTGATTGCCTTTTAAGTACTAGTGTGTTTCCCCACGCTGCTTTATGCTCACAAGGTATGGGGTAAGTAGCTTGAATAAAGCAGCCCCAAGTCCTGAGTCGATGTCCAGTACAAATACCTAACTAATAGCCATTCTCAGGTCTATATTAATCACAAGTAGCATAGAAGCGAACCAGGCGTTGTCGCTGAGTTTATAATATCTCGTTTTCTTTCCTCGTCCATGGTTCAGCCTCGAGACTATTATCACGGATGAACAGTTAGATCACATCAACGCTGACCAAGAATGGCAAGTAAATAGTTGATGCCAAACACAAGATACGGCAAATATCTGGAGGTAGTCTAAGAAATACAGGGGGTTATAACTAGACCTCTTTCAGTAACATCGTCCTCTGTCCTATTATTCAGGATACATTTCCATTTACAGTAAAGAAAACATGTTACAGTTGCTACTCATCGTATTCAGGTAATAGAAGAAAGCTGAGTCGATATGGAGGCTCTTATAGCAAGGTTCAATACCGGAAGGGGCTAAGGTGTACCAGGGAACAGCCAAACCTACCTGGGGTAGGGACATATTATCAGTTACCCTGATAGTAGTGCTTGTAATAGATTGCGCATCTCTTTGCCCTACTCCTTTGATTTGAATCCAAGCGCGTAAATTTTGTCCCAATATCAAGACTCAAATTCAGTAAATATGCCAAGTTTGTGGACCATTCTGCATTCATATCCACCTCCTCCAGGTTAGAATCTATGTAGTCACCCGCTCCGCTACCGTGCTTAATACGACCACCGAGAAGAGAGTCAATGTGGGAGTGGCGTGGTACGCCGGACCACGTAGAAACAGACTTCTATGAGGATCTCTGTAATTTTGAAATACAAGTTATATAAAGTACGTTCACAGTACAGTAGATTAAATAACCGTGGTCATACAACCCTAGATAAACAGCCAGCTGCATAGCTAGTCTGCGATGTAGATAAGTATTTAGTCCGGATCGCATGGTAGAGGGGTGTTCGGGTTTGGTACCATTTTGGTATGCATGGCATGCAGTGCCAACCTAGCAAAGATCAGGAACACTTGGAAGAGGGAAGAGAATACTTTTGTGCCCAATATATATCTCTGTAGTTGATTTGGAGTTAGATGCGACGCGGAAATTCATGCACCGGGAAGGAAATATATTCAAGCAATGTGGGTCATTTTATCTTAGGTGGTGCTGTAAATATATCTCCACAGTATCTTCCCTTCCATCCCCCTTCCAGAAAAGGCTGCCCTGCACACCAACCGAAGCCCAAAGCCCTGTGTCCAAAAAATATAACACAACTTATTCGCAGTTTCCACGACAGAGACAACCGTCGGAAATAACGTGTTTAGCCAAGCGTCTTTAGAACCTCATCGCGATGCCTTTCAAGATATTCTGAGAACTTAGTCAAACGAATTGGGTATTTTTCCAGCTCCTTGAAGTTGACTTGGTACCCAACCGTATTCGCCCACAATTGGGCATAGAGTCTAGGATCGCTCACAGCGAGGTCTCTCGCTTCTTTCTCATTGTAAAACTGAAGGGCAATGTCCTTTCCACTAACTCGGCTCAGCTCCCGCACGATCTCAGCCGGTGTAAGAGATTCAACACCCAAGTCTATTTCATGTTTGTGAAATGCCGCAGGTTCGATAATTGCAGCTGCCGCGAACTTCCCAATATCGGCAGGATCGAGCACCGTCATGGCAGTGTTGGGCTTGTATGCCGTTAAAAAGACTCTCTTCTGAACCAATTCAGGAAACATAAGAGACGCGGTCGGCTGATGGTAGTTTTGCATGAGAAATGCAGGTCGGAGAATAGTCCAGTATTGGACATTGGTTTCTCGCACCATTGACTCAATCTGGGCTTTGTTTCGCCAATACCACGACAAAGGATAGTCTGGTCCCCAATTTGGGAACTCTTCGTGCTTTCCTGTCATTGTAACACTGGAATAAACAATGGTGGTGACTGTGCCAGATGCAGTAGCAGCATCTATGATATTCTTTGCATAAATCACCTCGCTTTCGGTGTTAGAGAGGGAGGGTGATACATTCAGAAAGACTGCAGTGACACCTTCGACAGCAGCCTTTATGGATGACAGATTATCGAAATCGCCCGGGAACAGTTGCACTCCCAGGCGCTGGAGCTCAACGGCGGATTGGGACGATGGGTCCCGAACAAGAGCATGAACTTTGATGCCAGATTTTAAGAGTTCACGTGCAGTAGCACCGCCTTGGTGGCCAGTCGCTCCAGTAACAAATGCAACAGTCTGAGACATGGTATCAAGGTTTAAGGACACCCGTCTATGCGGAAAAGATAAGGGATAATGTAATAACTGGTTCGAACTTTGATGATTTTCTGGAGGGAGGTATGAATTGAAGAGGATTCAAACGCTTTAAATAATTTGTGACTTGTTAGAGTGACCAGTCTAGCCACCTTATCTCGCTACTGGAAGAAGTATACAGCTCGAGGATGTGGGGTGTTGCAAAAGAGGTATAGTATGCACCTTGTTTTGTCGACGCTAACCTGGATTGGCCTTAGCGCATTTGACCATTCCGAATTCAGCATGCAGCTCGACAAACTGGGGACTGTTCAACCCAACTCGTCCAGTCGACTGGTTTTGGTGGGGTTGATTACTAAAGAAGGGTGACGCCACCCAGGTAAGTCCTATAGAGTAGCTACGTACGGATCTTCAACCGCAGCACTGATGCCGCTCACAATTGAACCGTGACTCACTATGGTGTATCGCGGTAAGCCCAGCAGAGCGTGCTTGGAATGTCGAGTCAAAAGAAGAAAGGTATTGTACCTCTGCTGTTAGAGATCGTACCTGACCTAGTCTGATATTGGGGTAAGTGTGACTTAGCAAGACCATCATGTCGTCAATGTGCCAGGGCCGGCTCCATATGTGTAGGATACCGAGATCAGAATTCCCATACATTCCGAGATCAAACCGTGGAGACTCTGGGCAAAGTTCAGCCCTTTTCTGACAATAGCCCGCCGCTTATCCATGGCAACCAGATAGTCTCCGTAAGATCCGACGGATCTCGACAGGCTGAGATCTACCGATCTAAAGAGCAACCCGATCATGACCCTTGGTCTAAAATTACAGTTTCACTTGAACAGCAAGCCCTGCATTTCTTCTCCTACCATTATCTTGTGAATGGGTCGGGGCGACCTCCCAGCCATCCTGACTGCCTGGCCATAGTATACACGCGAGCAACAGGGCACGGATACTTGGCTAATCTCATCACTGCTGTGGGATTGGTTAGCCTGGCGTACCTGAGACATGCACCCGCTTTGACTCATGCGGCGAGGCAGACGTATTCTCGGGCTCTTCACGATGTATGTGCGGCACTCGCGGACCCTGCTGAAGCAGCATCCGACCAGATGTTAGTCGCTGTGATGCTTCTAGTGTTGTACGAAGTAAGTCTCTTATGACACAGGAAACCTCAGCCGGATAGTAATTTCAATCAGACAGTAACTGCTAATTCCAGCAACGATCTGAGTCCTTGGGATAGACACGTGGATGGAGCCCTAGCATTGGTGCAGCTCCGTGGAGTAGGCCAGCTACGTAACAGGATCGGTAGAAACATTTTTCTTAACCTGCGCACTGAGATCGTGAGTTGTGTTTAGAAATGTCACTGTAATTGATATTTCTGACTTTCTAATAGCTCATCAACTGTCTTCAACGCAGAGTGCGGGTACCAATCACTTTGATGAATTGGATGAGTGAGGCCCGACATTTTGAAACCGCACAAGAGGCACCCGCTGGTAGCTTGGCAGACTTGATTGTCAGTACTTGCGCCGTTCTTACCTCGGTCAAGGAGGAAGTTCTAGACGAGGTGGATCTGTCTCGCTATATTTCAACCCTTTTGTCGATTGATCAAGATTTGAAGTGCTGGGCTGAAAGCCTTCCTACTGACTATCTATATAAGACCTTAACTATTACAAAGTCTTCGAGAGAACTGTATTTGGGACGATACGACACTTATTCTGGCGTCGAGATTGTTCACATCTGGAATTTGCAGCGCTGTGCGCGCATTACTCTCCATCAAGCACTCCTTGAGATGTTGTCAATACACTTCAACAAGGGATTTTCTCCGTCAGCACCCTTATCATCCAGCCACGTACTCGGTACTTCGGACGCTGTTATACGGGAGAACTCGGGTGACATTTGTCACAGCGTTCCATACATCCTCCATCTCTGTGATAAGCCAGGTAAACCAGGTGATGTGAGAGGTGCTTCTATTATGTCTCTGTTATGGCCCCTCTGCATTGCAGGCACAGCACATACTGCCAGCGATACTTTGCGCGATTGGATCATAGCACAGATGAATAAGATCGAACAGGTTACTGGGATTCAAGGAGCGAAGCTTGTGGCTTTGGATATACAAAAGCGCTGCTTATTTCCCGATTGACTTCAGTACTTATCCACAATTATCCAGATACGACGTTAGACAGCCTCGTTGCGTATACATATAACTAATTTATAACTTCGCCTGCACCTTCTCATCCCGAACGACCAGCCTCTTCTCCCCACTTTCTCCTTTCCTCTCCCGATCTCTCAGCACTCGCCGTAGGATCTTCCCACTCGCGCTCTTCGGAATCTCATCCATAAACTCCACCTCGACAATCCATTTATGGCGCACTTTCTTCGCCCTGACATACTCAATCAACTCCTTCCCAACAGCCTTCACGCCATCTTCCGTGACCAGCCTAGACTTCGCCGCAGCCTTGACCACGACATAGGCCTTCGGCTTCTCACCCGAATAATCATCTGCCACCGACGTGACTGCCGCATCGTCCACGTCAGGATGCCCAAGCAACAAGTCCTCCAACTCCGCCGGCGAAACCCCAATCCCCTTTACTTTGATCATCTCCTTGATGCGATCGGTGATCACGAGGAAGCCCTCCGGATCCATAAACCCCACATCCCCAGTATGCAACCACCCGTCTGCATCAAATGTTTCCCGCGTTGCCTTCTCATTCCCCAGGTACCCCATGACCACCTGGGCCCCCGGGCCAAGATCTCACCCTCTTCACCAAGCCCCATTTCCTTCCCAGTTTGAGGGTCCAGAATCTTCACCTCGGTATTGGCCACGATTATCCCGGCCCGTTGCGCATACTCGTACGTCTGTTTCTCAGGCGGATGAGCCGTGATACAGCTGCATGACTCCGTCATCCCATAACCCTGTTTGAAGCCTGTCCAGGGGAAACGAGCCTTCAGTTTCTGGAGGATTTCACCTGAAATGGGGGCTGCGCCGGAGGAAAAGGTCTTCACGTGCGAAAGGTCGTAGTTGGACACGATTGGGTCGGTCAGAAGACGGATGATAATGGGGGGTACGGAGAGGATTTCGGTGATTTGGTATTCGACTATGGTGGACAGCATGGATTCCATAGTGAAGGAGGGGAGCATGTAGACAGTGCTATTGCGGATTATAGGGAGGTGCATTTGGTGAACGAGGCCAGTGACTTCTCTATGTCAGGACCTTCTGTGTGGTAGCAAGTGGAAGTAGAGACATACTATGAAATAAAGGCAATACAGCCAGGGATTTCGTCACATCTTTCCGCAGAAGTTGGTCGACTTGCATGCATTGTGCTATGACGTTGTGATGGGCGATCATCACCTAGTCAGTCTTGCATTAGCCAACTTTCACGAAATTCACAAGCGCATGATACATACAGCTTTCGGCAGCCCCGTGGTCCCTGAGCTAAAGCTTAAAAACCCACACACATCCCGATTTGTCTTATCCTTCGGAAGCTCAAAAGGAGTTATCTGCCCAGCGAGTCCATAGCTTCTCCCCTTCCTGACAAGATCCTGAACGGATAGATACTCGCCCCTTTGACCTTCCAGGAGAAAGATCCGCTCGGGAGGAATCCCAGCTTCCCGAGCAGCGGGGATCGCAACGTCCATCCCGGAAGGGACGGTCATGAGGAATTTTGCCTTGCCGGTTTTCAGGGCATATGTCATTTCTTCGATGTTGTATGCTGGTGAAGCACCTGATATTATACCCCCTTGTACATGCAACTATCATTAGCACTGCATGTATAGTTAGGGGAAAAGACGACCCGGACAAAGACTAACCAGCACGCACAGTGGCTAGCATCGCAACTGGATACCAGATCGTGTTCGGACTGAAGAGGGCAACGGTATCCCCCGGTTGGAGGCCGTAGTCACGCACCAGGGCAGTGGAAGCATACGTCGTGTATTCTCTGAGGGCGTCATACCGAATGCTCTCCTTTGTGGCGGCATTGACAAAGGCACCGAGGTTGTCGGGGCTGTTGGAGTTTAGGGGAGAGTAGCGCGAGTCAAACAGCCATTTCCAGATTGTGATATCCGTGGGGACTTAATAGTACTTGAATCTCAGCATAATGCTTAATACTCAGAGGTTCGTAGCAGTTGTGCAGTTGGATGGGAAGGGGCACATACTGTTGATACGCGGTCTATCCGACTGAAAAATCACCATTTTAGCCCCTCTTTGCCTTGTTTTAGTTTCAATACTGACAGACGAACGATTTCCTGGATCAAATAGAGGATGGAGATTCGCCTTGTCTGCGGTTTGAATATATGATACTCCATGCGGGGAACCAGTCGGCCGAGGTCAACATATACCCCGCATGTCGGTTATCACTTGCTTAGTTGTCCAATCGGTATCTTCAGATCCATTGAGAGTGTGAGATTAAGTGCCTAGATTGACTTTAGCAAATGCCGAGTGGGCCGTCCAATATAGACTGTAATAAATGATTAAGCGGAGTTGTATTGGCATCGAATCATCAAGGCAGAGTCCCGTCTTTCAGATCTAGGTGTAATTATTAGTCCATTCCTGATTCTGCATTCTTGTTAGAAACATTTGGGATCCCATGCAATGCTGCATTACCTTTGTATTTTTATATTTCAGACCATGAGAACTGCGTTGTTGAAGTTGCGCATGCCATGCGCCAGAGTAAAATTCGGCATTGAATGTTGGCCTACCCTATCCAGGTATCGCCAGTGGTGTTTCAGCATACTAAGATACTCGAAAATATTTCTGAGCGAAACTTGTCGAAGATCGTCTTAAGCTTTGTACTAATGGCAGCTCTGTGCGTTTGCTGGATGGCACAACGTCCCACTATCACCATGGGCCAGCAAATAAAGCCGTCTGAGGGTGACTCTGGTGGTAACATTTCTAGGTGAGTAACAAAAGAGGACACCATTTCCTGAATAGAAGGCGCAGAGATGGGGATAGACCCATCGGTAAGGCTTTGCAGGTATATCAGGCAAGCAAGGCGATAAAGCTCGAATGTCACACCGTCGTTGATCGTTTCCGCACCCATGTTGGGCTGTACATGGAACGAAGCATGAATATTCCGCAAGTCTTGCTTAGCACTTACTAAGTCGGCATATATCCCTTGATTAGAAGGCATACTTGATTCGAACTGCGATAAATGGAGGGCGACGCGGAACACAATAAAGAATACTTTCTGCGAGGTGCCCATAATTGATCCGCTTTCTAGGTGTTGGAGAAGACCCGGAAATTCGAATATCTGCCTAGCCTCACTCAGTTCCAGATGAGCCCCGTGAGTGAACGCCGTGATGGAAAAGAAGTAACAAAACATTTCCACGAGGAACTTTCGAAGCGATGAGTTGGGCGGCATTATATGCAGCCGGGGTCTTAGTAGAGCGGCTGCGGCGTTCAGATGTGGCAATATCTGATCGTTATGGCAGTAGTTCTGCGACTATACGGTATTAGAACATCGGCCTATCCCAGTCTACACATAGGGGGGCTCGCCTCGTGAAGACAAAATAAAGCAACTGCCAACAGGTTATGGTCTGCAAACTGTTATTATTCTAGTAGCATGTCACGACCCCTTCAATACATACCAGACGTGGGCTTGTCTGCCGATTCTTCACCACTAAGAGCCTCACGCAGGCCGGAAATGGCTCGACCGTAGTACTCAACCGCCGAGGCTTGTAATTCTACGTTCGAATCATACTTCAGTAAATCTTTCGCTGCAATCATGAGCACACAGTGCAGAATAAGCGGGCTTTCCATGGCTTCCGGGAAAATCTGAGAGAGGATCGCCGTCCGTCGGTTACCCATCCTTGAAGTCAGCCACATAGGGCCATGTTTGGCGAAGTGGTCTAGAAGCCGACGAACCAGGCCTAGGCTGGGAACTGCGAAGACCGTCACCATAGCTGCCAACTCTGGTGGCACTGTCATGTCTGAGAGAACTTGGCGTCGGCGCGGACGTCGCATGCGCACGACCACTCCCGTTGTTGGCCATTGGCAGGTGAGATTGTTTCGTTGGCAACCTGTACATGTGGGATGACGCTCATCGCATTTCTTCTTGCGGCGGCGACAGGTAAGGCATCCATTTTTGGAACGGGGGGCAGACCGTGACCTTTTACTTGGATCTTCGACCATTTTCTTAGTTCGTGGGGCTAGAGACGCAACCACTCAACAGACTGTACGGCCATAGACCCATTACCAGATGGTGTTGTTAAGACGAGGATGTCGTGGCAGATGGAGTGCATCGTCGAGGTGGAGAAAATGCAAACCCGCGCGGCACTTACGACCCCCGATCGGGTTTAGCCCGGTGGATTTATATGAGCCATCATATCTGGAAGTCTACAACAGTTCTCCACCTTCAGTATGGGCCACTCTTCACCACTACCTCTACAAACCAATGGCTATCATGACACGCCGTGACTACTTCCAGAATTGCTTTGTCGGTCTGGCACTACCGACGGCTGATATAATGACTCAATCTATGATAAAGTTGGGCGATGTGCTCGGCACTGGGGGATAATATATATGACGGTCAATCCAACCCAACAGCTTTTTCTTGACAAAATTCCAAGCTTGAATTGCAATGGTATCCTCATCGGAGATGGAACACGACACGCGATGTCTCGAGCCTGCGAATGTGACACCCCGCACACCTTCTGTTACAGAGAGCCGGGAAGATCTCACTCCACGTCCGATCAAATCAAACAAATGGAACGACCCGAGATCAAATATCATTCGTGTGCTGACCACGTTCTGGGTATTCTTTGTCATGGGGGCTAACGATGCGGCGTACGGCGTAGGTGTCTGTACGATGTGTCCAGTGATTCATTGCTAATGATTTATACAGGCTATATTACCTTATGTTGTTCCCCTCATGTCTTAAAAATTGACATTGTAGACTAACGGCAATCCTGACAGCTCGAGGAATACTACAACATCCCGTATATGGTCGTGTCCTTGGTATTCCTCTCACCATTAGTGGGCTACGTCCTGGCGGCATTGGTCAACAACCAGCTGCATATGGTCCTGGGACAGCGAGGAGTGGCTCTCATTGCACCAGCCTGCCATCTCATTGCGTATATCATCAGTTGCATCCATCCCCCATACCCCGTGTTAGTTGTGGCGTACATCTTTGCGGGGATTGCAAATGGACTTCACGAGGCGGCGTGGAATACCTACATAGGGAGTTTGGAAAACCCCAACGAGCTTTTAGGCCTACTTCATGGGGTTTACGGCCTTGGTGCGGTGATCAGCCCGTTAGTGGCTACAAACATGATTACCAAAGCAAAAGTGCCATGGTATTATTTTTATTTCTTCATGGTACGTCCCTTGGCTATTCGATCCTTAACGAAATGCTGACTACTCGGGAGATCGGTATATCTGTTGTCGAGGCTGTGGCATGCCCGGTGGTTTTCTGGCAATTCACAGGGGCCGCCTTTCGACAATCTCATGAACAATCTCACGGGGATACGGGTGAACAGGGCAAGAATGGGCTTCGGGATGCCCTTTTCACCCGTCCCGCTGCACGCGTGTCCTGGCTCTCTTCCTTTGTCCTACTGTTTTATGTGGGAGTGGAGGTGACGATCGGCGGTTGGATCGTTACAATCATGATGGAAGTGCGGCACGCAGAGCCATTCCCCAGCGGCATGACAGCGACTGGGTTTTGGCTAGGAATAACGGCAGGACGAATGGTATTAGGGTTTGTTACAGCGCGACTGGGCGAGAAATTAGCCACAACTGTACGGAATGCGATTTCCCCCTTTACTAGCTTAGTTGCTAATGCCGTACAGATCTACATTGCTTGTGCAATAGCGTGTGCGTTGGTTGTATGGTTGGTTTCCAATTTTTATGTCTCTGCGGTAGTGGTGTCAATCCAGGGTTTCTTCCTCGGTCCACTATTTCCCTGCGTGGTCGCGGTCATAACCAAGCTTCTCCCCAAGAATCTCCATGTCGCGGCGATTGGCTTCGTGGCGGCGTTCGGAGGGGCTGGCGCAGCAGTCATTCCATTTGTGGCCGGCGCAATTGCACAGGGAAGTGGAGTTAAGTCCCTCTTGCCGTTCGTCGTGGGCGTTTCGGCGGGCATATTACTGCTTTGGCTGGGCTTACCACCACTGAGAAAGAGTGGAGCCCAGCAATAGCATGTCTATGCCTCACCAACTCAACAGCGATAGTCCCCTGATACTCTCGTGACACTCGCCGAATCTGAGAACTCAATTGAAAGACGGCCAAAAGGAATAGAGCTTATGGGTGCTAGGTCTAGTTAGGTAGATAGCATACCATCCAGCAGAATATGATGTAATAGTTGGAGCAGCTCTCCGTACGTCTACTGCAATTATCCGAGCGTCAATCCGTGGCCAATAATAGAATGGGCGCATGTACTCCTCACAGGATTTCTTCCGGGGAATAGCAAATATTCAGTGAATCAGAAGTCAAGGCCGCGAGGATCAGTTCCTCATGTGGAGGGAAGTGGGTCGCGACCACGCAACGACAAGAAATCGCTATGCCTGAAGATCTCTCGTTTGGGTAATTCTCCGGCCAATGTCTTGGATGGCATGAGCTGGCTGAATATATAAATATCCGACTCGGTTTGTCAATGACCCGACAGGCGTATCATCGCGTCAGAAAATAGTGCTGTCCGCAATGCATCTCAATCAACTTGTCCTCGCTGGTCTTGCCCTCTGTGGCTCAACTTTAGCTTCTCCGACGCCCGCCAAACGGGCGGACGACAAGGTGGGATATCTCTCTGTCTACTGGACAACGGACGATGAGAGTGTCTACTTTGCCTTGAGCGACAACGATGACCCTCTCGGCTTTGCCGCGATTAACAGCGGTAACGCTGTTGTTTCCCCAACGCTGGGTACCAAGGCTGTTCGCGACACGAGTATTATTGCAGGACAGGGCGATGATGCTGGAAAATACTGGATTATTGGGACGGACCTCAACATCGGCGAAGTGAGTTCCCCTACTGGATATTGATCACCGGAGGTGCTGACCGATAGACAACCTGGGACGCCGCCGTCCGCACTGGGTCGCGCGCGATCTATGTATGGGAGAGCACAGACCTGATCAACTGGAGCGAGAACACTCTGGTGACGGTTGAGGATAGCACCGCCGGAATGGTATGGGCGCCAGATGCCATCTGGGATCCGGAACAAGGTTAGTACCCTCACTGGAAACCCACAGATGAAGCTGACTCTCGCAGGACAATACTTCGTTCACTGGGCCTCGCGATTCGTAAGTAACCCGTACTCTCCTACATGACCCGCCTGCGTTTCCCATAGCCCTGACTAACATACCCCCAGTATGCCGCCGACGACACCGAGCACACGGGCGACGCAACCACAGGCAACGTTCTGCGCTACGCCTACACCAGTGACTTCAAGACCTTCAGCGAGCCAAAGGATTATATCGTGGGTACTACCGACGTGATCGACCTGTGCCTCATCCAGCTGGATAGCAACACCCTTCTGCGCTCATATGTCAACAGCAGCGCGGATGGCTTGCCCGTGGAGATCAGCACGAACGGGCTTCTCGGTGACTGGTCGCTTCTTGGTTCCATCGCCGACAGTGCCAGCTACGAAGCTCCCTATTTCTTTGCCGATAATACCGGTGGCAGTAAGGGATATTTGACGGCGGATCTTGTTGGTAGCTCTCCCGGTATTTCGGGTTGGGCGTCGGACGATCTGAGCTCTGGTGTTCTTACCAAGGATACTTCTCATGATCTGACCTTTATGAGACACGATTCTGTGCTTGCCGTCACGCAAAGTCAGTATGACGCGTTGAAGGCACTGTAAACGATCGCTGCTTGTGACGGAAAGAGCTTGGCGAAGGGAAGATCAAGGGGAACTGGGACTAGAGTATACGTAACAGCTACAGCAAAGCGCTGCTAGCAGGAAATCCATACATGCATACCACACTTCCATACATTACCAATTAATAGCGTCCCATTGCTGCATATATATTGTACGTTGCGTGTTCCCAATATACTATTGCCACGTTCCAATCTAGCCAGAGGTTCCAGGGCCAAAACCTGCTAATTACTTATGATAAAGCCAAAGGCTGTATACATCTCGACTACTCCAGGAAATGGGGAGCATAAAAATGCAGAACTTCTGCCGAAGAAAAGCATTCCTCAGAGTGTGAGTACACTTAGCAGCTATACTAGTATGCACAATTTGAGCTAGTGATGTAACCAACCCCCGATGATACTTTCTTGTTGAATAATAAAGAATGCATGAATAAATGCAGAGAGATCACCTATATCTGAGTTCTTCCTGACTATGGCGCTAACTCCTTCCCACTACTTCCAACTCCAGGACCCGGGTCTGACTCGGCAGACTTCGGTGCCGTTCCCTTATAGCCTATACAACATCAGCATCAACCACACCAACAAATCCACAATAGTAACATACTACTTTGGTACAACACCGTAGCCAAAACAACCCCAATAATCGCAGCCTAGAACTCACATCAGCACGTTCAACCCGAATCCGACACTAAAAACCAAGATGTCAATACCAAAGACAGATCCATTCCCTCAGCAACCTCCAACTCCCACGTCGGTCGTTTCCCGGGTATATACACCGAGGCCATATCTTTCAATTTAATGGCTGTGACAAGGGCACCGTTATAATAAACGTGCGTCTTCGACTTCCAGATATCCTGCCCCCGCACTTCCAGTACCATTTCTTCTCCATCCGCCGCGGCATTGTGCAAATGGACATCAAACTTATCCTTGAGGGCATGCCATTGAGGCACAATTGTCGCGATGGGAGAGGAGCTCGCACTCTCTCTCCCACCAGGCAGATGGACAAACCATGTCACGCCGAGCCTCTTATGGGCGATCTCAAATAAAGGTAGACCGGAGGCGTCTTGGAAGTATCGTCGCTGGCTGATCGACTTGAAGTCCCCGTCGACTGTGAAGAGTTTCTCTGCGAGGGGAGACTCATCGGTCGGACATTTTGTGATTGTGAAGTCGCCTCCGGACCAGCTGTTGCTGTGCTGTTTCACTCGGATGGTCGTTGGGTGGGATGCAATGTATTCTGTTCGCAGTGCGATGGGTTGCTTGAGGGGGGTGAGGCTGGATGACATTGTGGTTGAGATAGTGGGGGGAAGGGGTTGGAGATTATGTTTTAAATAGAGGGGATGCTTGGCTCTCTGGGTTACATCTCTTAACGCTGTGAAGGTGAGCTTACTTGAGTTGTCCCACTGGCAAGTGGTTCCGCCAAGAGTAATTCCAAGGCGATGTGAGGCTCAATATGACGCCCGAGTGTGGCGGAGAGAAGACCTGTTGGGGTCGAAATGCTCTTAATTGGCTGAGACATCTCCACTGTCAACTAGTATGGTGTTAAGACGATTCTTATCTTATCGAGCCTCGTATTACATGCAGTGTTGGCGGGGCATAAAGCTCAGCTAAGTCAGGCCCCCCATTTGTGAGGAGATTATAATTTAGTATCCTTGGCTGCAGAGCACTGAGGTGAACGATACTCAAACAGGGGGCCACTTCAGATACTTGCCTTCATAGTTGAACTACGTTTATTTATAAGTGGTGAATCGGCAGAACCAGAAAAGGTCTCCAGGGGTCTTACAGGGTGAAGCAATTACACCTCTACAAAGGCAAGGCTCTCGTGTAACTAGATAAATAGAAGAATGAACTAGAGTGGACACCTGCATATTGTCTAATGCGATAAGGGGCCGTATGGCTAATATTGACGCTATTCAAGGCCAGGTATTAGTGTTTCTGAAGAAGAGTTACCACCCCCTCGTGACCATTCTGAGCTGCCCAGGACAGTGGTGTTTGCCCATATTCTGAGTCCTTGGAATTGATATCCACCTTTCCCGTGGCAAGAAGAAGCCTTACCACTCCCTCGTGGCCATGCTGAGCTGCCCAGGACAGTGGTGTCCAGCCATCTGAATCTTTGGAATCGATATCTATCTTTCCTGTGGCAAGAAGAAGCCTTACTACCCCCTCATGGCCTCCTAATGCGGCCCAGGACAGGGGTGTTAGCCCATCTTCTGAGTCCTTAGTGTCAGGATTGATTTCTCGTGTAGCAAGAAGTAGTCTGACTACAGTCGTAAGTCCCAGTGCTGACGCTATCAAAAGTGTGGTGGCGCCATTAGGAAGATAGTATTCCCTGCGTGAATAGATACTAGACCAAACTTGATATATATCAGCGTTTGGGTCACAGATCATCTGCACACGTATTATTAACCGGTTTCCATCCTCCACAGAAGCTTGACGAAAGTGTGTACTCCAGTAACATGCTGAATATTGAAGAAAGCTTTCTTCCAAACCTTTCTCATCGGATCTTTGCTCTTCATAGTTTTCCTCGCAGATTTGATGTTGACTGATGGTTAGATATGAAGTGCATATATCGGCAAGAATGTGATGGGAGTATTTTGACAGAAGTGAATACTTCCATGTGTCTTTAACGACTTCTAAATTCCCAGTGGAGTCGTTACCTCGGACCAAAAATTCCTTCGCAGTTTGGTGAAGAAGATAAGCCTTCTCATCTATAACCACCACAAGCAGACCACACAGGTCCCTCAAAGTCTTTCTAAAACGGTCTTTTGGTTCCATGTCGTCACGGATAACTGTAAGACTTTGCTGACCTGCACTGAGTGCTAAGGCAAGAGATAATTCTCCCAAGGAGAGAGGCCTCATGGCAGCCGTAATAATATGAAGAAGAACTCTAGCTTTCTCTTCATCCACACTCCGGGCCAAGATCTTTTCGTAGGCATTGTCAACAGTTTTGGGAAGATGCTGTATCGCCTGACGGATATTGCCCTTTGTGAAGCCCGGGATATTTTCAAGTACGTCCATGGTAAGGCTAACCCACAAATAAGTTCGGTTCTTAACGGCGGTCAGCTGTTGCGCAAGCATATCGCGTTCATCCTTCTCCAGCAATCTTTGATGGCTGATATCATCAACCCTTTTTTCAATAACAAGACTTATTTCGCGGGATATATCCTGGACCTCTTCCTCGTTGTCTCCACTTAAATGGATGGTAGGTACTTTGCTTTCCAATTCCCAGAATCCACGTCGTATATGATCATACGGTCGGCTTGTTATCAGGAACTTTAGCTTGCTGCTTTGGTGAGGCCCCAAATAAAAGTCCCTAACAGCGGAGATGAGCTGGTTCCGGTCACTATCCTGACACTCGTCCAATGCGTCCAGAATACAAATAATCTCTCCAGCCTTCGAATTAGCAGAGACAAATGTAAGGATATTCCATAGTTCAGCAAATGATTGAACGAGCTTATCACCATCCGTTTCCAGTTTATCCAGGACTGCATCTTGCAAAAGCTGGGGCTGTGCAATAAACAGTTGACGTAATATCACTGAGAGTGCACCTGTCGCACTCTTCTGATCGGGAAAGTCATCTTTGAAGAAGAAATAACAGACTGTTCTGTCAATAGTATTGCGGAGAAGTTCGTCAACTAGATATTTAGTCAAGACTGACTTCCCACAACCTGGATCCGCCGAAACCCATAAAAGACCTGGGAAATCTTTATTTGTACACTGCTGCCAGTTTTTGAATCTAGGATGACTTGTGAACCATTCGCAAGTTCCAGGGACACGCTTGGCATTTCTGTCTTTTCTATCCTTGTATGGGCAAGTGTAGAGCAGATTGAAAAACTTTTTTACTCTCTCATCTCGAGCGGATGTAGTTGCCCATATATCACGTTCACATGACTTGTTGCGAATCTCTTCGAGCTTCTGGTTCAATTCTGCATGTTCGATAAGAGAAGTCGATCGATCTAGCGATCCTTGATATGTCTCAAAGTCTTGCAGCAAGTCGGCCCATCCATCCCACTTGAAAATATTTCGGATTAACTGGGAGGCTGAATGTCGGTGTACGTAGCAGACTGCCCGAGCCTGGAACTCTAAAATCTTGGAGTAGAGAGACACCAAAGTATCCTGAAGCTCTGCACGGAGGTCGATCGCGTGCTTGTTCTGGGAATTCAAATAAAGCTTTTCCATTACGTGAAGGCGTAGTATCAATCCAGATGTTGATTCTAGGCCTTTTAGGAGAAGCGTATGCTGCTCTGCCACTTGGACAACCATCTACTAGAAGTTAGGATCCCAACAAAGCGAGCGTACAGGTGATAACACCCGGTTAGGACTTACCGAAAAGCAGGCTATTATGCCAGCACAGGCAAGGGACGCGGGTGGGCTTGCGCTTGCAGCAGGACTGACGAGATCCTTGATGGCCACAACGTTTTTGGAGATATTGGTGATTTGCTCACCAACACCGACATGATGATTCCCTAGGTGAATGACCCACTTCCTCTCCTCTAGTAACTCGCGAAGTCGTTTGTGATGACTTGTGTCCCCTGGCTTAAGTGACAAACCATAGTCATCTTCAAGGATCTTAACCGAGTCTGTCAGAACTTTGTCCAGCTCAGGAGTCTGTCTCAGCTTTTTCTCTGCTTTAATCCAGAGATCCTTGGATTCAGCAGGACGTTTATGTTGCTCCTCTTGCTTGGATACCGGGCTTTGCAATCGGCTTTTACTCTCCTTGTCCAAGGAACTGCCGCTTTCAGGTCGTGTCTTCTTTTTAGGTCGTAGTTTCCTCCAAAGGGAAGACATTTTGTTATTGTCTTTGGGTGTTCTGGAGATAGTAACTAATTTCATTGAGTATTGGCGTTCAGGAGCTTGCCCAGGGTAGGCAGGGTTGGTAGCCTTCAGCCGCAGCTCTGATCGTTTTTCTGACACCAACCCCGCTTCAAAGCTGAGCTGGCACGACAGGGATCATGGGTTGGCATGTTGGCTCCACTCTGGGAGTCCATTCAGATAACGCCCCGGTAAGACGACAAGTCTTAGGGCAATATATCAAGACAACTCAATTTCAATCGAATGGCCTCCTTACAAAGCCCTGGGGGAAGACATAATTGCTGCGACACGCTCTCCAGTGGCACCCGTTTAATGTACATTCGGCCGTGACTGAACAGCAGTAGTATCACGGTAAACCCAGACACTTTTATACAAGGCGTCATTTGGGAAGAAGTATCTGATATCTCATCACTATAAATCATAGATAATATCTTAACCAACAGTTGTTATCCTATAAGTCTAAAATACATAAATTATATGTATATTAATACGAGATGCTCGAGATGTGACCTGTTGTATAAGGACTGGGTCCTCGTTGTAAGAACGGCTTCATTCTACATATGTATATACCTCGAAGGGAACAACCCTTACTCTACAATGCATATAGCGGCAATTATACAGTATCTATTTGACGACAAAACATCTCTTCCAAAAGAAAATGGGGAATAACGGTGTTTTTTCAATGAATGGTTATCGAGCTGCTGCGTAGTATGGTTTTGAAATTTAATCAGATCTAAAGTATATTCACCTGATCTCAACTAGTTTTTTCTTTGTACCACTATACCTGGTTTATCATAGCTTTCACCTCCGGCGACAACCTGACCGGCTAAGGACAAATGGAAGCCCACAGGATGTGAGCGACCATCATGATGGATGATATCCTTCTACAGCGATCCGGTTCGAAAAACCCTCATTGGGCTCGCTGTTCGTCTCCACGTACCGACGGACATGTTCGGGAACTTCATTCTTATTGTTCGGGCCAGGTATCGGTTCCCCACAAGTCCTCCAGATGGGAATAGCACCCTCCCAATAGTGATTAGCCGCGCCTGCCTCCAGGTCCCTTTCATCCTCCGTCCCAAAGCTATGCCTCGTGTGCACATGAGACTTGCTGGCGTTGATATCCACCCGTATGACAGCCGCCCAGTCAACCTCTGCTCGCGTAGTCGGGCGTGTTCCCTCCCACCGACCAGGGACGAAATCATCCATCAGCAGCTGCATGGCTTCCCATTTTTCCTCTCCCGATAGACTATGTGCATACCCATTGATGGTCGCACTGCGGAAGTTGTATCCATTCCAGAACGGCGTGAAAGCTAGGAAACATCCATCTACCTCGCTCGCGGTTACTGTTACCATCAATCCTGTCTCGTGTGCAGTTCGCAGGCGCTCTTTCATCTCCGGTTTGATGTAGCCGTGTGCGTACAAGACGAGTTGGTCTTTGTCGGCTTTCGAAGATAACCTTGTCGGCTTGTCAAGTCGGCCGACGAGAGCGATGACGGTGGGAAAAGGATAGTCTGTGTCACCTTCCTCCGCAGGAAATGTGAAATGCAGGATTCGGGGGTTGTTGACCACCCCTTGGGCAATGGTGGGACACCAAGGGCCTGATAAGCAAATTAGTATATTATTGAAGCACGATAGATCGACAAATCACTACCATCCCACTCTTCAGACATTTTTTGGGGGCGAATATGGTTGCTCAAGGCCGTGATGCGGTCCTACTCTGGGAAGGATGGAGGTGTCTTAAACGATCCTCGATGTGGTAGGCAAGGCTGCCAGTTAACGAACCCAGATGGCTTTTACCTGGGCGAAAGACTACGTTTTGATTTGCTACCAGTGCATTTCCGGAGTCTGAGACACCTAAATGATCTGTCACAGAGCTAGATGATCCCCAGAGAATGTTAGCCACTTTCAACATTGTCTTACGGGCCCACAGTTCCCATACATCGCTCTCTACAATAAGGAAAGAATGATTTCATACAGTCACTCTGTCATCGAAGTATTCCGACATACACTGCCACCAGCATGCGAGACTATTTTGGCCTCTCTTGATCCTGGATACTCGTTTACATCGACACCTAAAGATCAACAATAATTCTCCCCAACGGTGTGCCTGAATGCTCCACCATGGCTTACATTTTGTTCTGTAGTCCTTGATGATCTCAGATCTGGTACGTGTATCGCTGCATACTGAAAGGCTTCTCATGCCATTGGCCGTACCTAGCGACTAGCGGTGAAACTAGCGGTGAAGCCACATCGTAGCTGTAGAAAGGATTACGAATGGTAATAGAGTACTATCCAAAGTATATTGAGGACCCATTGTAGTACATTGTTTATCTCCTCGCTGCCACTATGCAAGGCCACGAAGGGTATCTTATGAGATTACAAAGTGGAGCTTTTATGATAGAGTTCGGACAAGTCTCTCTGCAGAAATGTACTCCAAGGCTCCGTACTTATTCATCTTCTCCTCTTCGGTCTCATCCCTTGCATCCATTGTGACATATCACCTGCGTGGGTAACTTCTTTTGGAAGAACTAGTAGAGGGATAGTCTGGGAAGGCAACCAACAGGAGAAAATAGACTAGTAGCTGCAATCATTAAAGGTGCACATGAAGAACAATGAAATTTATGTTTGCCAGCAGTAGCAGGACATTTGTGTACACTCAGCTGCTTCAGAATGACTCGCGGCATCGCCGACCAATTTAGGGTCCTGAATGTATCCTTTGTATAGAGATTGTGCGGATGGAAAGGACACCCCTACTCGCTCCTATGCTGCAGTAATTCGTCATGGTTCGAAATATAAAGGAAATTGATCTGCTACTGCTGTGAATAAGAATGATTCTCCCTCGAAAATACAAGTACTTAATTTACTCTTGAAAGCAACTATGTCATTGTTATTCTCTACTTCATGTCGCACACACGCTGAGCGAAAGCCACCAGCGGGATTTCTTCCCGTTGAGTCACCTGTGAAGACACCATTAAACCGATATTATGAGCCTTGGGAGATGATTACGGCGAGCCTCCCATCTCTCATATCGGGGATGCTAGTTCGAGACTCTATTGACCGTATGCCGATTTTGTCGGTACTTCACCTACAGACAGAGCCAGAGTGGCGCAGAGCCTATGTCCTACTGACATTCATGCTTCATGGTTATATATGGGGATGTCCAAATCCAGTAGAGGTAACCAACAGTAGATACGTGGTTCAGTCCCGTCTACCAATGGATGAGTGCTAAACAAAATCATTAGATCATCCCACCACCCCTGGCCATCCCATTATTGCAGGTTTCCGCCCATGTTGAGCTGCGCCCAATTGCAACTTTTGCCGGATTATGTCTGTGGAATTACAAAGTGATCGACGCAGATAAATGTCACGCAGATCCTGCAAACCTTCTTATAGGCTTCACCTTCACTGGAACAGACGACGAGAAATGGTTTTATTTGATATCAGTGGCTATTGAAGCAGACGGCGCAAGAGTAGTCTCGCTTATGACAGATCTCATAACTGCATCGCAGCGGCAGGACAGGGTTGCGGTGAAAAAGGGCCTGGAGTCACTATGCAAAGCAATCGGGCATGTCCGGTTGCTATTGCTGCGCATGTACGAGCGGTGTGATCCGCATGTATTCTATCACCATCTGCGGCCCTTCTTACACGGTACAAAGAATGCGGTGAACGTTGGACTTCCACTGGGTGTTATCTATAACGATGGAGCAGGGTCGCAAAGGTATACACAATACAGGGGGGGAAGCAATGCGCAGAGCTCGCTCATCCAGCTTTTCGATATTGTTCTCGGCATTGAACATTCTGCAGCCGAACGGGCCTTCTTGCTGGAAATGCGCGAGTACATGCCGGGTCCTCATCGCCGATTTCTAGAAACAATCCCTCTCCATGCGAATATGTGCGAATTTGTGAGGAAACATCCCTGTGATGAAGAGCTGAGTGTTGCATACGCTAGTGCTGTGCGTATGCTTCGTTCATTGCGCAACGCACATTTACGGATCGTCTCTCGGTATATCATTGTGGAGTCGAAGAAGACAGGGCCGGTATCGTGCTCCATTTGCAATTCTCGAACAAATACCTCAAATCCCTTAGAAGCTTTGAAGGATCCATGCCTCGAGCGCAGCAGAGAAAATGATATCAGGAAAAGTGGTGGCGTTCTGCGGGGCACCGGTGGAACACCTTTGGTTCAGTTTTTGAAGCGCATTCGGGATGATACGAATTGTCAAGAGAGCATGTTACTCGCTCAGTGAGAAAGACTCCCAGTTTAGAGTTTGTCTTCTGGATGTGATTGCGGTCTGGAGGAGGTTTCTAAGTGGATTGTTTTGGGGTATTTGGTGAGACTCGCCAGCCACTTGCGACCAACTCGAAGTTACGTAGCTTCTCCAATTTACTCACCGCAGGTGGCTTTCCCTCATGCATGCCACGGCTGGTGTTAAGCAGTATACTTTCGATCTATTTGGCTGGTAAAGACATTCCTCGCTCGGTATTAACTTAGGAGCTTGGAGTAGGATGTTTAATTGAAGAACATTTTGCATTGGTTGCAGGGCCCATGGTCTGGGGCGCTTGGAGACATGCATTTACCGCTGCAAGCAGCATCACAGATGGATCTGACCGAGGTTCTGCGAGGGACCTGCAGCAAGTCCCAAATAGTACCAGACCGTCGGCATATGAACCGTCCACCCCCAACCCGGAAAGCAAGTCCCCCGGAAATATCGTTAGAGACTTATCTTGACGCGGCTGTATCAATGAAGAACGCAACATCCAGGCAGAAAGTAGTCGTTGTGGGAGCAGGTCCAGTTGGCTGCTTAGCTGCCCTGTATGCGGCACAGCGAGGCGACCACGTAGAAGTTTATGAACTTCGTGAAGGTGAGCTAGTGCTACTTCAGCTACGCCGTGCGGCAGCACCTTGGAGAAACTTGCGGTTGATCCCATTACTAGATCCTCGCATGTGCCACCCCAGCCAATGCTCGACCACATCGGGTGCAATTGGGTTGGTCTTGTCGGAAAGAGGCCTCAGTTCTATCCGTGGACTCCAAAACCCAGCACTTCTCAGTCTCATTGAAGCCAAGACCGTTCCCATGTACGGGCGGATGATTCATGGGCGCTACCCATCTGGCGAGCAGTGGCAGAAGGCACAGAATTACGACAACGTAAACGGAAAGGTAGTCATTACAGCGAAGCGTCTATGAAGTATTACCAAGTGACTAATTCTCTGGCTACAGTTTACTAACGCAACGGATCGCTTACATCTGACCAATGTCCTGCTAGACGAGCTAGAAAGAACTGCAAACATCAGCGTGTTCTTTAATCATAAATTTACCGGGGCCAATTTGAGAACAAATCAAGCCTTTTTCCAATTTGGTCAGGGGAATCTCAACCCACGGCATGTGGATGCCTCGTTCGACATGATTATCGGTGCGGATGGTGCCTACTCTGCCACGCGATCCCAATTAATGAAACATACGCCGATAGACTACCAGCAGAAGTATGATGATATTCGCTGGTGTGAGATACAGATCACCGAGCAGGCAGGGTCAAATCAGCTTTCCCGAAATCACTTACATATATGGCCCGGCCGCGAATCCATGTTTGTTGCGGTTCCCGCACCCGGTGGCACTTTCACGTATACACTCTTCGCCCCCTCCTCGCACTACTCGGCGTTCTGTGATTCACCAAGCGGTGTGGCGGCGTATTTTGATACCCGTTTTCCTGGCGTATCACCAGATCTCGTGGACCCCAGGTCTCTCCAGAAGCAGCTCATGGCCAATCCCCACCTTCCGCTAGTGGGGACAAAGTGCTCCCCATATCACAGTGGTCACAACGCCGTGCTTGTCGGCGATGCTGCTCATGCTGTTCTTCCGTTTTATGGACAGGGCCTCAATGCGGGCATGGAAGATGTTTCTCGACTTTTCGAGCATCTAGACAATCATGGGGTATATCAATGTGCGAGGAGCCAAATCGCAACTGCTCGTGCTTCTGCGTTGGAGGCATACAGTTGTCAGCGCGTGCCAGATGGACATGCGATTTATGATCTGTCGCGTGCCAACTACCTGGAATTGCGTTGGGGCGTTCTCTCATCTCTGCATCAGCTACGCAAGATAGTCGAGGAAGCGATTTGCAAGTACCTACCCCAGTTAGGCTGGGCGACACAGTATACGCGAGTAAGCTTTACCACCCAGTCCTATTCTGAGATTGTTCGGGCGAGTGCAAGCCAGGAAAGAGTTCTTGTTCTGGCCTCGGCGGTCCTGGTTGCTACGACAGTTATCTCTGCGTGTCGCCTATTGGTCTAGACAAAAGTATCCCATTTCCTTGGCGGCTTATAGTGGTAGTCAACTCCAGCTGAAGTTGACGCATCACGGCAGAGAACAGAAAAGAAGGTTTAATTCGGAGCCAAAATGCGAGCTCTGTATGAATCCGGTAAAGAAAATCCTCGGTTCTCTCTAGCCCCACTCTTCGCAACTGCAATACGATGTGAGAAACTAGCAATGCACCATGGAGATTAAGCTTCCTTAGCATACATACAATGTGTCGTACTCAGTGAGATCTGTTTCATGCAACTCTCATATTCTTTTTTATTTTTTGACCGCTTCTTTTGCTCTGATCCCTTCGAGAAATGCCATGCCGTAAAGACTTATTTGACAGTTTCAGGACGTATGCTGTACCGAAAAGAGCCAACGCAGAAAACAGCTTGACTCCAATGTACTTCAGCTGGAAAGCGCACCTTCATCATTCGGCCAGCCCTTGAAACATGACCCGAGCGTCCAAAGCCTTCCCCTCGTGGGATGAATCTCTAGACCTGAGCGAAATCCTCAACCGCGGTCCCCAGAAACTACTCGAAAGCTACTCCCACATTCCTGCCTCCGACGTGGAAAACCATGTCAGAACCATCGTGAGTCGCGCCGTACTCTGCTATTCCGATAGGTACCACGCGAACGAATACTAACATCAGTTTACCAGGCCAAAAAAGGGTGGGACATCAGAGACTATCCTTGTTTCCGGATGTTCTGGTTTCTAGACTTTGATCTATCTCGCTCGCCTCAGTATGCGAGAGTCGTCGAGCTGCTCAAGTCAGGTGCGCTGTTCATCGACCTCGGTTGTGGAGTCGGCCAGGATATTCGCCGTCTCGTCTATGATGGCGTTCCGGGACAGAATCTAATCGGACTTGATCTTTACGGTGGGTTCGTTGATCTGGGGTTCGAACTGTTCCGGGACAAGCAGTCTCTGGGGGCTTCTTTTCTCATCCAGAGCTTTTTCCATGACACGGTCCCGTTACAGCAGCTAATGGGCCAGATTTCGGTCATCAACTCCGGGTACTTTATGCATCTATGGGACTGGGACGCGCAGATCAGAATCGGTCGGCGGATGATGGAGTTGCTGCCGACTGCGGGAGGGCTTGTGACGGGAGTCCATTTTGGAAGCCAAAGATCGGGGAGATGGGTTCCTGATGGGGGGAATGAGATGTTTCTGCATGATAAGGATACGCTGACTGCTATGTGGACGGAGATTGGAGAAGTTTCTGGTGTTCAGTTGAATATAGAAGCTATTGTCCAGGAAGATACAAAGTGCGAATACTATGATACAGATGGGTTCATTATAAGGTGGGTGGTGCAAGTTGAGAGTCGTGCGAACTGATGGCGCAACTTCTTCTGTTTTTAATGAGTGCAGATGAAACGAAGAGAAAGCTTCAATTTGAACCCACACCTACTGTCACTGTGTTGGGACAATCGAACATAGGCCCCATTACGATATTTAAAGTTCAATCATATAGATAGTTTTACTTCTAATCTCCTTTCCAAAGCTATAGGGATTATCTCGTTTACTACCCAGTTTAAATTTCTGGAAGGTCAGCTGTACATAGTCTGGGTCAGGCCTTTAGGAATCATGTGAATAATCCTGACTCCTAAGGCAGTTGGAGCTGGTACACCCCCTACTGAGAAGGGTAAATAATAGCACTCTACTCTTCTAAAGTCAGAAGTTATGCATCGTCACGTACGAGTGGACGCCACTAAGTAGTCATCCTTATGGCATTCATTGGTACAGAAACGAGAAGCGTAATTTATCGATGGCTTAGGTTAGGGTTCTTAGTTCCCGCAGTATAAACCCCATGGGGTTTGGGTAATCTGTACCACATTTCACCACGTTTCGGGTTTTGCATGTACAATGTCTCAATCCGGAGTCTGTGTATTTACTCTAGCCCACCTGCATTCTCGTTAATCGTGCTTTTCAGCCATTGTACTGTTCATGGAGCAATATGTATGGTAAGTAATGTGTAGAATTGGTGGGTTTGCCAAAAATGATGACTTACCATGACGGCTCAATTCATGATGGCTTTGGATGTTTTATGCGGGTATAGGAATAACATTGCTCTTTCTAGCCGAAGTATCATTACAAGTGCTAGAGTATCTAGTAAGTTTTATTGTATATACATTACCGCGCAGGAAGTGTCCTGTCTCCAATTTAGTGTATATAATATATCTGCCTGTTGGGATCGTTTGTCTGCTAATAGCTCCATATCTCAGTTTTGATTGCACAGGCCAAAGAAAAATCAAAAAACGAAAGAACGTAAGGAAGTCAAAGAAATGGCCGGAAGTACTATCGATGGTGTCGAGAGACTTGCCAATAATGGTATTAGCATGATCGTCATTGGTGCGGGTGTTGCAGGGTTGCAGACGGCCCTTGAATGCTGGCGAAAGGGTTGTGAAGTCGTTGTGTTGGAGCGAGCTCCAGAGCTTTCATCGCTTGGTAAGCTCAGCTTGATCACTCAATTGAGTCGTCCAGGCACTCACATTTGATTGGCAGGGGACTTCTTTACAATCACTCCATCAGCCTTGACAACGCTCAAATGCTACCCGAGCATGCATGCTGACTACCACAGCTGCGTTTATGATTGCTCGCTTCATGTCTACACTCCCGCTGGGGTGCCACTGATTTCAAGAGTCCCGGAATGGAAACAGCCTGGTGTGGTTACCACTGCACCTGATGTCGATATCTCCTTTCTTAACAGAAGGTCTACATTTGCCAAAATGCAACTTGAGCAGGTGAAACGGCTTGGCATTCCTATTCACTGGAATGAAACGGTGATTTCTGTCCATGAAGATGACAGCTCTGTGACTGTAGTCACTGCCTCTGGAAAGGAGTTCACGGGTGATATATGTGTCGGAGCAAATGGCATAGGTTCTAAGATACCCGGTTTCCACGCTGGCCCAGATGTTGCTGTGCAAGACAGTGGTTATGCAGTTGCCCGCGTAGCGTTCCCACGCTCGGCCATCAAAGATGGCTCTCCAGCCTCGACACTCCTCAGAACAACCGATTCTCACCCCGAATTCCGTGTCTATGTGGGACAGGACATTCATCTGATCCTTTTCCTAACGGTTGACTGGCTTGCATTTGTTCTGACACATCCGGTGAGGAGTAATCCAGTTCAAGGCTTGTGCAAATTTTCAGTTCTAACATCAGACCCTATCAGGACCTCGACGATGCTCAGGAATCGTGGGCGAATTTGAACCAGCCGGCAGACCTGATACCATACCTTGAGCAGGCCGCTGACCAGTGGGATCCTGCCGTACTTGATTTTGTTCGCTCGGCGCCATCTGAAGTGGTAGACTGGAAACTGAGGTGGCGTGATAGTACGGAGCAGTGGACATCAGACCGCGGGCGTCTCATTCGCGTCGGTGATGCGGCTCATGCTTTCCTTCCATCGGCAGGCAATGGGGCGGTGCAAGCACTGGAAGATGCGGTTTCGCTGGCCGAATGTTTACAAATTGGCGGCAGAAGTGGTCTCACAAAGGCGACTAAAGTACACAATAAGCTACGGTCAACAGGTATTGAATCTTGATCTCAGTAGGCCCAAGCTAACGTTTCGGGACAGATTTGAGAGGGTAAGTATTCTTCAGCAGACTGGATTCGTGAACCGGGATGAGTTGCACACTGCCAATATTTCCGCCATTGCAGCAAATAGCGAAAACGCTTTTTTGGGCTTCTTCAAGATCGGGCGCTGGGTTTGGAACCACAACCCTGAGGAATATGCGCGGCAGAACTATGATGCATGTTTAGCACATTTGGAAACAGGTATACCTTTCAACAGCAGCAATACGCCGCCTGGGCATGTTTACCGTCCATGGAGCTTGGAATCAGAGAACCCAACGCATTCGGGCGGGCCGCAAGTCATCTCTGAAAGAAAATGGAGATTGGAGTGTATAGAGATGGGCGGTAATTGCATCAGCTAATGTTTGTGAGTTGCATTACTACAGGGTAAAGTGGTGGAATAGTGTGTATCGGTGAATTTTCAAAATTGGACTGCGCCCTAAGGAGCTGTACTGCAAAGAATGGAAAATATGAGTGCGTTCACTGATCGGGCCCTCTCACGCTTATCCTTTGCTATAACAATATGTATGACGAATATTTGCATGTTTAACATGAAAAATTGTTTCTAAACTACCATATTTCTACCCACCAGATATACATTGCACCCCTTTCTGAGCAAACTTGCCACAGACAGAGAGATAAATCATAAATTATCATATAGGACCATGATAGATGCCAGGTTGATGGTTGTGATTTCACTTACCTACAGACATATATAGTATCGAATACGGAGTACAAGCAAACAATTAGGAGGAATCTGAGTGCCGGGGGAATTAGAGGTCTTCGACACTAGAGGGGAGTAGTCGTCTGCGAAAGACAATCATTTCATTCTTCAAGGCCACTGTACTTGGACCTTTTTTTTTTCTTCAATGAGACCTTGGGGTGGGGAGATAGGCGAAATTAGCGAACGCTTAGGGACATAGAAACCTACTGAAGGGCTTGCTTGACGTGCCAACTAGCAGATACCCCTGTTGAAATCGGAGGTTGTGTAAGGCCAAGCTTACCGGGTAACGCCAACGTTACAGGCTCAAGGATATCTCAGTCTTCCCCCCATTGTATTTGAATGAGTGTATAATTCAGTTGATTACCGTTGTGATCCTTAATTTTCAGTTCAGGGTGTAATATTCCGAATTACGCAAAATCCAGGGTGTTAGGCGGATCATGCTGTATGGGATCCACGGCTGGGTACACTGGTACTGGGATCGGCTGAATGGATACAGTAATCGTCCAGACTGAAGTGTTCATAAAGAAGATTGTCGGCAGACTTGTCCGTCTGTTGATACAACAGTTTTTATTCAAGTCTAGAAAAATGGTATCTGCAAACTCTGGTGCTTCAATCCCCGATGTCATTGCCGTGGGAAGTGAGCACGAGGATGTTTCACAGTGGCAGAAAAGGTGTGGCATCGACAAGAAAAACCAAGTTCGACTCATGAAGTTGGCTCATGTGCGGTATCAGCATCCTGATCTCGATGAAATCACAAGATTCCTTGAGGGTAAATCTAGGTGGATGTGTCTAGTGGTCCTCAAGAGTATCGGCTAACGTCCTTAAGACTTCGGCATGACTGTAGTTAAGAAAACAAGTCATGAAGTTTGGTATCGCGGCTATAGTGAAGACCAATACGTCTATTATGCTTGTAAAGGGCCGAAGGGTTACCTCGGGGCTACTTTTGCCGTGGAGTCTTATGCAGACTTGGAAAGGTAACCTTCGAGATGTGAATACTGGTGAGTATATTATTGACTATCTTTTCCATTTCAGAGCAACTCAACTCCAAACCGCCAGTGGAATCCAGCATCTCTCGGACGCTCCGGGAGGCGGATACCTTGTTACAGTCAAAGATCCTGAAGGGTTTCCGGTCAACCTCATCTTCGGCCAAACTCCAGCAACAAAAGGGATCGTTCCTGAGAAGCTCCTTGTCAATCACGAGGAGGAAAAAAGCCGTGTGAGGATGTTCCAAAGATTTACTCCTGGACCAGCTGCCGTACATAAGGTAGGCGATGAGTGGACTTTGCTATTAATAATGGTAACCAATCTGACGACCATAGCTTGGGCACTTCGGCCTCTGCACGCAGCGCTTCGAAAGCCTCGTCGATTATTACACCACAACCTTTAACATAGTGCCAACTGATTTTCTTTACGTGAAGAACAAGGAGGGGAAACGAAATGTAGCACTCTTTGCCCATATCGACCGTGGCGAGGAGTATGTGGATCACCACAGTTTTTTCATCAGTGCCAACACCACAACGCATGTCCACCACTGCTCTTTTGAAGTCCATGACTTTGATTCTCAGAAGCTTGGTCATCAGTGGCTTGCTGGTAAGGGTTATAAATCGGTCTGGGGTGTCGGCCGGCATATTCTTGGGTCCCAGATATTTGACTATTGGTGGGACACCACGGGCAACATGATTGAACATTACGCAGATGGGGATCTCGTGAACAATCAAACTCCTATTGGATATAGCCCTGCCGGCGATGAATCGCTTGCTGTTTGGGCTCCGGAACTTCCTAAATGGTTCCTGAACTAGGGTTTCCCTCGAGTTAGAAGTTCATTGGTAGTACAATGGGGGCTTTTAGTCTCTTTCAGCGATCTTACTGCTTATTGTTAACGCTCGACTTTTATTTATCGACGCACCTAATCCCATCACAGGTCATCAATTTTCAGATAGGACTTTTGCCACAAATGTAAAAAGCTACATCTGTGGTATCTGATATTCGGATTTACTATGTAATCTAAACGCCTTGCTCACATAGGTATATAATGTCTTTATGAGTAAATATAAGGGCTACCAGGATAGACAGCCGCAAAAAGCTTACCAGTGTAAAAGGAAGGCATGCGAAGGCAGACAACGGATCATGCTTCATGGATGTACATTTTAATTTATCTGGTTTATATAAAAAGTGTCACATGGAGTCAAGAAATGTCAAAAGCGCGATCTTGATATAACCAGAGATGTTCATCCGCGTACCATTTAACGGGAGAGGTTTAAGAAACCTCATCGATTCAACTTAGTCAAGTGCCTAAAATTCTTCTATGTAGTGAAATAGAATAGTAAAGCTACCGGCCTTCATATCGCACTTTGTTGACTAGTGTCCCAATCTTTTCGATTCTGACTGAAATCTCATCTCCATCCTTCAAAACAACCCTGGGATTGCGGAAGTACCCAATACCAGCGGGTGTCCCAGTCAGGAAAATTGTACCTGCTTCCAGAGTAGTTCCTTGGGAGAGATATGAGATCTGCTTCTTGATTGAAAATATCATATCCTTGGTGTGGCCATCTTGAACAGTTGTCTTATTGTGAATCGCCTGGATATATAAGGCCTGTGGATCTTTGATGACAGAGGGAGCAACTAGAACAGGTCCTGAAGAAAGTTAGCTTACCATTCCATACCCTAAGAGCGAGACTCACCAATTGGGCAACTTCCATCGAGTCCCTTGGAGAATGACCACTGAGTCGTGGTCATTTGCAGTGTCCTGGCAGAAACATCGTTACACGCCGTATATCCTAGCACATAATCCAACGCGTCTTCCTCGGGAATATCACGACCGGACTTGCCCAGCACAACACACAGCTCGGCCTCGTAGTCGCTCGTGCCATCTTGTGCACACTTGGGAATATTGATGGCTGCCGGAAAGGGGCCGACAAGAGATGTCCGCGGTTTGGTGAAAAGAATGGGAGCTTTCGGTAGGGTCATGTTTGCTTCCTAGATATTCTAAGCCGTCCAAACAACAGCCACGTTCAGCAGTTCGCTTACCTTGGCATGATCCACGTAATTCAACCCAAGACATCGGATATAGTTGCAATCTTCCCGAGAAATAGGAGAAAGTAGCTTGGAGCGAAGGTGAATATGTGAACGGCCGATTGATGGGTTTTGGTCCTACCTGCTTAACGTGCATGACCTCTCTGGTGACCCGTCCATTGAAAATCGACCCTTCAATTACGAATGCGGTGATGTCCAAACCATCAATGGTATCGTGCCCGACATCGCGAGAGGGGTCTACTAGCTGGCCGAGGTGTACCAAGCTATCCTCGACAGCAATGAAACGGATCAAATGGGTCCACGCAGACATATTGTGTCAAATCCGCCTTGGGTGAGATAGTACTGTAGATTGAATTCACCAGATCCCGGGTGCGGATCAAGATACCTTTATTGCGCCCTTTTCAGGATAGAGCTGCAGACAGACGCAGGGAAGAGTGGCAGTAGGCCTCTCAAAGAACATACTGCATGAGTGGGGAAACGGATACTACTGCAGCCACTAATCCGAGAGCCAGCCATTGAACGGCATCTGCGTATCTATCCTTAAGACAGAACGGTATCAGGCATACAACCCTGCTATCCATTGGATCGGCTTCCATGTAATCGTGCGGTCACGGATTTTGGGTGTAATGAGCTCGGAGTTTGTAAACGTACCTTCAGCCGGTATCGCCTCAGCCTTTCCCGTTACCAAAGCCCTTGCCAAAGTATCGGAGCAACTGCAGTATTGTCAAGTAGTGCCATTTTCACAAATCGGCCTCGGGGTTCGTTTGTTCGTATCGATCATGAGCTTGCATGACCCCCTAGGAGATTCGAGAGTACCACTTGGCAAGCATATAAGGAGAGGTAACTGTCCTGTCCGCTTCCATTTTGATCGAAATAGTCTTTGCAAGACCACGGAATACATCCTTTGCATCATCTGCATAACAACGCCAACATGGATGACCGCAGGATCGATGTACACCACCATTTTGTGCCAAGCTTTTACAGGGAAGGTAAGCCATGTCTCGCCTACATGACTGATGATATTCTCTTTGCTGCCTTGTTCGTGGGCCATCGTGAGCTAACGTTCGAGCTCTAGCTGTTGAGTCAGTGGGTGGTGATCCATCCGGCTGGGTCGTTCCTGACTGGAGCCCGGAGGAAGACGCCGCAGTCAACGACAAGTTCGGTATCAAAACCGCCATACTGTCTCTCACCGCACCTGGCGCATGTATCCTCAAAGACCCAAAGGCATCGGCGGAGCTTGCCCGCAAGGCGAATGAATATGCAGCAAAGCTTCGCGACGAGAAGCCCAACCAATATGGCTTCTTTGCGGCTCTACCCAATATCTTGGACAAGGAGTATGCTCTGCGTGAGATAGCATACGCCTATGACGTCCTCCGGGCAGATGGCGTCACCCTTTTTACTCGCTACGGGGACGGCAACCACTATTTAGGCCACCCCGACTTCAGGGACATATGGGCTGAGCTGAACCGTCGCTCCGCCATCGTCCAGGTGCACCCCACGCACCCGGTCGACACAGCGCAAGTGAGCGGCCTGCCCCAGCCAGTGATCCGCTATCCATTTGAAACGACACAAGCGGCTATAGATATGCTATATCAGAAGACTGTGCGGAACAATCCGGCCTGCAAGATTATTCTGTCGCATGCAGGCGGTGCACTCCCTTATCTTATTAGTCGCCCAGCCAGCACTTTGCCTCAGGAAGAGTATGATGCATTCTGGGATGATGCACGAAGCTTCTATTTTGACACTGCGTTATCTGGCACGGACAACGTATTCCGAACCTTGGAAAGCTTTGCCAAGCCAGGCCATATTCTGTATGGAAGCGATGCACCATACGCGCCCGATGACCTGATAAAATTCCATACGTCCCGACAGGACCAGTATTTGTGGGATAATTCGAACCTGCGAGCAGATATCAATCGTAAAAGTGCGCTTCTGTTGTTCCCGCGGCTGAAATAAGACAGCAACCCCATTGGTATGCCGGCCGGTATGCTAGCGGACAAATCTGCTTACCTCAGTATGGATCTAAATGCCGTGAGCTCTTTGTGGGGATGTAAATAAGCTCTAGAACTCTTTCTACATTCCATGGCCTACTTCTTCTACAGGCTTTACTGTTCCATATTCTCCCGATTCGGGTTTGGGAGGACTGGATGTGTTCCATGCTGTGAGCGTGACACTGGCAGAGATGAAGCTCTGGAAGCCAGATGTCCTCGTCCTAACTTGAGTGTTGTTGAAGCATGATTAAATGACGGCCCGTGCTTTCCAAATTCTTCCTATGGCGACGATCCCCCACTGAGGTTATACCTTGTAATCTTTAGAACCGCCAATAGGATTCTTGCTTAGAGCCACTAGACTACCCTCGACTCATATCCTCTGTGAGCATTTGATGCAGAGCGGGACCTTTATCTTCGTCATGAGGTGGAAACTGATACCCTACAGGGCCAATTCTCTGTTCGGCCACTCGGTGTTTGCGGGCTTTGTCTTTCCGGCCACCACCGACTACCCGCTGACAAACATGCTCCAAGCCCACTGAAATCCGGGGGGTTGAGACCCAAACCCCGGTCACATTACATTACACTCCCGCGCCAAATCTGTCATGCTGATGGCCACTCCGGTGTTTTATGCGGGCCGATGCTGTAGACTTTGGCACCAAGCCGTGCCGCCAGTGCATACCGAAAGGGGGATGGGATTGCATTATACCCGTCAGAGCTCATTTAGCAGTGATTTGCAGGCTTTTGGTCGACGCAGTCCCTCATTGAGTAGCTATTTTAGGTTCTCTGGCTCCGAAATGGCTAACCCAAGAAATGGATTTACGTTTCGTACCCCCGCACTCCCATTGGCGTTGCCGGATGATCCCAAAGACCTCCAATTCATGTGGGCTTCACAATCACCGCGCCACTGCTTAAATAGTAGCTGGGTGCCTCCACTTCCCGTCGTCTTCCGACCAATTCTAACCAGCTTGTCGCCATGAAAGGAAACGGGGTTCAAAAGACAACACACAGACAAATTGCTACGACCGCCCGGCTGAGCTGCGAGGCATGCACCAGACGGAAAGTAAAATGTGACAGGCTCATACCATGTGGCAATTGCCGAGCGGCGGGAGTGCTTTGCATCCCTGTTGAGAGAAGGCGACTTCCCCGCGGTCGCTCTCGCAGGGCAGAGAACTCACCATCACCGAACCGCCCAATTCCAAACCACCGTTCTCTCATCACCGCCGTTGGTTCATCGAAGGTTCCCAGCGATGCACCATCCACTCCAACCATGGCGGGTTGCGTACCTACGAAATCCCCCACAGCGAATCCGTTCGGCCAATTCTCCAATCAATCGTTGTCTTTCTTACCTACAGCGCTGGATGATATACCGAGGGACGACTCTGCTTGTGAAAATATATTGGTAAGCCCATTCTGCTCGCTGCATTCCGGGCATATACTGATACAAATTTAGGATTGGGATTATAGAGATCAACAGGCGGAATTATTACAAGCAGGATTTCAGAGTCGACAGACCAAAAACTACAACGGGAGCTTAGATCAGTACACAGGGACAGTCCCGAAAAAAGCGCCAACCACGGAACGGAAACGCTTTAATCGCACGGAGGAGCGAGTGCAGCTACTTCAGCTATACTTCATCCAAGTCGACCCGATTGTGAAGATTTTGCATTGGCCATCCCTTCAGGCATATCTGTTGGCAGGAAAACCTTACCTACATTATGACTCCTGCCATCCGGCACCTGCGGCACTGGCGTCAGCCATCTACTATGCGGCCACGTGTACTATGAGCTCGGAGACCTGCCTTTCCTGCTTTGGTGTGGACAAGGGCACCATGATATCAAAGTATAAGAGGGACAATCGCTGCGCTCTTGAGCATGCAGACTATCTGTCCACGGATGACCTCACGGTTCTTCAATCTATTGTCATTTCACTAGTAGGGTGATGTATAAGTCTCGCTCTCGCTTCAAGTACTAAGGTTCTACAGGTCGCCATGAGATGTCACGACCATACTCGACATTCCTGGACGATGCTTGCGCTAGCCTTACGGATTGCCCATACTCTCTCCCTCGATAATCCCAGTACCGCCTCCTATGTTTACCCGTTCGAAAGGGAGATACGGTGTCGGTTATGGCACGCGATTCGCTGGCTAGACGTTCAGGAATCCCTGAACGGTGCGTCCGAGCCAATGTTACGTTCAAGTTTGTTCGATTTCCAGTTTAAGCCTGCGATAGGCGAAGTGGAACTTGATACGGATTGTGAAGTCCATACACCCTCAATTCGACTGCTCCCAGAGGCGACTCTGTTCAAGGTCATTTCATACGCCCAGGAGACGGCTCGGCATCTAACAGTCTCGACCTCTACGTCATTGTATACCGAGGGTAGGGCTGGGCTACAAGAGTCGGTTAGAGCATTCAAGGAACGTACCGATGAACAGTTGGTGGGACTTCAACCGGACACGGTTGATTTCCATTGGTACCTGAGGGAGCTTGCGTATTCAATTGGAGTCTTCTTGCGACTTCTTGCAGTACGCCCAGTTGATATAGACGACCTGTCCTGTGGTTCTCCGACTTCCAGTGGCTTCGTCTTGAAACTGGCTGTGGAGGCCCTTGAGTCGAGGTTTCGGGTATATAATAGCACGAGAAGTTATGCTTGGCGGTGGCTTCAACCCCTTTTCTTCCCTTGGCAAGCACTTGCCATCACGCTCGCTGAAATCCGAACTTGCGATGACCGACTTCTCATCAATCGGATATGGCCCATTGTTGAGCAAAGTTATACATCATTTATGAACCTCGATATGGAGTCACCAGCTTGTCGCCTACGAAAACCAGTGGAGACCCTGATGGAGCAGGCCAAGCGTAAGGTCTACGACATCATGTTACCGTTCCCCCCTCTCAATGAAAGTGACTCTGCTGGGCCGGGGTGTCTTCCCTTGTCCACTACGCCTCAGTACAACGTTGTAGGTCCCCCTGAAAATGTGCCGTTGGCCGCAGATAGCTCGTCCGTTTGCATCGCCAGTCACCCACCACCCTCCGATTTAAGTACTACCGAATGGGACTTCGCGGTGTTGGCCGAGAATATCGGACTGAACGAGTTTGATCTCACTTGCCTTGGCCCCAATTTCGATTTCGAAGGTACATCTACATTCGCATGACGCAAGTAAACCAGAACGGTTGGTCAATATGAAACTATGATGTAGAACCGCATACAGCGCTGGTTCGCCTCAAGCAGTGGGTCTATGTAGCCACTGTCGGAACCACAAGACTGCGGCATTCTTTGCCCTCTCCATGCCCGCCCTCTCACTCTTATCTCGCGGATCGCCGCGCGTTGCGAACCCATGTGTCAAAGTAGGGAAATATTGATAGTCGTATGGCACCCCCAGCGTTGGAATGACTTCGTTACTGTAAGCCTTTAATTCCGCGTTGAATTGTGGATCATGTTCAGGGGCCATGATCTGCACCGGCACTCCAATCTCTCGAATATCCCGCTCCTCCAGGAAGGTAGGGTGTGCGGTGGAAACGCAATCGACGAGCCCGACTGCTTTTGCCCCGAGACGAAAGACCGCCCAACCGCCAAAGCAAAATCCAATTGCCCCGAGAGAAGCGTACTGATTGGTGACGCGCAGAGCCCGGGCGCAGTTGAAAATCTGCGGCTCTCGGACATCCCTTGTGTTGCGGTTAAGAAACCCGGTAAGGTCAAGTTCGTTCCATCTGCTCTGATCGAGCAAGGCGTCGACAGGGAGGGCCTCGCCTCCGAAACTGCAGCCAAACCAATGGAATGAGATATAACCCGGTTACTGAGGAGCAGAGACAAGTGGATAACTTACAAGTCCGGTACGTAGACGGTAGCACCAACCTCCTCTGCCAGATGATCGGCTAGCAGCCGTGTGTTGGAGAAGGTCCAGCCAAAAAGATCGTGGACCAGTAGGATAGCAGCTTTCGAATTAGATCCTGTGCGGTAGCAATTGAGATCCGCTAATTTTGTTTCCTCTCCGGCAGGGCTGCCATTCCAGCGGAATGCTTTCAAACAGCAGTCATGCATGGTCACGTGGGGCGCACAGTATATCGACCGGTCCTGCTCAATTGCATGACAAGAAAGACAACCAGTGCTTTTTTATAGTCAATTATACATAGATATATATTACGATTCAACTTCGATATCTGGATCCAGTCTCGGTCAAAGCCCGATCGCTCGTGCATTCGTAAAACCCGAACCCCAGCTGCCCCTTTACAAGATCGGATCCGGGTTGGGGCCGTGGGAACATTCACAAAACCCGACCACGTTACATACAGGACGCAAAGTCCGTGAAATTCAACATCTTTCTATGCAGAAATGGACCGATTAATCAACGCACTCAGTATTGCTTGACAGGTGGGTTTTCGTCACATTGTAGGTCGAACTGCGTAGCTCATAGTAATACCACCTTTGTGCAGAGGCATTTTACCTGTACGGCCCACCCCGCCAGATGTAATCCGAGACAGGGTCTTACGAGGAGTGTTGAGTGTGTGCTCACAGCTTCAATTACTGTACGATGACCCCTGGAGGGCTAGTATTTATAGGCCTTTCACTCGTCCCGAAGTGAATTTGACGGATCAAAATACTTGCCTTCCACCAACTCCTTACTTACCTCATAACATCTCCACTCCCTCTCCGTGGCTCAGAAATCATGCAGCCCTCAACTTCAGCTCCGGCTAGCCAGCCATCCTTCGATGAACAAGCGGTGAAGAAGGTCATTGTTGTCGGTGCCGGACCAGTGGGGCTTATGACCGCAATGAAGCTTGCGATGGCAGGGATTCCGGTGGACGTGGTTGAGAAGGAAGAGAAACTTAGCCAGCAGCCACGAGCTGTTGGCTATCATGGCGCAGCTTTAGCTGCGCTTAAGAAAACCCCAGTCTACGAGGAGGCGGCAAAGCTTGGGTTCTCAGGGAATGGAATCTGCTGGAGAAAGCCATTGGTCGACGACGGAGAAGGAGGCATGAAGATGGGAGATATTATCGCCTCCCTTGCATTTGCAAGCAATGAGGAAACCCGGGATGACCATGGAAACAGTGTTCTCTACCTCCCTCAGTCGCAGCTCGCTGAATTGATCTATCAGGCTGCTGTCCAGACGGGTCTTGTGACCGTCCATTTCAGCCGAGAGGTCTCTGAGGTTCACGACCATGGAAACTCAGTCACGGTAATTAGTCGGAGTCCCAATGGAGAGACCGTCCCATTCAAGGGCATCTTTGTTGTTGGTGCTGATGGAGGAAGGTCCGCCATTCGGAAGATTCTGAAAATACCCTTCAAAGGTCACTCTTGGCCTGAACGGCTAATTGCTTTGGATCTCCTCTTGGAAGATAAGCATCTGGACACCGAATTTCCGACCTCGATGGTGATCCATCCGGTCCACTTTGGGCTCATCACGCCTCTAGAACCGGTCCAGCCAGGCAAAAAAACATTATACAGGTGCACAATCGCGGTCAGTCCGGATGATGGGCGGACAGACGAAGAACTCGTATCCCATTCAAACCTTACGGCGCTTTTGGACATCTTTGCTCCCGGACCGAGACCTCTGGACGTGAAAATTCTTAACTCCTCCACCTATCGGACTCATCAACTTTGTGCGACTACCATGCGAAAGGGCCGATGTATTCTTGCTGGGGATGCAGCCCATCTAAACAATGTAAGACACCTAATTCCAATCGAGGTACTCTTTCGAGCATTACTAACCCACCCCCCTAGCCATTCGGTGCTTTGGGCCTGACAACTGGGTTGCTGGATGCGGATGCACTGGCAGACACGCTTGATCTGATCATCAACGAGAACAACCCCATGGATCTCTTGGATATATATTCGGATGAGCGGAGAAGGGTTTTCCAAACCTTTGTGGACCCCATAAGTTCGCAGAATAAACTGAGATGTGCAAGTGACTCGGATGATGCCATGAATGACTGGTTCATTCGTGCAGTCATCAATAAAACCCCCGAGATCATGAATGCCTTCAGCCGTCCCTTTTTTGATATTTGGCCTACTGATATGAGGAGAGTGGTGTCATCCCGGGGGGCTTAGCGATGAAACGTTGGGAATCAAACATGACATTGTCTATTTTCTGTACTCTCTCCTACCTTCTCAGTCCGGGAATGCTTCTCCTTTCGTTCTCAATCAAAACTATGGCCTTTCCCCCAGGGCATGGATTTATCGCTGTTCTCTTGTCACTGTCTGCGAAAGCCTCTAGTCGGATGGTCCAAATTGGTGTATCAATAGAGATATATCCCGTTACATCTTCTTTGATTCGCTTGGTAGTAAGTCTCTGTATCCCTGCGAATATCATTTGCGACCTGTTGGTCGAAGTCCCTTCCATGAACCTGTTACATTATAGAGAGATAGTAAAACTATTTTTTGGCTCGCAGTTGGAACCATGGGATGTCTTTTTTGTTCTTTCCAAGCCTGTATCATGTGGATCAAGTCATTCCATGCTGATATTGCTACTTCGTAGAGTAGCCGGCAAACCGGCACAGACCGTCTTCATAGGAGCAGCGGACTGCTTTTCTCTCTTCAGCCTAAATTCGGGTGTTCCACAAAGCGCTTTCTACGTTTACACACGTATATTTTGCACTGTACGGTGTTCTAGTCTAAGTTAAACAAGGGCTTTAGATTAAGATGGCCGTAGTCTATTTCAACCAACCAACTTCGAGCGTCTCAGGTCAGGACTTGTGTTTTCTTTCTTTCTTTGTTTTTTTTTTTTCTACTGGACAGCGAAAACCCCAAGTCTCAATTATCTGCAGCTCTTCTCTTGGAATTGTACAGAGCACTGTGGTGATTTCGTTGCGCACGAACCCTCCAGTAGCACATGTGCTTGTGGTTTCAAGATTTGTACCGGATTCTGGTGGACCGGGCCGGGGCTTGTCTCTCCAGCCGGGGTTTGTGTATTTGTGAACCGAAGTCTCCACTATTACCGTACTATAACGTGAAAGAAAAGGAGATCACTCCACAATGCCGAAGACTAGTTTTCTCACTGACAGTGAACATCCCGTAGCCACATTCAACCTCCTCGCATTGCACTTTGCCCTGTACCTGCTCCCGCTGTCTGTGACATAAGCTGATTTCGAGTCCTGTAGAACGTAGCCGACAAGAGTGAGGAGGAAAGCTATGTGATCTGGTGCGCCGAAGAGATTATCGTGGCCTTGTTAGGAGGCCTTGTCGATGGCGCATTCTGCCAGCCGTTTGAGCTCGCCACAGGCTTCAAATGAACCATATCATTCTCAGACAGCTTTCGTGAAAAGACGCGGTCTATCATAATGCTGGCAATTTTGGATCTATCCAGATCGGCGCGGGAGCTTGTGTCCAGAGGGGTCCGGAGGATGCTGCAGAATATTGTGAGCAGCGCGGACATAGGATAAAAAGCCAAAGTCCTGAATATATCGTCAGTAACCGATCGTGTGCCACAATCACGTCGCGGGCGCTTCTAGTGCGTCTTGCCAAAATATACTGTCTACTAGGGCATGCTCAGCTTCATCCAGATTAGGAAAGGGTTGATCAGCTCGCCTGGATGGAGAGGGCCAGGCTTGAGCGCACTCCATCCGTCATTCCACTGCCCTCCATCTATGACTTGCATCGGCTACTTGCTTGATGAATCAAACACATGCAGTGGTAATAATTGAGTCGGAGCATGACTGACCGCATGCTCATGTTCGGGTCCGACATTTCTGAGCAGAACAACATGGTAGGGCGCCACTCTGGCGGGATTGAGAGTCGCCACTGCGAGAGGTCATCGTCCAATTCACGAACTGACTTCAACACTTCGGCATCAGACTTCGTGAGTGCGTTGATGGAATACAAACTGCGGTGTGCTCGGGATTTAATCAAACTCAAGCGCAGGTCAAAGGGGAAAACCGGTTCGATGGTCAGGTCATCGGCTTTATCAGGATCACAAAATGCCTGCTCAGCATAACCTGGTGGTAAGGACAGGTCGCAGTTCTCATCGGTACTGGCAGGCGGCTGTCCTGTGCCAAGAGGAACATCCTTGTCAAGAGTATAGCAGATCCAAAAGATATTGCGCAACTGCTTTTGTTATCTTCTAGTATGTTCACTCATTGAAGAGGTTGACCCTGATCTTCAAAGCCACAAGGTATCTCACTGTAACTACGAACCTATGAGTGTTTGCTGAGAAGCACACCAAAGCGGGGTTGGACATAGCGCCACGTCAGCTCAATGGTTACCTTCACTCGAACGGGTATTAGATCAGAGCACTGCACTCCAAACCTGTACCAGTAACGCTGAAAGAACACATATCAAACTCAGTGAAAATGAAGGCATGGCTATACAGCTCCACCAACGGTGGCTTAGAGAAGAACCTCGTCTTCTCCTCTGACGCCCGAACCCCAGGATCCCCACGGGGTGATCAGCTGCTCATCCAGGTGATCTCCACAGCCATCAACCCAGCCGACTACAAGGCACCTGCCATGAGCACTGTTTGCGGGAAAGTCCTAATTGCAACGACACCCGCCAGCCCCGGAATGGACTTCTGCGGGCGGGTCATCGCTGTGGGGTCAGATACTTCTGCGCGGCAATTCACGCCTGGCCAACTCGTCTTCGGCTGTCTCGGCATTCCACAGCAGTTTGGAACGCTCGGAGAATTCATACTCGCAAGTGCAAACAATACTGCTCCTTTGCCGTTAGGGGTGGATCCAGATGCGGCTGCTACGATTGGGGTTGCGGGGCGCTCGTCGTACCAGTCCATCGTGCCGTACATATCCGCGGCAGGGAACAGGGTGTTCATAAACGGCGGGTCTGGGGGCTGTGGCGTTTACGCCATGCAGATTGCTAAGTTGTTAGGCTGTCATGTTACAGTGACTTGTTCCACGCGCAATGTACAGTTCTGTCGAGACCTTGGTGCGGACGAGGTGATCGACTATACGACACAGGACGTTTTGGAGGAGCTCAAGTCACAGGGACAGGTATTCCACCATGCTGTGGACCACATTGGATCGCCTGAGGATCTTTATCAGGAATGTCACACATTTTTGAAACCTGGGAAGGTCTTTGTCCAGGTGGGAGCTCCTTCAATGGTCACTTTCGCTCACCGGCTTATTCGCCCCGCGTTTCTCGGTGGTGGGAAAAGGAAATACGTGGCGTTGCTTATGAAGAACCATAAGGACGAGTTGGTCCAAATTGCGAGCTGGATCCGTGAGGGAAAGATACGGGTTGAGCTTGACACGGTGTATGAATTTGAGGAGACCGTCGGAGCATTTGAGCGACTGCGTTCGGGGAGGACCCGAGGCAAAATTGTCATCCATGTCACAAACCTTGATCGTGAGGCTGCCTGAACACTGATATATTCTGATGCAATGATATTATGTCTCTAAGTTACATTCTGCTTAATCATATTCCTTTTGCCATTGAGTACCTCGTCCTATTACATATCATGTGGAAAGAGGTATTAATGAACAGACATTAATAGATTGACAACAGCAGACAAGTAGGTCATATCAATAAAGTTGCTAAGTAAGATGCAAATATTCTACACACATATTCCAGTGCCAATTACCTGGCGGCAACGTGTATATACCTGAATCAAGGTGCATGAGTAGCATACCCGGTAGCCAATCGTTGAATCTGTCCCGCGTAAAATTGCTGCAAACAGTCAGAAGGATGCTCATCAAGGGTTCCATCGAAGTCAGGGCAGACATACCGTTTCCGCACCTCCACCCAGCACTTTGATCTGAAGTATCCTTGCCCACAGAGGTGTTGGTACCTTTCCTAGAGCAACGGTTGCTTCATCATCCGTATACTTATCATCCATCATCAGTTCAGGGAAGTTTGGACAAACAACTGCTGGGCGCCCGATGCCAACGATATCACACGCCCCACCTTTCAAAGCGGCATGGATACCTCTCCGGCTACGGAAGCCTCCGGTGAGCATAAGGATGAGACCTGGGAAGCGTTCCCTGGTCTCCTTAGCAAAGTCAAAGAAGAACGCCTCTCGTGCTGCTGTACGCTGTACACTCTTGGTTGCACTCTCTTCTTGGAGTCCGCGACCCACCATCTATAATATCAAATAAACTTAGCCTGTTATCCCCCATAGATACGATGTGCGTCATTCATGGCAGGTTAATCAATAATAGCGATCCTCCCAACAAGGAATTACAATCAAATCAATACTAGAATCCTCACGTACCTTTGGGTCCTCATATGTCCCTCCCGATACCTCCAGAAAATCTATTCCGGCGTCTGCAAAGAGGCCAATCTGTGTCATGGTGTCCTCAAAGTCGGACGCGCTATGGTCCGCAGAGTTGAGCTTGAGTCCGATGCAGAAGTTCTCAGGCACCACGGCACGGGTTTCCTTGATGATTTCAAGAACGATACGAGCGCGTCTTTCAGGGCTGCCACCGTACTTATCATGGCGTACATTACTCTTCAATGGTTGGCCACGTTAGCTGTATGTATGCGGACAGCCTCTGGGCGTATAGTCTGTAAAGAAGGCTTACCTTCGGGGACAAAAATTGTGCTATTATATGAACCGCGGTCAGAAAATGTAACCAAGTCAGACGGTGAATGATCATAATAACTGAAGGACTTACACAAAAGATAACCATGAGCAGCATGGAGCTCAACACCCGCAAAACCACATTCCGCCAGGAACCGGGCAGAATTCACAAATTTCTGAACTACATTTTCAATATCTGAAACGGTCATTTCTTTCGGAACACCGAAAGCAATGTTCCTGATGACGGACGCCACACAGCCAGTTCCTATTTGGAGAGGAATTGGGCTAGGTGCAACAGGCGTCCCAAACATGCCTCTTTCGCCTGCACCTCGCGGGGACTGGCGACCAGGATGGCAAATCTGAGCGATGACTGGAGTGCCCTGCTCCTGGCAGGCGGCGGCGTATTGCTTCCAGGCATGTAATTGATCCTTACTCACCCCGGATTCACGAACTGCCAGGTCATAATAATTTCCTAGATCACGTGGATCAACCTGGATGTTTCCTATTCCAAGTGTCAGCTTTCAATTTGCATTTACTGGGGACATTTGAGTTTTGCTTTACCAGTCAGTAGGCCACCCCATCTTCCTTTGCCCCATTCGCCGTAAGCCCGTGTAAACTTCTGGTCAGGCACGCGGCTCTTATCTGCCATAGCCTCAGCCATAGCAGCCTACATAGAAGATATGAGTTCATGTCCTGCCACATTCAAGGCCAGGTGGAGGACTCCATCTCTACCTTCACTAAACGGTTCTGCAGCACCAGGCCACATGGCAGTGCGATTGGTTGGTTGATATCCAATGTCATCTTTCCGAACTGGTCCAGTCAAAGGTCAGGGTCGAGTAGTTGCCTCTTTCTTTCCCTCCCATTCAAATAGGTGCAGCAGGTTCGGTCCTCTTTTTTATTATTACATTTTACATATGGACTAAATAAATGATAGTATTGTTCGTAAGCTCAGGAGTCGGATAAACCCAGCTGTCTAGTCTGGCTATAGATTATCACTTGCAATGTGTGGTCGGGCTCGGTGCAACTGCTCGTCCGAAACGGGTTCATTTCAAGATAGGGTTAACAAAGCCCTAAGGCTTTTCCAAATATCATAGGTCAATTGTCATTTATGGGCCGTGCGCAACACCGACTAAAACGTGGTGAGCCGCAGGGGATGCCGATTGCATGATTCCATCTATGCAGAAATATAAGCTCATGGCGAGAGATGCCAGTTTCCTTTTGGTTAGACTTGCGAGGAGTGGAGCAACGAGTACCCACCAGGAGCTCGATTAGTGATATATGGTGGAATTGTTGTCCCGACGCTAAAGTATGCCGTCGCCAAGCCTAATGTTAGCCCTAACCAGAGTACACATTAATTGTACTAAAATAGACTATAATATGAGGTTACGTAGACCAAATATTGATTACCATTCTCTAAATTTCGTATTAGTAGATCACTTCCGCATATCCATCCTCAGAGTACAATACGGGAGTTACGTTGTCGGCATATATGATGTGGAGATTCTTGTCTTTCCAAGTGACAGGGCGAGCGGAAGAAAATTAGACCAGGCGGTGGTCCAACTAAGGGCAAACGGATTCATCCACACGAAATTCAGGAGATTGGGGCATATATCCTTCTAAATCTTTTCGGTGAGTGTCAGGAGCTTGTCCAAGTTATATTTTACCGGCCCAGGGGCTAGTATACGCAAATATAGCCGGCCTTGACTAAACCAGAAATGCTATTCCCGGAGGCCTAGGATGCCGAGCTTGAGCTTGATGCTCAGCAGACGACCTACGATAAGAGCTGTCCGAGTTATTGAAGGGAGCAAACAAAAACAATGGAAGCATTCAACTCAAGATTGAACTCCGCAGTAGTGGACCGCATTGGACCGTAGAATTACGGGTTGCTGAACCCTCGGTTTGTATTTAAATGGGCTATGCTTTATCTGTAGAGTATAATTATTCTTTTATCTATATCCTCTTGATCTCTCACCGGGGCAGGTGATTCCAAGTGACCAATTCTATCACGTGAGGGGCATTCCATGACACAAAGGGAGGATGTCAAGATTCCAGGTACACAGACATTGAACTTCAAGATCGCTGTTACCTGTTATATCCCTGAAAAGTGTCATCCGCCGCCGCCTCCAGTTATGGACATGGACCATGGATTGACGGCGGTCAAAGCAGCGGGCCTCTAAACCTTCGCCGAAAGATTTGGGGAGGCTGGGTACCCCGCTGTGATGCTTGAGTATCTCTTCTTTGGGGAAAGTGACGGTATACCTAATCGTCTACTCTCAATTTCTCTGGGGCTACAGGGCTTCCGAGATGCCACCACGTGGGCCAGAAGCCCAACGGACAAATGAGGTACCAACCTCGTAACAGCCTGGGGACCCAGCCCTGGCCGAATGCATGTTACTACGCCAATCGCCGAAGATCACCACCTTGTGGCCGCCATTATGCAAGGGCCATGTGTCGATGGTTTGGCAGCGTCTCTACAGGTACCCGTGTTGAAACTTTGCGGATGCTACCTTTATCTCTATTTGACTAGGTGCGGGGTACTGTACGTTTTCATCTAAGGCAATCTATATTACACCGGTGGAAACATGGATCTTCATTGGCTATGATGTCCGGATCTGAGGCAATGGATGGATGGAGAATACTCACCACAGATAGACCTTGGAGCGGAGTTTGTGAATAAAGTCACAGCCCACGCCATTCTCACACTTCCTTTTTCCCGGCCTATTAAGAAAGTCCATCGCAGCAGAAACCCTCTTGGGGCGGATTCAGGGTTCCCGGCGGGCATTTCGATCTCTATGCCGGAGGTGTTGCCTTTGAAGATAATAGTAAAAGGCAACTACAGTTCCCGCAAAGTCTTGGTATAGCGTTGATACCATTATTATTACTTGTGGAGTTTCATTTGCATTTTTAATAGAGGTACGGCTTGATGATCTTGAATTTTTGACCAGGGCAGATCACCGTAAAATGCGTTGGAAAATGACGTGACGGGAACTTGCCCTAAGTTTATTCCACGCGGCGTGCACTTTATCCAGGCCTCCATGTTACCGCGTAGTACATCTGTCAGAGTCGAGATCGTTCGTTGTCCAATAGCCTGCCAAATTGGCTCTCGCGCTGAGTATTTCATTCGGTATTTAGGTGGACTTAAATCTGGCCCCACCGATGATCAGGATCCAGAATAGAAGCGGTTGCGAGTCTATTTTGCCACGAGTCGGATGAACTCACACGCCCGACGAATGGTTACGCCAAGATGGACCGTATCCACCCTTGATTCTACTCTGTGGGGTACATTTGTCCTTCATTGTTGATCATCCACCCAGTATTATATAGCTGGGCTGCCTTGGTAAGATAAAGTGGCCATCAGTTCTTTTCGCAGAATTTACCTGTCTTCTAAGCCGAACAGTGGGCATCCGATAGCAACGGTTGTGAAATACAACTAATCTATTGACTATCTGCCCAGCCCAACCAAACTAAATTCATGATGTCTACTACAATCCCAGATTCAATGCAAGCACTGGTGGGAAACCGACTGGCGACCGCACGACTGGCCAACTATGCCTTGGGAAAGCCCTGCGGAGATGGAACCAAGGTGCAGACAGTTCCCACTCCAACCATATCAGACACAGAAATCCTCGTTCGCGTCAAAGCGGTCGCGCTGAATCCCACAGACTTCAAACATGTTGACCTTCTCGCGCCGAAAGGGGCCATCATCGGCTGTGACTTTGCCGGAACCGTGGCCAAGGTGGGTTCGAAAGCGCCTGGTAACTGGGAGGTTGGCGACCGGGCAGCAGGCTGGGTGCACGGCGGCTTGTACTACGACCGTGGCTCGTTCGCTGAATTTCTGAAGGTCCCGGGCGACCTGGCTTGGAGGGTTCCCCACACTGTGACCGATGAAGCAGCAAGTACCTATGGGGTGTCTGCCGTGACTGCGATGCTGGCTCTCAATGCGCGTCTGGACGTTCCTTGGGCGGATGGAGGCCCAGAAGGAGGACATCGTGACTCGCCTGTGTTCATATATGCGGGTGCAACCAGTGCCGGTCTCTACGCCATTCAAGTAGCCAAACTCGCCGGCTTGAAGGTCGTAACGACAGCATCTCCACGGTCGCATGACTTGGTGAAGCAATATGGAGCTGACGATGTGTTTGATTATCGATCGCCAACTGCAGCAGACGAAATCGCCAGCGCGTACCCACAGATGAGCCGAGCCTTGGACTGTTTTTCCGAAGGGGGTTCGACGGACTTTTGCATTAAGGTTGTCCAGAAGGCGAAGGGCAAGGTGGTCACTCTGTTAGACAGGGGCAAGACGACCGACGCAGGGGTAGAAGTGGACTTTCTGCTTGGGTATGGGGCCTTTAATCTTCCATACCAGTGGATGCCTCCGGTCGGCCCTCGATTTTCGGCCAACCCGTCCGACAACGCCGCTCTACGTCGGTTTTATGCATCGCTGCACGACGTCTGCCATCAACTGCGACCACCTCCGCTCAAGAACATCGAGGGCGGGCTGCACCATCTCAATGAAGGTCTAGATCTCCTGCGCAAGGGACAGGTTGCCGGTACCAAGTTGGTCGCACGTCTGGGATAAAGTTGTATCGCAATCACACACTTCAGTGTGGTGCAAGCGTGAATTCTCATGTATATATATTATTTGATGCTCGTTAAGCGGTAATTTAAGCAGCGCTGAATGAAGGATATACGAAAGCCCATGATTATAGGATGCTCAGCAGTTTAAATGAGGCAATCTTATCTCTACGTCTTAGAGTAACGATAGAACATACCTACATTTTCAATTTATCCTTATGCATCTAAGAAAGTGTAGTCACCAGAAACTAGCCCACGGTCTATCTGGACTTATCCTCGAATCGTCACTATATAAGACATCACAGCTTATACATACTTTTCAAGATTTTCCTAAACCTTCATATCTCCCGTTAATAGGACAAGTGGATCTATATCCCAGTCGCCACCCTGGATCAAGGACAAACGGATGGATTGTTGACCCGCAGTCCGCCTCCAGAAAGGGATAGCTTGTGAGTGAAGCCCTGACAACAAACTTGCTCACAACCAACTTTATCTCAACAGCAGGAAGCTTGTTACCCATCGCCGGAGGTTAATTCGTGAACCATCGAATTGTTGTCGTTGGGCACTACGTCATGATGGCCGAAGATACGGACAAAGTTCATGGCAGCGGGCGAGATTCGGCGGAGAACAATGTCTGACGTATGTGTGTACATAGTAAGACGAGATTCGCAACCACTAGGGTTACTACTTAACTTCCTTCCTGCCCGCAATCTCCCTAAGACTATTTGAACGTGCAGTTTGTTAGATCTTGCATTCTACCTTTAGCCCTTTACTAGCCTACCCTGACCAAACTATATATCGAACACCATGCCATACCTCAAACTTCGAGACGGAGCCGAGCTTTTCTACAAGGATTGGGGCAACCCAGAAGGCCAGATCGTTACCTTCTCGCATGGCTGGCCGCTCAGCAGCGACAATTGGGAGAATCAAATGTTTTTCCTAGCCGAGCATGGCTACCGTGTCATAGGGCACGACCGACGGGGTCATGGACGATCTACCCAGACCTGGAACGGCAACAACATGGACACATTCGTGGATGACCTGCAGGAGCTTTTCGAGCATCTGGACATTAAAGATGCCATGATGGTTGGGCATTCCCATGGTGGAGGAGAAGTGACCCATTTTCTGGGCAAGCATGGTACCAGCCGCGTCAAGAAGGCCGTGCTCGTCGGAGCTGTGCCTCCCCTTATGCTCAAGTCCGCAGTAAACCCAGAGGGAACAGATAAGGCAGTCTTCGACTCCTTTCGCCTAGCAATGCTCAAAGACCGAGCGCAGTTCTTTCTGGACGTTCCCAGCGGACCATTCTTTAATTTCAACCGGGCTGGGGTCCAGAAAAGCGAGGGCCAAATTCGGAGTTGGTGGCAGCAGGGCATGAACACTAGTTTTAAGACGGCGTACGACGCAATCAAGGACTTTTCGGAGACAGACTTCACGGAGGATCTGAAGAGAATTGATATTCCAGTCCTGGTTCTTCACGGTGACGATGACCAAGTCGTTCCCATTCAGGCATCCGGATATAAATCCGTCAAGCTTTTGCAACAAGGGAAGCTAAAGGTGTACCCTGGAGGGTCTCACGCCATCCACAACATTAATGTCGATGAAGTCAACAAAGATCTTCTCAACTTCCTGCAGTCCTAAAAGGGATAACCATACCTGGCGCTTTTGTGTTGCGGCATTCAGAAAGGGTTCATTCACTTGTAACGGACTCTGTTTGATTATTTACTGCATCGTCCCTATTTAGATGCCATATAGTAATTTGACTCGCAGAGGTTCATCATTTTCCATGCTCCGTTAGTTCCAGTGCCACACGGTGGAAATCCTCCGTGAAAACAATACCCGCAGGTTGACAAAAATTACATTTCAAGATGGTTTGGTATCCTTAACTTCCGGTTCCCAGTTTAGTAATTGAGCTATTCAATATTGATAAGGGTACTATGAGTAATGTATTCTCAAATCAGTGTGGTTCATTATTTCCTGGCAATGAGATATAGCCCTTCTGAGATAGGCACGGCTGACTTTCACCCAGTTGATCCTTAGGATAACACGCCAGAATGTGAGTCTGTCCTGGTCCCTCGGCAGTAGCAGCATGTTCTCTGTTATATGTCTCTCCCAGTATCTATACCGAATGATCTCCTACTGCAGTATAACAGCTACGGATACACTAAATTTATTTTCAATTTCTAGACTGGAGCCATGAAGAAGTCCATGATAATCAACCACACGATTGATTACACTATCGGATCAACTCAAAGCTAGCACTCAGCAGCTGGGTTATTAAGCAGATTATAGAATGAGATCTCATAGTCAGAGCGAGTAAATCCTGGCAAAATACGTTGTCTTCAATGTTTCTTGGACACAATCATGCTTGGTGACGAATACTCAGTTAGGGTCATGCAGGCTTGCTTGGCACCGCGATTTATATCCGATCAGCCTTGACCGTCGTTCTTTTTCATTTATGCTCCACACCCCTCACTGACTTTCCTCTACTTTCTTCTTTCACATTTCTAATGTTTCCCAGTTTTCCTACCAATGTTTACACCAAGCTAGACCAGGAGTGGTTCTAGCTCTTCGAGCGAACAACCACTTTATCGTAGATTGATGCAGGATAACACTGCAGAAAAGAGTCCCCTGCTCGATATCGAAGCGAGTAGCCCAACCGATAAGCGCTGCCTCGGTCTACGGTCAACAACTCTTCTTTTGTCAGTCATGTCCAGATCACCTCTGCCATCGGAAAATGACAGTATTGATTAAGCCTCGGCGGAATGAACCGCATCATGAGAGCCGCGATCTTTTCCACCCCCTTATCGATCGTCCTCAGTATACACAGTATAGGTACCGCGCTCCTCTTATACCTCGCAGGGCTAGCCCTATCGTTCTGCGGAACATATGTACGAGAGGAATTCGATAAGAAGTAGACGGTTCTTGATACTAAGCAGTAATCGATAGATACTGATAAACTAGACAAAGAGACTAAGAAGCAGCTCTAGATTAAAAGAATAACTTTTTCTACAGTAGATTTATCTGCTGGATAAATTTATAATTTGATTTATTTTTATTACTAGAAGCAGAGTGGTAGCAGCGAAACGAAACTATTTAAGTAGTTTGACTCTATAATATTCTGAAAAGTGGCCCGCGATAAGATTGACGGTCTAAATAGACTATTCCGGTAAAAGAATCCCGAAAATATAGAGAAGAAATTATTATACTGACCAAATTCACTTTTTTTATTCTGTTATTTTTACAATACAGAATTGTCTTGTAGAAGGCTGGCGAAGATATCTAAACTGCCGCGAAGCCCTGAGTGTGCTTTCAGTACTATGGAAACCCCGCAGGATATAATAATTAGTGTCTTAAGCAGTAGTCCTGCTATAACGTCCTCGGTTGGGGGTTTCTAACGTCTGTCTAGATTGTATCAAGGTATTCTGCTGGGGGAGAGAGTATAGGGTCTTTCCTAACCAGACAAGAGAGCCGATGTTGGATTGTCACGCATCTCAAACAAAGACGATGCACTATTGTTTGTTTGTTCGTTTGATTCATTTACCCTGGCCCCTCACTTAGACAAGCGATATCCAGGCTACCACAACCGTGACTATCCTTGTATGTCAATTTACACTGTACCACTTTGTGCAAACGACCTTAGAGCCTGATACCCGAAAGACACTAGTAAACCCTGACTCCGGAGCTAGCGACACTATCCGGAAATCCCCAAGTGGAGGCTTCCCCGCAGCATCGTGAGGTGGCATCAAGCAAGGCTCCTGCTTAGTATCAACCACGCTCTATTCTACTGGCTAGGTTAATGAATACATTCATTGCTTAGTCGTTTAGTCTTTCATCGGCTCGGCTCGGCTCGGAGCGGTAGAGCTGTATCTCTTCCACGTTCGGCGATTACCCCACGTGCCACAGAACCTAGCTGTTGTTTATAAGCAGAACCCTGCTGCCCAAAGTCCACTCTTCTCTATCTTTCTCAAACGATCATTATTTATCTGGGCGACAGAGAGGAAAAGCACGCTCGATCATCTCGTGCACAGCTTTGTCGACCTGCTGCAGAGCAAGCCATGAGCGAGCGAGCAAGTTCTGTCCACGATAAACGAAAAACCAGTCAAAATGAACTCGCCGTGCTTCATCCCTCCTCACTCTCGCCGTATCGACCCTGCCCGGGCGCACAGCGCTACGCTCAAACCTGATGGCTCGGCCAACGACAACGACCGCGTAGAAATCGGTCCAACTCCGCTGGCGTTCGCGGAGTGGGAGCAGCTGGGCTTGCAGCCGCCTCACCTACCCACCATGCGCGCGTTTCGCCTGCAACGCCTTCGCGATCAGCTGGTTGACCGCGGCCTTGGTGGCATCCTGCTGTTCGATCCACTAAACATTCGCTACGCCACTGACTCTACCAATATGCAGTTGTGGACTACGCACAATCCCGCCCGCGCCTGCTTCGTCGCAGCTAACGGTTATGTAGTGCTGTGGGATTTCCATGGTTGCAACCATCTTACCGCGCACCTGCCACTGATCAACGAACTGCGCAGTGGCGCCTCATTCTTCTACTATGAAACCGCCGAACATACCAGTAAACACGCCACCAGTTTCTGCGCACAAGTTGACGAATTGCTCCGAAAACATGCCGGCAACACCCGCCGGCTAGCCGTGGACCGCATTGAAGTCGCAGGCGTGCGCGCCCTCGACGCGCTGGGAGTGGAAATCTGTGATGGGCAGACGGTCACCGAGCACGCTCGGAAGATTAAAGGGCCAGACGAGATCCGGGCTATACGCTGTGCAGTCGCATCTTGCGAAGCCGCGATCGGTGAGATGCGCCAGGCCATGCGCGCCGGTGCCACCGAAAACGATGTCTGGGCTGCTCTGCACGTCGGCAATATTCGCCGTGGTGGCGAATGGATTGAAACTCGTATTCTTAGTTCCGGACCGCGCACCAACCCTTGGTATCAGGAATCTGGGCCGCGGGTAATTCGCGACGGAGACCTGGTGTCCTTCGATACCGACCTCATCGGCGTATACGGGATGTGCGTGGACATGTCGCGCAGCTGGATCTGCGGCGATCTCGAGCCTACAGCCGAACAGAAACGCCTGTATCGCATCGCCCACGAACATATCACCACCAACATCGAGATGGTCAAGCCCGGGGTACGCTTTACGGACCTGACGCGCAACGGTCACCGCCTGCCTGAAAGCTGCCGCGCTCAGCGCTATGCCGTGATGTTCCATGGCGTAGGCTTGTGCGACGAGTACCCGTGCATTCGCTACCCAGAAGACTTAGAATCATACGGCTACGAAGGAGAGCTGCAACCGGGCATGGTGTTATCCGTTGAGGCGTATGTCGGTGAAGTCGGAGGCAAGGATGGCATTAAGCTGGAGAACCAACTACTCGTGACCGAGACCGGCTATGAGCTACTGACTCACTATCCATTCGAAGAGAGCTTCCTGCGCGACTGATTTCTGAGCCTATTATTCGCTCAAGCCAAGCAGCGTAGCCAAATATGCCCTGATTGATTTGTAATCCGCAGGTAATTATGTTAGTTAACGTATTCGGAAAGCAAGCGTTCCACCCCTCCCGAATTCCACGCATCCTATATTTTGAATCCATTCAAAACACCGAAAAATCTGTATTTCTATAGAAAGTTTAAATAGCCTGACGACTAGGACACTGATTAATTTTATGCCCTATAATATTACAGCCAGAGCCCCCTGGTAGAGATTGAAATTCGTGGGATACGGTGGTAGATATCCGAGTTGTACCGCTTTTCCAGAACATTGCTGCTGCAGCCACTCGTGGAGATAAAAGCAAGGCGAAGCCAAACTTCAGGGAAAGAAGGGCTCTTTTAATGGAAGCAAAGAGCGGTCACAGCTCTCCGGGCTGGACAGGTCGACATTGTTTTCAATAGAGGCTCGAAGGAGCTTAATACACAGGAGGTATTCCATACGCAATCAATCAAGTACGTCTAGTGATCATCTAGTAGATACGGAATCTCAAGTGTTCACAAAGAAGAGAGAATAGAAAATAAAATAGAAAAGAGTAATCTGAACGTTTCTTTTGCTGGAACCGCCATCAATCCTCCTGTTCTCTTACTTCAGCGCCCACTGCATGTTCACTCCTTGCCCAAATAGGAAGTCCAATCAGCCTGGTATGAACGAAAATGTGCTAGAGCTAAATCACTCCTCCATCAAATTCTGAAACAAGTCACCCCAAAAACCTGAAATATCCTCAGCGACCACATAGTCGCACTCATTGATCCGTTCTCTTAACGCGTCAAGCATACACTTACGTGCTTCAAAGCCCCATGAAGATGGCCCCCAAGGAGTGTCGCTCAGATCCTGCACCACAGCTGCCACCATCCCAAGCAGCATCGCCAAGCTATCCAACGACCATGCAACTGTATTACGCCAAGGGCAATCATATAAATAGAAGCCGGCTCCACCGTACCGGAGGTAATCTGGTTCATAAAGCCATACATCACCGTCCACCCCGTCGACCATTACCATGCAGTCATTGACAGTTCCGATATGGAAATAGATATCAGTGCACTGAGCTAGCGAACAGGACGGTGTTTGGTGCATTTCAAGTTCATTCTCATCGGTAAGAATGTAGTGTGCATGTTGTGTTAAGTGTATAGATTCGAAAGTTATGCCAGGTAGCTTGAAGGCAGGGAAGCCAACATTCAAAAGAAACTCTCGAGTACGATCATGGACCAGGCCGTCAAGACTGGCCGTAGGTTTCCATAGCGTGTTTGCCCCAAAGCAGGCTTCCAGCCAGGCTCGGTTTGGTGCTGCAGCACTAAGCATATTATTCTATATTGATATATAATAGTCAGTCTATTTAAACATATAGTCTTCATTTTGAATGATCGAGACATACTAGGGTTGATCGGAAGATCTTGTCTCGGTTATGAGGAACACCGAAGACATTGTAGGCGTACATGCATGATTGTGAGAAGTAATAAACTTCCCTTGTTGAATCCAGCCGCTGGTAAACCAATAATACAATCTCCGAGGGAAGATCCAGAAGTCCCATTCTCTATCGCCTAGTATCTCGTGCACAACTTTTAGACTGTGCTGCAAGAACCACTTTAGACATGGAAATGAGTGCGGACGTGCAGTTGAGTCATGCCAAGCCGCAAGGGCTAACCTTAGAACTGGCTCTTTTACAACATGCGAAGGCAAAGGAATCAGAGTCAGGAGGGACAAAATCGTCAATACCTGCAATATAGGATTCTGAGAGTGAATAAAAGTGACTTCATTTCTTGAAAAAGAACAATGTGTTCGTAACGCCGATAAGCAACCACCAAAAAGTCCACGTTGGAATAGAGTACCGAAGATCTGTTCTGTCCAGTTACATCATATATCCCCTTTCGCGATCAGTATTTCCTAGGCCTGAGATATAGAATTGCCTTAGGTAACTTCGCAGTCTAATTCATATGATTGTGGTTTGGCTTTAAGAATAACCATGAAGCATTTCTGAACTCCGTTCCTCGGACATTCGTACAAGCTACTTGTAGGAGCTTTTGTATACATGTCAGTTAAGCTAATACTAACTCGGGCATAAGACAGTTCTATCTTAGATCTCTGTTCAATCATTATTGCGAGGAAGTGGCCCATCAACAAAGAGGTGCTTGTAAGTTCTGTCTCGTATAATATATATAATAGGACGGGATCTGGAATCACCAGGAACAGACAATTTGCTATACTCTGACAGAACGTCACACGATTCTTTCCTGAATCAAGTTCCATATATCTTGCGTTATTTATTTATCTCATTATGTTCGAGTTTAGGTATCACTACTTGTTGTCGTCTATATTGTGATGCGACTTCCTAGGCAGCTCCTGGGATAATCAGGTAAAAGTTGTCCGTCTTTCGATCATAGATTTTGAAATAAATCATATTGCCAAGAGTTGGGGTGATAGCTCAGTTGGGAGAGCGTTTGACTGAAGTCTACTTCGATCAGTAATACCCAAGGGTTATCAGAAGGTCGCCGGTTCGATCCCGGTTCACCCCATATTTTTTTTCTTTTTGGGCATCTTCGATGGCCGTGTTTGTGCTAGTGTTGAAATATAAGTTGTCTTGATCTGCGTCTTTTACAAGAGACTTTATTTCCAGCTGTAGCTACAAACCAGGGAGGATATTGCGGGTGCATATCCCTCCGGTCAAACACCAAGAGGCCACTAACATACTCCGGGATTCTGACGAACACTGTACTGATCCACCTCCAGTGGTACTAGCATCTGAAGGCTATCCAACGGGACTGACGGCTGGGCGCCTAGACCAGGGCTCAGCGTTGGCAGATATAGGGTGGCCGGCTGCTGGGAACGCCAACAAAGCAACCATAACGGGAAGTAAAGCGACTAACCGTCGACTATATGTTCCTCAACAACTCTGCTGGACCATGACTGGTAAGAGGTTCATTCAGGAATAGTTGACTAGTGTGCCTCCTATATACGGTAATCGGATTATCCGCTTCATGCTATTAGGTAGCAGGTGGGCACACTTCACCACCCTTATTACCTCTGAATCGGTACATTGTATTCATATCAAAGGAGTTCAAACGTAGCGAGGGTTTCGTATCTTAGCCCTCATTTGTCTCCCAAAGTCCTCTCCCAGTGTAGCCTAGAGGGGTAACCAATACATCGTGTAGTTGTTAATCGTCAAGTTGCCCTGTCTGGCGCATTAATTCGATTATGTTAGGTGCCATCACGATCGTAGCCGATGAAGATGGTCTTGTCTGTATTTGATCGAATAGTAGTACCCTGTTCAAGAGCGTGGTGACAGACGGAAGCAATCTGCAGCTTTCTTCTATCAATAATCTGTTTTAATGGGAATGCTAGGACGGTTGGAAAGTAGTATGGGCGTTATACATGAGCCCTTGGCATTGCGACCTGTACTACTAATGAGCTTAGAGAGATACGTTGATCCTGCTGCAAATGTTTCAGATCAAAATACTATGTAACGCTACTATTTGTCTCTGTCTTATCTCATATTGGCGCATTGCGACTTACGGGCTCTAAAGCCGTTCCTTTTCTTGTTCAAACAACCAGCGATCAAAGCCATCCAGGTTTACGACCATCCTCGTAGTGATGGCTAGCGGTAACTCCGGATTCTAAGCGGCCCTCTGCTAAAACAGAGTTGGCTGTGTTCAGACGCCCCTCGGACGTCTGGAAGTCACAGAAGATATAGAGCAAGAAGCGGCATTTTCCCTGTAAGTAGCGAACAAAGGATCATATTCACTCCCATTCAAGGTCAATGCCACATGCCCGTGCCACAAATGTGAATTCACGGACATTGCGACACGCAGCTAAGGAATAGTCCTCACCGGCATACACTTTTCGGAATTCGCCGTCCCCACTTAACATATCCCTTCAAAACAATCGTACGTTTTCACGCTGAAAGCACAGCCTTTGTAGCGGACCCAATCCTAAATAGCGTCGTGGAAGCATGTCTGTGGCCAGCTGGCTGCAGACTGAGTGACACACCGCCTATTGGCAAAGCCCTACGCTCTATCAAGATATTCTGGTCGTATTTGGTGTGAGCTAAATTGCTATTAATCTTGTGGGATGCTTCGTCTCAGGTTTTAGCCTATTGGATATGTCACTTGTGACGTTTCATACTTGTAGGTACCTGTTGACTTGAGACAACCCACGCAGCATACTGAACAATAAGGCCAGTAAAGTAGCGAAAGATAACTTAGACTTTACATTCTACAGACTAATGTAGGTGCTGACAAACCTGACCGGAAAATGTGATATTTTCTCCGCCAAACGTGCAGTAGTCAGGGGGATGGAGCAAGAACTTGACTCTAAGTGAGGAGGTGAGTTAGGCAAAGGTTTTCCCGTCATGAGACTGAGGTATTGCAGAATGATAGTAAACAGCATTGCGAGTGGGTGGGAATACCCGAGACCCAATTGAGCAGATAAGATATTTGGCTTAGTGGTTGACGTTGCCAGTGTTCGAGCCCAAATGGCCTGCTAGACGTTTATCGGCAGGATTCGATGGATTAATAATGCTTGGTAATAGTTCACAGGCTCTAGATCAACCCAGAGCAGAATGACCTGATTTGTAATACGGTCTCACATTTGTAACTATTTCAATCTAGTGAAACATATATCAGTTATGTGATCCTGATGCGCACGGTTCAAGTAACCCTACTCGGATTTGTCGTGCTGCATATAAATGGATCCTCACACGCTTCTATATTAATCTCATCAAATTGGATCAATTATATTGGGAATAACCTGACACTCTCCAAGAGCAACCCTGAACTAGATCATCGCCTAGATCCATACTCCCCTGTTCCACAGCAACCACTCGGAGCCCAGACATGGCGAAGGTCGCTCTCATCAAAGGCAGTACACGAACCCCATCAGTGGGCCCCGACATCACGGATTGGGTCCACAACATATTGAAGTCCCAAACCACGGACACTCTTCAAATTGAACTACTGGATATCGCCGACTTCAACCTCCCTGTCTACGATGAGCCCGTCGTGCCGGCAATGGTTCCCGCCCTGAAACAATTTACGAAAGAGCACTCGAAGAAATGGAGTGCAGCCATAGCTTCCTTCCAGGGATACATTTTCGTCATACCGGAGTATAATCTCGGTCTCGCAGGCGGAACGAAGAACGCAATCGATTATCTGTACAGCGAATGGCCTGGGAAGCCGGTTGCAATCATCAGTTATGGCGCGCAGGGCGGGAAAAACGCCTCCCAGCAGCTTAGTGAGAGTTTGAGAGTGGTTATGAAGATGGAGGTAATGGCTACAAGAGTCTTACTTCCATTCGCTCCGGGGTCGGATGTGTATTCTGCGATAAATGAGGGTGCTTTAGGGGAGGAATCACGCAAGGCCTGGGAAGATGATGGAAAGAAGGAGCAGGTGCTTCAGGCGTGGAAGGAGTTGAAGGATACCCTCGAGAAGCCCAAGGAGGAGTAATAGTTGCAGATCTATTCTGAGCGGATGTATCCGTGCCTATTCAAGTCCAAGCCTAGTCTCGGGCTTTTCCATACGCTATCTCGTGGGTTAAAGTTCCGGTCTGTACTGCCTCGTCTTTCCACCTACAAATCGGTCCCATACGCTCCGCTTCGTTCGTGGCTGGGCATTTTTATACTGATTTAATAGATATTTCCAAACTACATAGATCCAGTATGATATCAACTAACTATTGTCTATCCTATTAAACCAATATCCCACAAGTAGTATAGTTCTTCAAGAATAAGAAGCGAAAGGCGCAGCTAGTATACACCTTGAATCCCCAGTCGATGCCACAGCTAGGCCACATATTTTACTTCAGGATATTCGCTCGACGGCCCATCCAAGAGCCTACTCTTCTCCCCAGTAATGAAAGACATACTCGACGCAACAATATACTCAGTCAAAATAGCCCTCACCCGCAACCCAGGAAGTGAACCCAGCAGCTCCGACGAAGCCTGCCTCACCTTCACAGGCCACCCCACAGCATCCCGGATCAACGGGAAATCTGTGAAAGTGATGTGCACTGAATCAGTCAGCTGCAGCTGTCGCTTGAATCCCCGGAGACGGGGCCAAATCTTCCGCCAGCTGTCGTTGCTTTCCTGTGGGATGTTCGCCTGCCCGAAATTGATAAACGGTCGGTCGAGACCCTGTTCGACCACTGGGCCCCAGAGTGCCCCGTCGAAGTTCAGCCCGCCGGCAAAACGGGTGTCGTTCAGCATTGCGGCTGCGGCTGTCGCGCCACCGAATGAGTGGCCCACTATTGCGACTTTACTGAGCTCGAGCGCACCTGTGAATGAGGGTGGCACGAGGTGCGGGTTGTCGTGTAGTTGGTCCAGGGTGAAGATGACGTCTTGGACGCGGGTGTCCAAGGCAACCGGATCGGCTGCAGAGACGTTGGTGCCGTATATAACGCTGCCGTCGGGAAACTCCACGCTCGAGGAATCATAAGGATGATCCACTGAGATTACCACGACCCCTGTGCTGGCTACGGACTCGAGGATTAAGGAGTACCATAAGCGGGAGCCTGTTAAGCCAGGGGAGAAGATGATGACGGGATATCTTTTGTTGCTGGGCGATGTGTCCGGATTATAGTCAAACCCGGACTCGATCTGTAATCCTTTTATCGTTGTCCCGTTGGGCATCCCGTACGATCGGACCAGCTGGTCTGTTACAGCTTCTGTGTGCGGAGGAAGATATGAGGCGAACTTGGTGTGTCCGCAATTAACGGGCACGTATGAAGTTGCCATGGTCGCTCGTTTGGCATGGGCAGGGCTGAAGGGATCGACGCGCGAGCTATCAAGCAGTTTCACGTGTGTGGCCTGTACCCTACATGGCCCGGATGGGCCGGGCAGGTGGCTTCCTGCTTGAACCGCGTGGGCTAGAGCTGTAAATAGCAGTATAGTGGCGAAGAGTACCATGGTTGAAGATTGACAATTGGGAAAAGCCACCGCAATGCTGGTTAAACATTCGGGTTGATCATATATGCGATTTGAAATGTTATTAAACATAAATACTCAGGCGCAAGGGGAACCGGGGGCGAAATCCTAAGGATAAATTTAGAGACAAAAGTTCGCTAGTGCTGATATGAGGTATCGTTTTGCTCGGCCATGATGGGAGGCCCTATGACGTATATCGGATGATCTTTAGCTATCCACCGAGGATTCTGTACTATGGGAGGGAATAATATTGAGTATTATTACTGGTGGCCCCGGGGTCCTTCCAGGGTTTCGTGGGCTGTTGCCTGTCTGTGTCTCGTGGGAGATTGTGGCGAGGCTGAAAGGATCCAACTTATGCAAGGATGATTCGGCACTCACTGAATGGGTCGTTCCACGTATACGTAGGCAAATGAATAACCGTCTTTCTCTCGAGAATGTTTCAGAACGCAGCCAATATGCAGTCATGCATAGAATATAGGAGTGTTCTACTGGGGTTACTTTGTACATAGTAGATAGTGCTTTTACCAAAAAGTGTCGATCATAACTGATGTGTCACTTCGGCCATTGGCCAGCCCGGCCTCCAGTTAAGCACTGCCCCTAAAGTAATACGAAAACCACGACGAGACGGCAAAAGATAGTGTAAACTTTGTTTGCTTTTTACTCCCCGGAATATGGGCAATCCGTGATTATCTGGTATTCCTAGGCCAGGAATACTGTAATCCGGAATTAGGGCAGGTAGAAGAAACAACGGCTGTTGCTAAGTCTGCGACTCGAGCCTTTATGTATTTCCCACAGCATGACATATTTCTCACTGCTATGAGGCTCTATTGTTATCTGCTATATGCCTCTCTCATCTAGGCCAGCTTATGATACGCGATTTTGAGTCGGAGTCCAGCTGCGATTGAATCCGAATCATTAGGCGTCCACCTCAGAAATGGGAAAGGAACGATGATCACGACTACATTGATTAACACTGGGGGCTCTCCTCAAGTGTGAATATACTGAAAATTCGGCCTTCCACTGCGGTGTTTTCAATTTATGTTTTCATGCTGCTTTGGGACGAGCTAGACTTGGTGAGAAATCTGGTTATATTAAGTTTGTCTCGTTGGCTTTTATACTTTATCAACAGAGAGAGCCAACTACAACCGTCTATAACTAGTAGGTATACTTATACCTCGGATGTCTATCCCCCAATTTGTCCAACTGCTCCTCATATGGCAGGTCCTCTACACCCCTCAACAATCCCACTGGATCGCTCTGTTTCCTGCGATTCAACATCCGCAACAAACCAACCTGCGCCACCACAAGCGCCATCGCAATCACCGTCAAGGAGAGATTAAACCGGGATCCCAGCTCATAGTACGGCGCAGACTTCTCAGGATAGATCCAGGTGCTCATGATCCCGCCGCAATTCGTCGCAATGAACGCCATAGCGACGGCAGTTGCGCGCCGTACATGGCCGGCCGTGTTATTGGGCACCCAGCTAATCAAACAAGGTGCGCACGAATACACACCAGTCAGGAGGAGCACCAGGGCAGCGTAGCGAATGCCGATACTGCGGCCATTGATGGCTAGTGCCGCACCGATCAAAGCAATGCCGCTGGTAACGAAGGCACCGATGCCGCGCTGCTGATAGCGGTCGGAGAAGTATGCTGTTATCATGGTCACGACGAATCCGCAGGCGTACGGTGGCACGGTCATGAGTTGCGTCTTGGTGGAACTGTATCCGAGTGCTTGCACAATGGACGGTGAGAAGTACGCGAGACCGAAGAGACACGCGCCGTTGCAGAAGAGGATGAGACATGCGATCCACACATGGAGGTCCTTCAGGACGGATATGACTTCTTTGAAGGAGACCTTGGTTTCGGTCTCAAATTTGTTGCCGTCTTGTTGCAGCCGGGCGATGCATCGCTCTGTGTGCTCAGGGCGGAATGTGATCACCTTTTCCGGGCCGTTGGGTAGCACTAGGAACGCGAAGAGGCCGAAGCAAACTGTGAAAAGGCCTTCGAGCAAGAAGATCCACTGCCATCCCTTCATTCCCCGCAGGCCATTCATCTGCTGGATGGCGGCAGCCAACAAACCCGAGAAAGCACCACTCAGGGAAGCGGCGGAGAAGAAGAGCGCGATGCGAACTTGCAGCTCGTGGCGGCGATAGAAGTTAGACAGAAAAAGCACAATGCCAGGAAAGAGGCCTCCTTCGAGAAGGCCCAGAAAGAATCGGCAGGCGAGGAAGCCGGAATAGTTGTGCACTTGAGATTGGACTGTTGTGACCATTCCCCAGAGGGTGCACAGCGTAGGCAGAAGGATGCGAGGCCCGATGATCTTCAGCAGGAGATTGGAGGGGAGTTCGGAGATCACGTAAGGAACATATGTCACGGTAATGGCTGAGCAGTTAGTGTGGAACGGGCGAAACTATCTGGAAATATGTACCTGTTTTGTATTGTAGATCAGTCAAATTCAAGTCTTTTTGCAGACCGGCCTTTGGTCCTATTATCAGCAGAGTGTTGCATGTCAAGCTAATTGATTGAACTCACCACTCGTGCATTTCCAACATTTGCACGGTCCAGCCAAGCCAGAAGATACAACATGAGTGTCATCGGCATCAGCACCATGTCCAGCCTCATAACTGTTTGTCGGTCGAGCTTTAGCGTTCGCTCATCCATTGGGATCTCTTCCTCAATGACATCCTTTTTAGCTTCTGGGTCCCCAGCCGGGTCGGGGAATGATTTTGTGTCAGCCATTATGACAATTAAACTGTTATGTGTAGAAATAATCCCCCTTAGGAACTCCAATGCATGTCGCAGTCGCTGGTTCTTATACGCGTGGTCTCAATGCAGGTGATGTGTCATTGCAGAAGACTCAGAACTGCCGAACAGCTGGCCGAAGCAGCCGTGAATACGGGGTGTGGTTCCTGAATTGTTGGGGAGGGCCAATGACATTTCCATAAGCAATCCCAACACCTCGAGCCAAGGGAGCTAGGACGATCTCCTCGAAAATCTGCATCCTCTATCCTGGTTGGAAAATGCGGGGGCGGGGCACTAGGCGAGGGTTGTGGGAAGACGCTCGCGCCCTTAACCTCGGCAGCTGGACGCAGTGTCTAGACCGTTGTCCTTATCTCGAGATTCACGAGGGCTCTATGAGTATTTGGCTGCATAATTACTCCATTTTTCGGAGCGCCCACCAGGTCTAGGAATTATTAAATGGGTTCGTGATCTGTTTCGGCTATATATGATGGCGTGGCATAATCCAATCAACTTGGTCAGTTGAGTCAGGTGCAAATCCAGAAAATGTTCCTGTCCCAGATTAAACGGGCATTCGGTTGAAGTGTAATTAAGCATATAGAGGATCAAACGTCGCCAGGGCCCTCGAGGAAGGGCCTTGCTCGACCTATCATTCAGACATAGGCTAGTGCTATAATAAGTATCTCACGTGCTGGCAATAACCCTTAAACAACCATCGCCGTCATGACGAATGCTACGAATAAATCGTAGTGCCAGTGCAGCGCCCAAACAAAGAGTAACAATCAATGTTGGCGGTGTCAAGAAAGCCCCGCACGCGGCTTTCCTAAGCAGGTCTAGCGCCTAGGCTCTAAGATCTGCATGGTATAAATGGTCCTTCTGTTCCAAGTACTTTCAGGCCCTGGAGCTACGGACCAGGCGCTCTACTTCCTGTCAGAACTTAATACATAGTCCACCTTGCAGTTCATTGCCCATTCTTCTCACGCAATACTGTATTCGGGAGAGTATGGAGTTGCAAGTTGAACTGAAGGAAAATGTATACAGCATCGCAGCACTGATGACGTGCTCTACGAACGGGAGCGTTGCATCCATTGCATGACAAATCCCCCATATGACGTCGCTAATCGTTGACTGCTTTCTTTATCTGTTAACTTCTACTGACTGGATTCCTGAGTCTGCAAACTTAATGAGATTGATAATCCAATAGCAGGGAGCCGGAATTAATTCCGGGCAAGAATCCTGCGGCAGCCCCACTCGGGCCAGTGTATGTAGAAGTTATATAAAGGGACACCGGCATGAAAACCATCTTGCTTTCTCATCTTTGAATACAACACATCGTGTGCAGCCGGAAATCACTGAAACTACGAATCTTCTCTTTTTCTCCCTCAATCAATCATTCACCATGGTCCTCAAGCTTTACGGATTCCCAGCCTCCACTTGTACTCATCGAGTACGCACCGTCCTCGCAGAAAAGGGTCTCGAGGCCGAATTCCACCCTGTCGACTTGGCCAAAGGCGAACAAAAAGCAGAGTCTTACCTGAATAACCTGCACCCATTCGGCAAAGTGCCTGTTCTACAAGACACCGAGACGGGTATTCAAGTTTTCGGTTCGCAGTTCGCCACCGGCTGTCTAATTCAGATCAAGACGCTAATATCGATCAAATAGAAAGCAGAGCCATTAACCAGTACCTTTCCAGCAAGTACTCCGGCCAAGGAACCGCACTTTCCCCTCCAGAGTCCGATCTGAAAGCTTGGGCTCTGTACCAGCAGGTACGGAGACACCTCCCACGTACCGCTGATGGTGCTAACGGATACAGGCCCTCTCCATTGAACAATCCTACTTTGACCCGATCGTCTCTCAGATCGCTTTCGAGAAAGTCTTCAAAGCCCGGAAGGGTCTTGGTGAGACCGACGAGGCTCGCGTCCAGGCCCTCCTTTTGCAGCTCGCTCCCACCCTCGAGGGCTATGAGCGGGTTCTTTCCAAGCACAAGTACCTTGCCGGTGACCAGGTGACCCTGGCGGATCTGGCGCATTTGCCGTATGGTGTGTTCGTGGAGCAATTCGGATTCGCTGATCTTCTTCCGAAGTATCCCCATGTTCAAAAGTGGTGGGAGGAGCTGAAGGCGAGGGAGAGCTGGAAGAAGGTTACTGCTTAGATTTATACATCTGTGGTGGAGGGACTGAATTGAGATTCCACATGAGATATGTAATTGTCAATCAGGAACAATATCGAGAAAAAGAATTACTAGTTGATATGACATTTTGACAATTTATACCCTACTCATTTTTGCCCGAGTATGCCTCCATTCATTGTCGACACTATACAACAGAGTATGGATAGGATGGTTCAATACTAGGTACAAGGAATAAAGCCCCCAATAGAATTGACGAACCACAAATCCACTATCCCTAAGTGCTATGTTTGAAAGAGACGAACAAGCCAAGCGATGGCAGCCCCTCCTTCTACAACACTGCTGTTTGTTTGCTGCGACTTGAGAGTCTCAACTCTGACGCGGGGCACTTCTTGGCGAGACTGGGATCAAGCCCAAAGTGGTCATTCTTGGCAGCCCTAGCATCCCTAGCGTATATCGTCATGTCTTATTGTGACGAGACAGTAACTTAAATAGTTGGCGAGCGTATGGTAGAGATGCAATCTTCTCTCTTGATTCACAATCACAATACTGACGGTCTGCAGTATGTCTTTCACTGGTAAGTTTGAGTTATTGTTTGGTATCACAATCGAGACTAACGTTTGTCAGGTGGGCATAGTATTGCGGCGCCTAGGTTGGTAGGTAACATTGACACCCTGGTGGTGGCAGATAACATCTCAGTGACTGTGAGCCACGCTGGAGGAAATCGAGGAGCTTGGGATACACACCAGGATGCCCAGAGAGGAGGTTCTGCAAGTGGTCCAGGGTCAAATATCTGCGATGCAGAAAGAGAACTGCGTCTTACGATGAATTACTACTCTCTCAAGCGAGCCAAAGTCCAAACGAAGCTTGATTTTTCGATGGACATAGATGACTGTGATGAGATAATGAAACTGCGTCGAAAAAGTGAATTCTACTCCTTCAAGCTGGATAGATACCGCGAAAGATTGGCTGTCTCGGGGGATACAGACGGGCGAGGCAATGCTTCACAGCGCGATGAAGATACTGAGATGCAGATATTGGGCTGAATGGTCACATGATCCTAGCTATGGATTTGGCAGGAGACCAGAATCCGGAGGAGTTTTATGGGTTGTTCGGTTTCGGGAGAGAAAAACGTGGAAATATCGGTTTTGGCTCGGTTAGTTAAATGGCAAGCATAACGAAAAGCTGGGGCGAAATTACTTGGGCCAGTAATCCTTCGTAAACGGTTGAATAGATTGGAATATAACTAGATTGCTATTCGCTCGTAGCTATGGGTTGTCCCTTGGTATCCTTGGGCTTCAGGCACAGGGTTGCCGAGGAAAGTTGATCTTTCGTCCTATAGCTGACTAGACATATGCCCATAACAGCTGCACCCGTAACCAAATAATCATAATGGACCTGGAATAATAATACGATACACTAATAGTAAACTGCATCCTCGGTGAACGGGACAATATTTGAGAATTTGAGATATGAGGACCTTACCCGCTCTGTCCGCCTTTTCTTAAACTATTCTATATTATTACCTTTGGACTGTTGTTTTAATACGCCACATGTGGTTGGGGGTAATCGGAACGGCAGCATGAACTCGGCTTACCCGACATCCGAGCCTCGAGTGTCTCCGGACCCACTGTCATTCCTATTGGTGAGCCCTATGTAATCTGAACCGATGCCGGTTCGGACCTGGACACGGAAGGTTAGGCTACGGAAAGCTATACCGTAGGGTCTTGAATCATGACACGAGCGACACCACGGGGTTGAACATAGTTTTGCAGGGCAAACATGCAGTTAGATCCAAACACGTCGCATTCGACTCTACATTTGTCATGATAGTATGCCGGCCATGTGTGTCTAAACATTAGGAAGTCACTAGAGTCGCAGATTTCTTAGACAGAGTCTTGATTTACGCTCTCAAGTCTCACTCCCACTACACATCACTACATTTGATGCCTAAAGCTCGATTCTATGTGCACTGTAGAGCGGTCTACAGATATGCCGCACCCCTGTAGAATATCGATTCGGGTACGTATGGCTCATGGACATTCCGGGGCTCATTGGACCGTTCTTCGCCGTGTACGTCTAATTTCTCAAAGCGATGCATAGCCTTCAACCCTAGAGGGCCGGCTCTCATTTTTCAGCTAGAGGGCCGGATGTAGCCCGGGGTTCACACATCGGTCCGATTGTCGAGACTCATCAAGAAGATGACTTTTATTAATCCACAATGATAGCTCGTGCTCCATATATATTGCTATCCTGTCCTCAATTAAAGTCACTCGCTACAAACCACCATCAAGCTTTCAGTACCGGTGGTCTCAAATAGGAACGAATGCGTTCGAGAGATTATTTTGTTCTATTACACTGACGTGTCACCGATATCATGTCTACGACAGATTCTAAGGTTAGTGTCGACCATTCCAGTCATCCAGCAAAAGAATAAGTGTGTGGTGTTGCTTGGTGATTGTGTATACTCACAGGCATCGACCAACCAGGGCACGACTAGCGCTATGCCGGGAAACCTACCAATCTATCGCGAGAAAGGACGTGGCCTTGGAGCTGCTTTCAGAAATATTACCGTTCAGGGTCGTTCTGGCAGTCAACGAACAGTTCTCGATCTTCCTCAAATCCTCTTCGAGGTGATTAAGGCCCCATATCGGACAGTACGCCAGAGTGTTGGTAACAAGCCCGTTCCAAAACGCAACCTTATTCAAAATGTCTCCGGTGTTCTGTTCCCTGGGGAAACCATGATTGTCCTTGGACGTCCAGGCTCAGGGTGCACGACACTGTTGAAAGTAATCGCAAACAACCGCGACTCGTTTTTGGCTGTCAATGGAGATGTGGACTATGCCGGTATTCCAGCCCAGGAAATGACCGGTGCATTGAAGTCCGAGATTGTCTACAGCTCTGAGGAAGACCTGCACTTCCCAACCCTCTCGGTCAAGGATACCTTGGACTTTGCTTTGAAGCTAAGACGGCCCAAAAATTACCCGATGCGGGACGATCAGTTCTCGTCCGAGTATACTAAGCGATTGTTGGGCTCACTTGGGATGCTCCACACGTCGAACACTATCGTAGGAGACTCGTTCACTCGAGGTGTTTCAGGTGGGGAGCGCCGTCGTGTCTCCTTGGTGGAGTCTATGGCCAGTAATCCCGCCCTAGCATGCTGGGATAACCCGATTCGCGGGCTCGATAGTTCGTCAGCGCTAGACTTCCTTGGATTGCTCAAGAGAATGTCCGAGGTGACCGGAATGAACAATGTGGTTACCTTATATCAAGCATCAGAAACCATGTACCAGAACTGTTTCGACAGGGTTATACTAATGTATGATGGACTGATGATTTTCAGTGGAGAGACTAGAGAGGCAAAACAGTACTTTCAAGACCTTGGATTCCATTGCCCCGATCGACAAACGACTCCAGACTTCCTAACGTCTATCACTTCTCCCGCCGAACGAACTATCAGAGAGGACTACTGTGGTCCCCTATATCTTGACGCGAAGTCTCTCGAACAGGCTTTCAGACAAAGTCCGCATTATGCCCAGCTACAAGCGGATCTGACTCAGTACGCAAACCAGATACCGTCAAACCCAGAAATCCAACGCCAATTCCGACAGAGTGCATTGGAAGTTCGCTCCAAAATGACCACAAAGCGCGCTGTAGAGGTTTCATCTCTTTGGAAGCAAATATCAGAGGGGACTCGGAGATATTACAGACTATTCTGGGGTGACCGCAAAACATTTTATACCATCCTAGCCCTATGCGCTGCGAATGCTGTTATCACTGGCTCAGGATTCTACGCAGCTCCGAAGACAGCCTCAGGATCCTTTGAGAGAAGCGGAGCTCTGTTCTTCGCTCTTGCTTATTTTTGCTTGAACGCCTTGACTGAGGTAGTCAAGACAGTGAATGCACGGTCTATCCTACTCAAGCAGCACAACCTGGGCATGATTAGCCCTACTGCATATGCCATCATTCAAACAGTTGCTGATATACCTATCGCTCTCATTCAAACGGCGGTATTTTCATGCTGTTATTATTTTCTAATCGGACTGAGTAAATCAGCATCTCAGTTCTTTATATTTCTGTTACTTGTGTTTGTGCATTACTGTGCCATTGCAAGTATGTTTCGGATGTTAGGCTCCTGGGCTCCCAGCCTGAGTATATCACATCTTTTGGCCGGATGCGCTCTACCAGTGGCTTGTCTCTACTCTGGATACGCCCCTCCAGTACCGACCATGCATCGTTGGGGTTCATGGATTCGACGTATCTCACCGACACCCTTTGGCATGGAGGCACTGATCGGAAACGAATTCTATAATATTGAACTCCACTGCACAGACTCTCAATTGATTCCCTCGGGTGCTGGTTATACTGATATCCGCTACCAGGCGTGTCCCATGGCAGGCGCACATCAGGGGTCAGCTTTAGTGGACGGTGCAACATACGCACAAGCAATGTATGGCTTTTCTCGGGAACATCTTTGGAGAGACTTTGGTATCATTCTCGTGATGTGGTTCCTTTACACAGTCATCGGAGCGGTAGGACTCACTGTCATGACACGGGATAGCAGCAGCATTGCAGGCCATGTATACAAGCGGAATGCACGCGGTTACCAAGATGATACGTTGAATGTGGATATGGTAGATGATGATGTTGAAAAGCAGCCAGTGTCATCGGCGGCCATAAACGATGGCTTGAAGCGGAGTGAGGCAAGCACGTCAGATTTAACTATTACGGATGTCGATGAGGCAGTACAGGCCGAAAAGAAGGAAGACCCTCCATCTGGCGGCGTTACCTTCACGTTTAGCAAACTGAGTTATTACGTGAATGTGGGAGGTAGCGAGAAGCAATTGCTTTGCGATATTTCTGGCTACGTCAAGCCTGGACAACTGACTGCTTTGATGGGCGCATCGGGTGCGGGAAAGACCACCTTGTTGGATAACCTTTCCCGCAGAAAAGCCGACGGACGCGTTGAGGGCGAGATCTTGCTAAATGGTGCTCCTCTCAGTACATCCTTTTCACGGTCCTGTGGTTTCTGCATGCAGCAAGACATTCATGAGCCCACAGCGACCGTCCGAGAGGCATTGCAATTCTCGGCGTACCTACGTCAGCCGGCTCATATCTCCAAAGAAGAGAAGATGCAATATGTGGAGCACGTTATCGCACTTCTCGAGTTGGAGGGCATTGCAGACGCATTGATCGGAACAGTCGGGGATGGTCAACTGAATGTAGAGGAACGGAAACGGGTCACAATTGGCGTTGAACTTGCAGCAAAGCCGTCGGCGCTCTTATTCCTCGATGAGGTAAGTCAATCCCTACAACGATTCAGATATGCTACTAACAATCTGCAAAGCCAACATCTGGTCTCGATAGTCAGGCAGCGTATTCTATAGTTTCTTTCCTTCGGAGAATTGCTGCTGAGGGGATCCCAATCGTTTGTACGATCCACCAGCCTTCGGGCGTCCTTTTCGAGATGTTCGATCATGTCATTTTGCTCGCTCCAGGTGGGCGAACAGTGTATTTTGGCGAAACAGGCAAGAATGCATCTGCCGTGGCCGCATACTTTGCGAGACACGGTGCTGTGATGCGCACAGACGAGAATCCAGCAGAGTTCATCATTTCCACCGTCGCAGCAAAGACCGACGACAATAAGGACTGGCCTGAGATCTGGAACAAGTCCCCCGAGTGCCATGCCCTACACGAAACGGTTCAGGCGCTGAATCGATGCGTTCCTACTACTGCCAATGCCACTACCGCTGTTGGCGAACGACCATACGCATTGAGTCTCCCAGCCCAGATCGTTGCACTTACCCAGCGCCACTGGGTCGCTATTTGGAGGAATGGACAATATAATTTTAGCCGGTTATTCAAGTGCATCTTCTTTGAGATGTTTGTCTCGTTCACTTTCTTCCACGTCAACAAGACCAGTCCTGGATTGAAAAACCACATGCTGGGTCTCCTGCTCTCTACCTGGGTTGTTCCTACAGTTTCTGCCGATTTGCAGGCCATCTGGTACGAGAAATGGTCGATCTTTGAGGCGCGCGAACGGAACGGAATCTATAACTACAAGGCCCTTCTGTCGGCGTTGTTTCTCGTCGAGATCCCCTGGCACATTGTCATCTTCACTTTTATCTTCATTGTATCCTACTGGACCTTTGGATTTTCCAGCACTCCCAGTATTGCCGGGTTTATCTATCTCATGTATCTCCTGTTTGCCTTCTTCGGCTTGGGATTCACCTACCTCATGGCTGCTTTATTTCCGAACCCGACCATGGCCGGATACGCGATGTCATTATTCTGGGTCACTCTTCTGATGTTCTCTGGAGCTGCTAATCCGCGCAGTGCATTGAACGATTTCTATCGCCCATGGCTATACTGGGCGGACCCCATGACCTACTTCTTCGAGCCAACTGTATCCACGGTACTCCATGGGGTCCAGGCCCAGTGTGCCCCAGAGGACATGGCTGTCTTCGATCCCCCTTCAGGGCAGACCTGTATGGATTATGTGGCAGCATATTTGGGTAGGAATCCGGGATACCTGGCTAACCCCAACGCCACACAGAATTGCAACTACTGCCCATATTCAACCGGAGACGACTTGGCCGAATCCCTCCATTTTTTCTACGCCAGTCGATGGCGAGACTGGGCGGTGTTTCTTGCATTCGGTTTGACCAATACTTTGCTCACGTTCCTGGCAACCTGGGTTATTCGCGTCAAGATTCGACAGTGGAGAAAGTAAAGATTCAACTGGCGGGAGTTCGAGCGTCGGAGAGTTTATTTTGTCGGTGTGACTCGTGAGTTAGCGAGTGTTAGGTAGTGTAGAGTTTCATACTGAGAATAAATTTCGTATAGAAACAGATAGAGTAGAAATCGGTCTGAGGTTCAACTGTGTATAAAATATCAAGGTCTGCAGAGAGAATCATAATTCGATCTTCTGAATTACAAGAAGGAACTAGGTGATTCGAAACATATACTGTTACGCTTTCTCGAGGGAGTTTAATTTCGTAAGGGAACACCTATTAGACATAGAAATATTACTCATGAATCAAGATCTTGTTTGATTGATTATGTGGAGTGCTAGGCAACAAATGCAGGCTGGCTAGTATATGGACAGGTGAGAGAGTGGCCGTGATAGCTTGCCGTAGATATTCGGCACGGATGCTTCGGAACGGGACCCGTGGTCCGAAGCTTTGTTCCTCCCGGTATTCTCCCTCCCCTCCGCGACATCATTTCAATGTATCATTGTTAGGCCCAGTTCGATGGTGACACTAAGTACAATCTGAGAAGGAATGAGTGCGACGGTGGTACCGGGCTCGTCCTCTCCAAGGAATCTGCCCATTTCCCGGATTTCTCGGGCCTGTGAAGCATGTCGTGCTCGGAAGGTCCGCTGTGACGGTGCAAGTCCCTGTGCCAAATGCCGTAGGACAAATCGCCATTGTGAGTACCGCTCACCAAGGCCAGAGCCACGATCGACCCGCAAATTACTGAGAGCTCTTAATACGTCTCGGCCAAGATCTTCTGGCGTACTTCCATCCATAGCCCCGGTCCGCAATGACCCGGTGCACTTCAAAAGACAACGAGAGTTGCGAGCGGGCATCGGAATATCAAATGTCGACACCGGCTCATTCCAGTATTACGGTACGCAAAATTGGTGTCCCCCTTACTTTGTTCTTTCCCCTCTTCTTCGGGGCTGCTCTTAGTCAATCGCACTCATCAGTCAACTCACACCGGCCCTAGGCCCTTCGTCCCACTTCTGCTTTATTCAACGCATGTACCAACGTATTCAGCAAAGGACCGATGCATCCCTTCTAACCCCCACCGATTCTGTCCCCGATGGCGTCCGAAATTGGAAACTCGAGCGATTCATGTTCTCCGTCGGGGTGGACAGCAACCCTTCTCAATGCCCAGCAGCGTCGTACTTTCCCCGAGATTTAGGAGAATCATTCATCGATTCCTACTTTCATATCGTTCATCCGCAGGCACCAGTTCTTGTATATTCGGATATAGTACAATCATGGGATAATCTTTGGAAACCACCGTGGGAGCGGCGTAACACCAAAGGAGACGAGATACTGTTTATGGTACTTGCTATTGGAGCCCGAGTATGCAGTTCCGAGGGAAAACAGAACACTCGGTCATCTGAAGGCTGGGCACAACATTTCTCAGAAAAGGCAAACCGTTTGAACGCTGCATTCGAAGATATCAGTCTGTCCTCTACCCACTTTATGCTCCTCAAAGTAAGTTCTTTTCATTCACATCCGATGATTGCGGGCCTTGCGTCCCCGGGACACTCTACTAATGGTTATCGGTCTAGGCGGTATACGCCTTCCAGGTCATGAGGCCCAACGAGGCGTATCTCTATCTCGGACACGCCGCTCGGATCGCGATGGCTCTTGGTATTAACCGATTGCAAGTCGTTGATGGGGTCAATGCTAAAGCACATCGATTAAGGCTAACATTTTGGACTATATATGCTCACGAACGCTCATGTGCTCTATATACCGGGCGCCCATCTGCGTTTCGTGACGAGCTTAACGACATACCGTATGTAGAAGACTTTCCGGTATCAGACACACTCGAAATGCATTCCGCAAGCTGGCTTCACCTGAAGCCGTCTATGGATTGCGGATTTATACGAGCGCTCGCTAAGCTTGCCGCAATCATAGATCGAGTATTGATTGAAACATACTCGCCTACCCATATTCCATCATTGCCCAATGCCATTAACATCCATGAGACTATTAAGCAGTACGAATTAGAGTTAGAGGCAATCACTCACGACCTCCCGACACATTTACATTTCTTTGACGAGGACCTCCCCCTTGGGGAAGGCTGGCAAGAGATACAGCGGATGGCATTAGGAAATCAGTTTTATTTCACGCGGATGCTGATCTATAGGCCCGCTCTAGTCCTTGCAACTTTCCATAACTCGCAACGTAAGACACAAGGACATGTGCCGGAAGAACCACAGCTGTGTGACTCCATCAGTGAGGCAATATCCTCGGCCCAAAGTATCGTTCAACTCAACCACGATGTGTATTTTCAACGCTACCCTGAGGCTAAGTTTGACGGTACCTCGGCCACCGTTTTGGTCTCTGCGTGCGTGACCCTCCTCTATGATGTGTTAGACCCCATGACGATGTCGGACAATGCAAGAAAGATTTTTATTGCTGTCGAGCGTGCGATTAAGTGTCTCGATCAAATCAAGCATATTGGTCCGACCTGTGGGAAGGCTCTTAGCCTAGACGTCATGAAAATCGCTAAGGACACCTTGCATTCCACTGGAGAAGGTGGTGGCTTAAGTGAAGATCTGTTGAGCTCATTCCCGTGGCTACAGTACGTTTATCGATCCTACTTTGTCTCTCCTCCATTCCTTTTTTACAATATCTCAGTGGTGCTTCTCATGATGATACTTATCACTTAGCAGGTATGGCAATTCTGCCCCTCGTGAAAACGGACTTGACTCGAGGCCCGTAGAAGATACCCTTCTGCAAGGAGAGGAATCAGCAGTACCGGCATACATTCCGAATGACAATCCTGCAATGGGCACCTCGATGGATGCATATGATTCGACGGACTTTCCGGCACCCGAGGTCCATTACATGTCCCATTGGCTGGAAGCTGGCTTTGATCCTGAAGACATCCCGCACTGCTTATACTAGTATCTTCTACGGTGTTTGTTGCGCTTCGTGCGCGCCCACACCCCACCCTCCTCTCCCTTCTGATGGAGTACCTCGCTAGTGAGTTCCGGGGGAATACGTTACACTAAGGACTCTATAGCAGGGTCCAGAGACGACAGATATCATTCAGATGATAGTTTAATGGGAACATATTTAGATGGGGAATAAATAGCTTATTTAATACCTTTACATATGACGGTGGAAATTGGATGGTCGACAAATGGACTTCATCGTCGTATAGCTGACCATCTTCACCACCTTGATCCAGACCTGACAATGACGTAGACACATAGACATTACAATATATTGCAGAATATCCCCGAAGCAGCGAAATGGAGTAAACATGATTCCCAAAAGCATGATAACGCTGGGCCGAAATTGCTCTCTGATCCGAGATCCGAGCTTAAATTGTGGAGACGCTTTGGCTGCTTCGGACGTGGATGTTCGGACCGAGTGTGCCTATCCGAAGGTCTCTAGTTTACTCCATATTTCAAGACCTGCTTTCGCTTACTAAATCATGTTATCCATCAACTATTGGGCGTGACGATAGATCTTTGGGAGTATTTTGCAGATTGGATTGATTATGGAATTTCTGTCACAGATGAGTGGAAGTATGGACTCTATCCCACCCATTATCCCACCGGGGTATCCCACCGGCGATCTCAGTCGCCACAGCTACCAAACATTCATGGTTTATAAGCCCTTTTTGTACACCAGGCAAATACAATATATATAGATTGCTAGCATGTGGTATTAAAAGTATAGGTCTGAAACCGAAACAAAAGTTCTTATCATTAGCTTCACACAGCTATCTATAGTCGTCCTTCCACGAAATACTTGTCTCACTTCTCCCAAAACATAACCTATACCTTACATAAAGTCCATTCATTCGACATGCCCTTCGCCCCAAGCACCGATAACCAGGAAATCTACTACGAGATCCAAGGCCAACCGGGGCCGGGACCTACGTTGGTATTCGTCTCCGGCTACATGGGCATCGCCAACATCTGGCAGCCATTAATCTCTAGCCTCCGCTCTCGCCACCACTGCATCGCCTACGACTCACGCGGATATGGGAGATCCTCCAAGCCCGAAACACCCGACAGTTACACCGTCCCCGGACACGCTGCCGATCTGCGTGCAGTCCTCCGAGCCGCAAACATCACCCACCCCGTGGTACTCATCACACACTCAATGGGCGGCAACATCGCCTCGACATACTTCCTCAAGCACCCAGATACAGTCGCCGGGATTATCTACACGGGCACCTACTATGACGGCAAGACCGTCGACGGGAAGTTCATAACATATGATGGATTGACAGATGGCGTCGAGAGTCCGTCTCGGGCTGCGCGGTTTTATTCTGCCATGGGGCTGAGTGAAGACATCGCCCTCGAGGCGGCGAAGTGGCCCCCGCATGGCCGTCGATATAATGCCAAGGCGTTGTTCCAATGTGATATGCAAGATAGTTATACTTACATCACTGTGCCGACGCTGATTGTTCAGGGTGAACACGATCTGTTGCCGTTGGAGCACTGTGTCATGCCCATGGCAAGGGCTTTGCCGTCTTGTCGGTTGGAGATCCTGCCTGGTGTGTATCATTTTCCACCGACCGAGGCACCGGAGGTGTTGAAGGGGTTGGTTGAGGGGTTTTTGGGAGGTTTATGAGTGCAGTTAAGTTGGCACATGAGTTAACTTTGTGTGATAGGATAGATTTGCTGATATAAATATCAATATCCCTGTCCGATGTCCTGTCACTTATTAGGTATACGCAACCCCTTTGGGGACTTGGCTTGTTGATATGTAGCCAAGCCCTAGATCAGCAAGTCACAACCCATTTTAGTGTTATTAAAATCTACAAAAATTGATACTTTTAACCAACTCAAGGGGTTGGCTAATGATAGCGAGAATAACAAGAACTGTGCCTGTAGTTTCCTTCTCTCCCCCACTAAAGGCTAATTATGTTCACACCCACATGGATAATATATCTCGGGCTTCCCGCTCTATGAGTATCTGAATTATATCCTTGGGCACCATCAAAGCACCACGTTTTGGGCACTCAGAAGTCAATAATATTATGATAATCTTGGTACATACTGAAATATTATATAGTCATGCCTCATTCAGGCTCATGGTTGGCGATATACTCTAAATCCACCGCGCGGTGGCATTTGAAAATTAGTATAGACTTATAGTGTCAAAATGAATACGAAAATTCAACCAATAGGCGAGATGGCCGAGCGGTCTAAGGCGGTTAGTACCACTATGAAATACTCATCTTATCAAACAAATAACTAATAATCTCTCAGCTGGAGTAAGGTTCCAGTCTCGAAAGGGGCGTGGGTTCAAATCCCACTCTCGTCAACATCTTTTTTTTTTTTGCTTTTTATTCACTTTATTTTTGCACCGGCTCTCTGGCAAGCCAGTAGTACTCCTAACTGCTACTCCGTATTAACGTATTTTCCTGTTACCTTTTGCCCTTCCTCTTTGCCGGTAATCTTTAGTCCGTTTTATCCGCTTGCAGTAGTGGTTCGCTTACCCCGTTGCATTTGTACACGGAGTAAATGACGTCCAGTAACAGCTATCCCGCATCCATTGAAATATTATCATGGTATTAACAACCCCGGAAAACAAAGTACGGCAGTGGAAGTAGCAGACACTTACAATATCCACCAAGCCGCCACTATGCACCAGACTCGTCGTTTGGACTGAGTGCCAAGGTTCAATCATGAAACCCGCAACGGGGTCTGCACCTCTTCCCTGGAACCAAAACAAATCAATTGGACTTGCTAATTATAAGAACAGCGTTGTCTTATACTACTAGAACTCCAGGGTATCGTGTGCGTGCAATAAAAAGTCCGACAATCCGATGACATGCCCAGTACCGTGGGTTTAATCCTGGGGTTAACACTTGTGTTGCTTTTAGTGTATAATAATGGCTCACTTCCCACTATTTGGTCATTGTCCAATTGGATCTCTTCAGTCCATTGTACTCTGCTTTGAGAGAATTAATGGATTGTTTCTTAACAAAATTGGGTATTGTGGGGAAGCCTTCGTCTATATGGATTATGGGGCTGATGGACCCACTGAGCTGACACTCCCAAGGAAAGCAGTAGCTGTGTAAAAGTTGTATTGTACGTGTGTGGATTAAGACTAGCTTCCGAGCCTTTGCAGAATCCCATGTTAGTGAAAATTCAATACCAGTATATTATCTCATTAGCGAGAACTAGTACTAAATACACAGTCTTGTAGCTTGCAATATTCGATCCCGATATATGGCTAAGCATTCGCATTTCGATCACTTAGACTGGTAGCCTAGCTTCAGTACTGGTAAGACCGGCAACAGAGTAATGCCCACTATCAGATCCACAACTACCACTGCAGCGAAATCTTTGGTTCTAGTTATCAACACGTTTACGGAATGTGGGGAACACCAAGTGCCCCCACAAGTTCTCGTCGACCTCTGCGGTACTAGGTGATTCACGCAATGGTTTTGAAGCCAATGGAAGGTGTCCTCCGAGGTGGAATCCTTCCTTAACAGGCCTAAATTCATAACCTACACTGCTCCCCCTTGAGATACGGTGCAAGCAGACACTAACGTGGCGGAAGGGGAGAAGGCAGCAGAGGGACTTGAAACAAAAAGTCAAAAGTAGAGATAGATTTCTACTTCCTAGCAACCACTCGGAATGTTGGAGCCGGCGCTGGCAGGAAGATAGTGATGACGTACTGGACCCTATACTGCTTATGACTGTGGTGAGCCGGGTCGGTAGGTTCTAACGGGTTGAGAACGAGAGTTACAACCCTAACTTCAAGGTGGAGAATAGCTGCATGCAGCGGTACGAAACCGGAGCTCCACTTGTTCAAGAGCTGTCAAAATTCTTAGCGTTCGTTCGGCAGCAAGCGGGGGAAGATTCCATGGTTCTAGAAATAAATCATTCCGCTGGTAGCTGCCAGAATGTCACCCCGAGATACTATACCTAGTCGAGTAGGACTCGACAAAGTGGTCATACAATCAGATAGGCTCGCCGTCAATGTGTTGCGTACATCATGGCCCAGCTTTTCCGATCTTGTTAACTAATACACCGCATATCGTATTGCTTTACTAGGATAAGAAAGTTTTTAAAGAGTAAAACGGCGTCATTGATACTTTGAACTAGGCAACAGTATAGTATTAGATGATGCAACTACCAGATGTTTAGTCCATGGAACGAGGTAGGAAGAGTAACTATACACTAGAATATGAGTTCACCGGGCATGTTCCTTCTATGACATAAGTTCTTAAAACGAATTGAGCACATATAAAGAGGGTGTTCTATCGCAACTAACTAGATGAATGCTCTGAGTTACAATTCATCCTTTCAAACAAACTTGATTAGCTACCTCACAAACCAGTCAAATACATTATGAAGCTCATTTCAGTCCTCCTATTTACGGGTCTAGCTCTTGGTGCTGCCCCTAGATACTTTGAAGCACCTTGGGGCTCTCACCATCAGGATACACCTGTAATTACATGTCAGGATACACCTGGACTGCGGTGTAATCCGTCGATCGGACTTGATTGCTGTCCTCTTCTTGACTGTACTGCTGACTGCCCAGGGTGCTGGGGCTATGTAAGTGATTCATCCTGCAAAGTGTATCCATGTCAAGTTCCGAAAGAATGACTTATATACTGCGAATAGTGCCGGAAGAATTAAGGATCTAAAGTTATGAAGGCATCTAATATTGGTGGGCCTTTTGGCCCAAGCTAAATGTATTGTTTGGTAGAAAAAATATCAAGAGGGAGCTGGGAACGTTGAAGCCTTGGGATAGGTTTTATCCTTGTATTAATAGCGTACGAGGTTTCCCTACCTCATTATGCGAATGCAAAGGCTTAGCGACTTTAATAATTCTACTCAGCTTTGTCAAAGAAAACTACTTGTGGTCTGATCACCTCTTGTAATACAAAAACCGGCAACTAATGTTGACGACTGCATGTCTTCTGGCATATCTGTCTGTACATTTATAGCGCCCTTGGGTCCATCAGGTAAGCTGTACCAGTATACTCAAGCACAAACTTCCTCGCCCTCATCAGGATGGATCATATCCTGATCAATCCAAGTCATGTAGTTCCAATAGTCCGCCTGGACTCCCTCGCCATCAACAGTAGCGTTGCCCGAGAATTTGGCCGTCCAGTAAGAGCTCCCACGTGAGTATTTTGCAAATGCAAACAGACCGGTGTTCAGTGCCTCCTGTCGTCGAGCAAAACTGTTTTCGAATTCCGCCTGAATTGACCATTCCCCTACAAAGGTAGGGAAAGAGCCGTCGCCTACATCAGCCTCTGCATCCGCGCAGATGTAGGACGTAATGTTAGCACCAGTGGCTCCTCGACCGGCGAAGTAATAGTGATGCACGTCAAACACCACATTGTCGCTGCTGGACAGGTTGGGGGCCCAGTATTCTGGTGCTCGGAAGCTTCCCTGAAACATGACGGGGATTTTTGGGTTGATGGCGGCCACTTTGGAGAGGACTTCTTGGATATATTTCAGAACCCAGGCTGCTCCTTCGTCTGAGAGAGCGGCTGGAGTACCAAAGGTCGATAAGTCTTCGTTGTCCACGGGCTCATTGATCGGGGCAATTGTGTATGAGTCTGGATGATCAGAATCCTGGACATAGGACAGGACAGCATCGATTGCCTTGAGTGAATAGTCAAACGCAGTCTGGTTGTTAAACCATCCAAAGTGCCCTTCGGCTTCTCCAAATGGCATTCCATTGACTCCGCCGGGGAGTGAGTGTACATCAATGATGACATGCATACCATACTTGGTGATAGCATAGGTAGCAATGTTCTTCAAGAAGTCAACTTGATTTCCGGAATAGAGCTGTGATCCTGGCACTTTGATCCATGCGGCGTAGGTGGTTGGGATGCGCAGGGTGTTAATACCAGCGGTATGTAGTTTGTCGATATCTGCGGTCGTGATATACGATGCATATCTTTTCTCAAGGATCGAGCCACAGAGGGATCCTTGGTTAGCACAGAGCCCCCATTCATCCGGTGCTCCTTTGGAATACTGAGCCCACCAGGTCGTGTCGATGGTGGATTCCTGGCAAAGCCACCCGCCGAGGTTCACGCCATTTGCTTCGTAAGTTCTCCAATCGATATATTCAGCTGCAGCCAGACTAATTGATGTTCGAAGCACAAGAGAAAGAAGAGACAGACGCATTGTGCTAGGCCGATGTTGGTGACGATCTTTGGATGAATACAAGGGGATGAGAGATGTATGTTTGCATTTCACAGGGGATCAGTGGTGATATTTATGCTCCATCTGCAGCATGGAAATACTCTCGCTTCGATATTGACCGAATATTCCACCTTCGATTTGTCTGGGGTTGCGCTCATCTGCAAGCTGGGGAAACGGATAGCATGTCCGTGTCTATTTGGTAGACATTATAAAGATGTCCAACAGGAGACCAGAATCAGTCTGCCGATCATCGTCCTAAGAAATGCACTCTCATTTATACCGAATCCCTCCACATCGCGAGCTTATGTACCCCAAAGTCGTCCACACTCCCGAGCTCAAGTATACGAAGTGTTCGGGGTATAACACCCCGAACACCTAAGACTAAGACTGAGTATTGCTGTATGACTGGACCGTTCACGCCCCTTGCGTTATTTAGTCTCGACTATTTGAGCCTAGCTTGCTACTATAAAGTCTGAGCTTCTGCACACGCTATATTGCCCCACAAGACCCTTCGGGACTGTCCTCCACTCCGGTTACCTTAATTATGCAGGGGCCCGTTCCCCAGCGAGCCCCTGAGAATGATATGTATTTTATGCCCTTTGGAGGGATATCGGCAAAACTCAATGATCATAAAGTAAAAAAAAAAGGCAAACTACCAAAGACATCTCAGTACAGGTGCTACCAGATACGAGCAAGGCAGGTAGTATTCTAGGGACTGCATGTAGAGTCTCAGTTTAGATAGCCACATACTTGTCGATAGGCACTACATCTATTCTGATCATCACTACGGTCGCATACAGTGATCAGCACTATGGGTCGTCTTAAGACCGCCGTTATATAACCTGTCTAGCCCTTGGTGTCTTTCTTTCAGGTATGACAGTGGCACCATCTCCTCCTCAATCTTGCAGCCACACGTTGTTGACTGTATCTGAGAACCGTCTTCGGTGTAGAGAGGAGGAGGAGTTGTCTCTGTCCTTTGATGTACATTTCAGGGTGGTGCTGTGAATGTCACCGTTAACTTGAACTTCTAAGTATATTTACTCTATGCGCTCAGAGTAGGCTGGGTGGCTACATTTATAGTGCTGGAGAAGCTCCTCAATAAGCTCCGTAAAGAAAGAGGTGTTGGTTAAATTATACTAGATAGTTATACAGCCTTATAAAAACCACCGCAGATTTCTAAATTCTGTTTTCTGTGCAAGGCTTTAAACTCACGGTTGCTAGAGCTTCCAATACCAAAAAATATCACAACCAGGGATATTTGAATGGCGATTTAGGGCTGGATACAAACAATATTCCTGAACTATATAACCTCACTGAGAGAGGTGAACAGGTTCTTGCCCTTAGCTTAGATGCAGCACAAAACAAATTCCATCGGATGTTGGTGTTCACCAGATAGGCATATTATATCATCCTCATCTTTGATATCCTTGAGCATTTCGTCATTTGCGCTGTAAAATGCCAGCTTGACATTGTGATTAGTGCCGACCGTGTCGGTATGAATCTCCTGTCCACACAATGAGCAGACCTTGAAAGTAACGTTTGAGTGTTCATTCTTTCCAGCGTACAACACACCTTCTCTACCGAAGTAATCGTCTTTAGTGGTCTGGCGAATGCCATAGAAATCTCCCTTGTCGTAAATATATGGGCGATAGGACACTCCATATTTCATCTACTCTAGTCAGTAATGTACCATAGATATAGAATAAACTCAAGTGTCATTCACCCTTGCGATGCCACCTTCCCAAGCAACGTCGCTCTTTTTAGCAGCAGCTTGAAGAACACACAATAGTTGTTCGTTCGATTCGTGGTAGTTGAGGATGGGGAATCTCTCGTATGCAGTCGGGTAATGGTACACAGCTTTGTCTGCCAGCTTTCGCCCTAATGACCTATTGGTTTGAATCTCCCTTGAACATTAAGCACATCTAACTTGCCTTATTGTGCGATTATCCCCAGTGCGCGCTCACCACTCTCACCCCAGCGTGTGCTTCGAACTTTAAAAGCGACAAACACCAGTTCTGATAGTCGGCGACAGTTGGACACCAAGATGGTGGACTATGTATATCAAGGAAGAACCGTCAAGCCTACACCTAGTTTGACAAACTAGAAGACTCGATTGCTGCACAGTAAGGTGTCTCCTCCATCTGCATGCCAGGTAATGGAACGGTTGTATGTACTGCTGTTGCTGCTCTTCTCTTGTGCAGTATTCCTTTCGTGGCTCGCACTAACGTCTGCTTTCGCTCCAAAACCAGCGAACGACGCACTTGTGGAGGCCTTCATCATTGAAGATTTCTGTTTCTTGCTCGCTAATCCAAAGCTCTGAGAGCTCTTAATGGAGTAGAGGCGGCCGCCAGGTTGGACCTGGGGAACAAAAACATGCCCTTTTATACATGTTAGCTGACAGAACATAATGCGCGAGGATACCGATATAAGCCATATACAGATCATATTTTTTATAGAATCGCTCTAGTTCCTCACTGGTGCGCTTTGAACGTAGGATATCCAGGTCCGCTTTGCATTCGGCCGACACCTTGAGGCTTTCCTGATCAAGGTATATCTCAACTCGAGGGAACTGTATCTTACGTCAGCCGGCACTTTTGCGAGCTGTATAGAGTCAAAGGCGTACATCATAAGAAATGTACATAAACTGCTATTCGCTGGCTACGGAAGCAGCAGAGCTACTCGAAGCACTTTCACTGTACCCTGCCTTGACTCCCGCGCTGGCACCACAAAAGGAACCGCCACTGGAATGCCTCCAGTCCGTATATGAAATCCAGGGCGTATTTAAATCAACTTCAGCGGAAAGAATGGAAAGGAGGGGAGATGGCATACGGGGAGGCCTCAACAGTTGTTTGGCTAAATGCACTTTCTGCCATAGAGACCTGTAGCGAGCTCTTCAATTCGAGCACATCTACGTGTGCCTTATCGGTGACACGGAAACGGGGGATACGGAATTCCATCTACCAAGTGGCGTATGATCTCATGATACTCTGTAGGCTTGTTTGACGAGGCAACTAACAGATGGCGCTTTAAAGTCCCCGTCTTTCGCACCTGCGGGAATGTCATAGCCGGGTATCTTTCTTTTTGCTATAGCAAAGGCTTGATTTTCGCTGTGTCTGTCTATCAAGAAGTAGAGGGTCAGTAGCGAGGTTGTGAGCTCACCTGGGTAGTATCTAGTTTCAAGGCTAGTGAATACTGCTCGCCTACTCCTTGTGCGGCCGGTGTTCAGGTAGCAACCGCATAACAGATCGTTGTTCCGCAACACAGCTGCCCACTATTTTTCAGACATGTCGGATGGATGGCTATGTGAAATTGGTATCGAGAATAGGGCCCCGATATACTTTAGTTGCACTTACACCACTGAGCCACTTCCTTGGCTCGCCTTCCACGATTCATGTGAGTAGCTGCTGGAGAGAGTTGCAGCTTTAATACCAGCCAGAGTTGGGGCATTTTTCTGGGTGGATTAGCTTTCATTATGTTTAGATTGTATAATATTCAATATTATCTAATTTAAAATTAGATCTTCGACCCATTGTCACCGCCAGCCACTCCTACAGCTGAATAAAATCGACATGAAAAAGAGCCGGGATTCGTTGGTCATGCGCCCGGTCAAAATGCCCCAACACAAGCATGGCACACTCAGAAGCTGGGCATTTAATCAGATATCCAACTGCTGTATAATAATAGCATATACGGAGTAGCAACAAGCTGGGACACTGCTACGCTTGCGCTAAAACATAACTCGTAAGCATCACCACCAAACCAGGAAACTTGTATAAGCCCTAAAAGCACTCCATGATCCGCTAGGAGAATCAAAATCCACTTTGGGCGGCCCGAGCCGGCCAAGTGATTGGCAACGGACTTAATTTAACCAGGTTCGTGATGTCCAAAGGATCCGATTTGACAGATATCGAGAGTATTTAGTAGGGTAAAACTTTAGAAGTCTGTCTGACTACACCCGCTGCCAGTTCCGCAAAAAATTGCAACGCTGATATACTCGACTTTCTCAACCAACTTGGCATATTTCAACCTACTTTTTCAACATATGATTCTTAATATCAATACTTTGTATATCAATCACGTGCGAGGTGTGCAACCCGAAGTCTACGTGGCATACAGCTAATAAGCTAAAAGAGTGGGAATAATGCACACGCTGCTACTACTACTACTATTACTACTACTACTCATCAGGAGCCTGACTAAACCTATATATTGGCTATCTACAATACTAGTTTATAATATGTAATCTTTAATTTATTATTCAATAATGGTTTTGAATTTTCTCGAAAGATTCTTGTTTTTCTTCTCTATTAGATAGCAAGCGAAGTTGCCCATATCTCGGCGAAATGTAGCTTTCCTGTCTAGGTTCGCACCCTAATTAGTAGACAAAAGACCATCAAACCATTATGTCGTTCGTTGTTGCCAGCACAACTGCGGCACTGCCTCAGTACAGGATAGAACTTTGGAAGTGAGTCACCTGGTGTGTCTTAGCAAAAGTACAAAATGCAGTACAGTTTATCATACGTAAAGGTAGCTAAATTACCGTAAAATAAGAACTAGGTAGAGCCCAGGTGCATGACAATGACCACATATATAAGTTATCCACGAGGAGGTACTAAGGAAGGTACAGTATGTTGTGGGGCGCCTTTCATATGGGGAAGCGCGCCGCCCAGTGTCACACCCCCGTGACGCGCTGAGTAGCCGCCAGCCTTTCGCGCCTCGACTTTCAAGTTTCCCATTGATAGTAGCATGTTCGCCTGGTACGCCCCTCATTCAACAAATGGCGTCTCTTGTAAGACGTACTTGGACTTTGACAAGTCCCCTACGGCCAAGCACCGTTCCCATGGCACGAGTTCAATCCATCCCTCCCGTCTACCCTTGACGGAGAATGCCACCCCTGTGGACCGCAACCAGCTCTTCGTTGAGACCACTCTCGACCGTACAAACCTCAATGCCAAATTCACGAGAGGAAGAGTTGTCCGATTACAAAGAAGATCGATTCTATCCAGTTCGACTGGGCGAGGCTTTCCAAGGCCGCTATCAAGTAATTGCCAAGTTCGGTTTTGGTAGTTCCTCGACATCCTGGCTAGCTCGGTATCTGAGGCAAGTGAGCGCGAGTTGTCCATACCAAAATGCTCGGCTGACTTCTATAGGGATCATCAGTATGTCGCACTGAAAGTGTACGTGTACACCTCTATGTTTCATCGAGAACTCCCAGTTTACGATCACATCTCCCGCCGAATGGGAGATACGTCACATCGAGGACGAGACAATATCCGAAGATTGCTAGACTCTTTTCAAGTCACTGGTCCAGATGGCAAGCATATCGTCCTTGTCTTCGAAGCTGCCCAGATGAGCCTACGTGACATGAAGCTGGTGTTCCGGCGGGATGGGTTTGATGAAGACCTTGTAAAGGGAGCAATAATTGAGCTTCTCGAGGCGTTGGATTTTCTCCATACCTGTGGAGAGATTGTTCATACCGGTATCATCTCTAGCCAGCATTTTCCTCGGCGTACGGCATTCTTCATTCACCGCTGACAGATTGCAGATATACACCCAGGGAATATGCTTCTTGGTGTCAACAATAACGATTTATTTCACAAACTCGAACAAGAGGAATTTTCATCCCCGGTGCCTCGCAAGCCAGTCTCACCTTCTCGGACTATCTATCTCTCGCGCCTAATACGACCCAAGGCAGGTCCCATGTTGCTCTCTGACTTTGGGGAGGCCAGAATCGGTTTAGGACCACATGGCGGCGATATCATGCCCTTGGAGTACCGTGCTCCTGAAACATTGCTTTGTGTGGGGTGGAGCTATCCCGTTGATATCTGGAGCGTTGGTCTCACGGTAGGTCTCAATCTAATTATCATAATTGCATCTCTGGTAGTATTACTTACGAACTAACTGTATCCTGATCATAGGCCTGGGATCTCCTGGAGCCAAAAAGACTCTTCACAGCGCGCGACGAAGATGGCAATCTTTATGATGCTGCTCACCTCGCCCAGCTGATTGCTGCTTTTGGGGCCACCACCCGCAGAATTTCTAGCTAAAAGTCCGGAAAGGAGAGCTGACTTTTGGGATGAACATGGTATGTTGACTACTCCAAAGCGTAAATGTGTTAGAAAACAGACTCTAGTAGTGCTCCACTCTCTAATATCGCTGCTAACTGCTGCCATCATAGGGCGATGGTTGGGCCTTGCGTCTATTCCGGATTGTCGGACAATGGAAGCTCTTGAAACCCAATTGGAAGACAAGTCTGGCTTCCTCCGTTTCATCCGTAGAGCTCTGACCTGGATGCCTGAGGAGAGAGCAACAGCTAAAGAGCTCCTGCAAGACCCTTGGCTTACAGGCGAGAAAGCTTAAGATCATGTGCTATGGCGGGCGCCATACTATATTTGCTGTATTCATGAAAGGGTTTTCAGCTACGCTACGTGCTAGCCAATTTTCAATCATTGAAGTTAAAATAAGGACCATTCATGAAGGGATCCGTTGCCAGTACTGACTAAAGTCCCTGTCAAGTACATTGTGTCGTAGCACCGAAGATCAGTGAAATATTTATCTAACTCTGTACTAACTAATCCCTGATACATATTTTTTTTCTCGTGACCATGGAGAGTGTTTTATTGTGGGAAAGGGAGGAAGGAGCCTTGGTCAGACCCTAGTATGTCAGGTACAAGCCCATGTTGATCTGGAGAATCACTTTTTCTTATTTACATCACTGAACACCTGCCTGGTACAATTATACAAGCCCCTAATATCTCTCAGAACATGCCCAGGCATACAAACCCTACTCAATGAAACCAGCTCAACCCTTACCTCAACCCCACCAGGCTCCGTTGTTCCGTCAATCGCATCCTCTAAATACGCAAAAATTGGATATACAGCTTTGAGGGGGCTTTATCCAACATGATGAGATGAATCCCTCGTTTGCTGGGCTCTGGGTCAGGAATGCCGGGGTACATCAGCGCGAGGCAAGACTATGCTGTTTGGACTGTGTGCGGCCTGGGCGCTCATACATTAAATTTATACTTCAGATTATTATGATTCGAACATAACTACTCCTCAACCCAAATGTATGAACCAGATATACGGAACTAAGAAAGGAGAAACTTTTTAGCTTCCAAGTCTCTCTATCAAAGTTGCAGTAGGGACAATTGAATGTACTCGCAACTAATGTCTCTCTTTACAGGCTCCTGTCCGTCAGCAAGAAAGCGACCCACAAAACAGCAACTTTCAAGAGCTCAATCTGTTTGTTGACCGCGTTCGATATGTAGCTTAAGTACGGCTGAGCGGACGGGAAGCCGTGTTCTCCACACCCAATGGTCATATGTACAAGCTGGTAGTTTTCAAAGATATATGAGGCAAATTTAACTATTGTACATTTGCACCCCGCGTAATATCTATTTGTTCATGTTGCTTGGCTCCAGACGGGCTACTGTCTCCTGGCATCTGCTAGGGCAAAATAATTAACATGAAAATGGTGAGAAGGGGAGGGACAAGCAAAAAAAGAATGTTGACGAGAGTGGGATTTGAACCCACGCCCCTTTCGAGACTGGAACCTTACTCCAGCGCCTTAGACCGCTCGGCCATCTCGCCTTTGGTTGTAATTTTGAATCCTTATTTAGTTATATCAAGGATAATAAAAAGCAAAGATTCTTTACCTTCCTTCTAGATGCCCTTCAAGTTGAATGTACACTACTGAGCCAGACTTGAGTGCATTAGCAGGGTAAAAATGGATCTTCGCGTCCTTGCAATGACTGTATGGGCCATTTTAGGCCAGACTTCGTGTTGACCGATAATGAGAATCCTGCAATGGTCCCGTTCCGCGTTTGTGAGATCAGTTGTCGGACTCTATTCAATGCTACCCTTAGCTCAGCTTATTGATATGGGACGATGATGAGGCTGCTGCAGCCCCCACAGTGCTGTTGACCCGGCATCTAAAGCTGAGGCAGTAGTGGATGATTTATTCGGTCTTGCCGAGCCCAGCCTACCAATATGAGGTAGTATTAGATGCAGATGACAAAGTTATTCTTAGAGCAATATACAGGGAGAAGCCCAGATACAATCCAAACATACTGGAGTACGATGCTCAGAAAGAAAAGAAGTAACGCTTCATAGGAAATATGATGGTATAGGAAAGTTCTGAAGCATTTTGTACTCGACAACATGCAATCATCATCTCCCGATAACCTAGTCCGGGTCTGAGATCTATAAGATTAGCCAGCTCTTTATAAGCGATATTATATTACTGAATATTAAATGAGCGCCAATTATGACTGAGGTCAAATGAAGGCTCACGGAAGGACTGATTGAAAGACATCGATTAACTACTTTGTCAGCTTCATACTGGACAGGCTAATATAACAACATATATTCCTTAACGCCACACCAGTGCGCATGGAAGTATTTCATTGGACGGGATAACACCTTGACTGCTCCCGATCAAACACCCTCAAACCATTTATGCTCCAATGCCTGACGCGCCGTGATCCTTTTCCCCGGATCAAAATGTGTCATGGCACATATGAGACTTTTAAAGTCATCATCAACACCATTCCAGAACGCGAATGGCTCACGCGGGGTCTCCTGATTGAATCCGTCCCGAGTCACTTCAAAAACATGAACCCATGGATTGTCACCAAGATGCTTCAAGAATCCATTGAGTCCGTCTTCATCTGCGAAGTAAGAGATCTGGCGCTCGATCACGACAGCGAGGGGATCAACACCCTCTTCCAACTTGTCTTCTTGAACTGCGAAAATGATGCGCTTATGGACGGCGCAGATGCACTAGGCAGCCAATTAGCAGCTGCGCTTAAGAAACTACCAGGTGAGAACTTACAACAAGAGCAAACGAGAAAACATCTGAAGGTTTGTTAACAGGCCCTCTTGCGTGGGCTTCGGGGCTCCTCCAAATCCAGTTTCCTGCCTGTTTCCCGACCATGTCGCACCCTGGGGGGATATGAGCTGCATCTTCCAGATCTCCAAGTTGAACTTGGTCAACAATAATCTCATCATTGCGATTCTGCCAATTGATAAAAATATTGTCTGCTTTTACATCTACAAAGAGTAAGTTGCTGTCCAGTATTCTAAGAAAACAGCAGTCAAAAATACCTGTGTGTACGATATCCTGGTCATGAAGCTCGGCAAGCCCAGTGAGGGCATTCTTGAGGATTCTCCTGATCACCGCAAGAGGCAAGTCCTTCTGGGCAAGAGTTAAGAGATGACCTGTGAAGTGTTCGAAAACAAACATAGACTTGTCAGGGATCGTGTCCACAGCAAGGCGGACATGGCTTGCATTGCCACGTAGGCGATTATTGACTTCTCCAAGATCTTCAAAGTTGACAGGATGTATGTACTTTAATATGAACTTGTGACCATCCGCCCTGAAGGAGGTATAAACATGTAAACATGGGGAAGGCTCGGTGTCTACTCACGAGGCACGATAGACTTGACGCAGTGGAGAAACTTCTTCCTGCAGAACATGTTCGATAGTGTAAATGCGACCAGACAGGCCTGTATACTGTGTAGAAAGCAGAGAGTTGCTTGACATTGTGCTGGTTGTGCGATGGAAAAGAGGCTTTGATCCTGGGATTGATATGCGCTGAAGAGGGTTTGAATACAGTGAGTTTTTACAAAAACGGCTCGCTAGAAGAGCGGGAGACCTTAGTGCCAACATTGGGGCAGAGTGTGAGGTGCAGGAAGTTCTTGGGATTCAATGCTCGGGAAGACACGCATCGCGTTTCCTATTACTCGTACTACTAAGTACGTACTACTGCCTGTACGGGGCAAAGTATCTGGGTTTTGATTGGTTGTTCAATTCACGAGTTACGTCATTTCTCTTATAGTAAGTGTCTCAGGCACCATTATACTAGTACTACTGGCATATAACCTTACAAGCAAAAGCTGCTTGAACCGTTTGAACTGCTTAAAGTGCTTAAACTACTTCTTATCAGGGCGCCAGCAGCTTGCTTTTGGCGTCACGTGGCAGGCTAGTAGTGCCTGAGGCATGCCACGGGACAGCTGCTTGGGGAAGGGGGGGGGGTTGTTTTGTACCATGTCGCTACAATTTGCCACTATCCACGCCCTTTATATGTTTTCTCCTATTTGAGCTGTACTTAGTTATGCCTGTCTCTATACTGGTTCTGCAGATTGTCTAACATGGATGGAATCGTATTAGTTTATGGCTAGAAGCCTTAAACCACGTTTTTGTGTACATGGCTGTCTACAAGTCGCTTCATTTGGCTATACTGAGTACTACTCCAGAAAGATCCGTAATAAGCCCCAGCACTACAAATTGGGGTTCGCAACACTGCATTATGACTATCTCCACAGTCAACCCCAAGGACAGGCAACCCAATGTGCACTTTGAATAGGCTATGTCTCCTTTCACATATTGTAGCTAATTATACAAAGATGAAACCATGAGAGATCGGTAGAAAGGGAGCTGGCCATGGTTTAGGTTACGCAAAGACATTGGAAGGCGCTATGCCCAACCACATGCAGTTGGCAAATCAGGGTAAAAGCCCCCTTACCTATAGCTGAAGGAAAGAAGATTGAGCCTATTTTCTGGGTTGATTGATGGCCAAGGCATCATTCAACGCGGATACTAGTAATATTCTTTGCCTGGCGCTTACTATTTTCGCCAATGAGGCGGATTGATGCTGAGAAAACAGAAGATTGAATAGCGGTGACAAAAGCAGTGCCAGCCTCTGTAAAATATGTACTGAGGCTTCTGGACAAGAAGAGGTGGAAGCATCTCTGTGTTCGAAGACGAGCTGAAAGCACGTTCTGATTATGAAAATGAAGACATTCGTGTTACTATCATCAAATCCGTCACACTTAGACGAACCCCTTCCGACTACCTAACTTCGCATTCCAACCATCACCTGGAGGATTTTTATTATAGCTGGATCTATAATATTTATTTTCAGATAATAAATAAACAAGTTAAGATTATAATATACTAATACTAGTATAGAGAGCAAAATATTTCCAGAAGTAGTAAAAGTCTTATAATAAGCTATATTGTATAATCTATACAAAGATTACATTTTATATGTATATAAACTATATAGGAGGCTTTGTAATATAGCTATATAGTTTTATATTCGTCTCTAGAGATAGCCCCGGCCCCCTAAGCTGAGGAATTTCAGGCAATATCCTATTTGGGAATTAGGATAAACCCTTCTTTCAATCTCAGGCCGAGATTATTCAAGGCCTTGCCCTAATGCAATATGTTATATTACCAGGACTTCAATACCCTGCTGGATTCAATTTCATTCAGATCATCAACCAACTATCTGGCTACTAGGACACCCAGGGGCCAGAAGGCCCAAGAACAGGTTTATCTCCCTGGCAGGTAGCAACAATAATTATTAGAAGACCTGGAGGGCACCGGAGAAGAAGTACAACCGCGACGGGACGCCACCACGGTCAGCTTCAAAGGACCGATTGCAGTGGTTCCACCCACACTGTAAGCGATAGCTAAACAAGGCGCTCTATGACGCTCAAAAGGGATGCTACAGAAAAGCCAAACAGAAAATAACAGAATTAACTGCAAAGCCCTCTCCGAAATCCGCGAAAGTTACATACAAATCTGTAGCCAGATAACAGAAGCCACATAACGAAGCGAGTAATCACCACACGAAAGGCATCCCTACTTACTCTTCTGCTTCTTATACGCAGATTCCTCTACAGCCATCACCTCCTCATCCGAGTCATCAATTATGCGGGAACGACGTAAGCCAGACAGGAACTTAGAACGGCGCAATGTGAGACTACCCGACGCCGGAAAGGGCCCCAAATTACTGCTCGTACCAGTAACCAGGGCAACTTGTCTGCCAGTTGGCCTGGGCGAGGCAGTCGCAGGAACCTTCTGCAAGTTAGATGAGAGGAGCTCAATAGAAGCCGCCAGCCTGGTGGACCTCTCTAGCAGTTGATTGACGGCATCAGTATTATGCGACAGGTGATCGCTAAGCTGATTCATAGCGTCGACGATTTTAGGTAGAGAAACACTCAGGGAGGTCGCCTTATCACGGAGGGTAGAAACAACGGACTCGATGGCAACAGATTCTTCCTTCACAAACTCTCCACCGTTATTCGCCACCATCTTCTCATCGTTGCTCTCGTAAAATGCAGCAGCCCCCGACGTCTGGAGCTGCTTGGCCTCGATAAAGGAGGCGCGCACAAGACCGCCAAGGCTGACAATAGCGCTACAACAGTCACATAGCTGGTCTGATAAAAGCAATAATAGGAACCTACTCAATATCTCTTGGATCAAAGTTCTGGCCGCCCGCATTCGCAAACGCCCGACGAATCGAACACTCATTGCCATGGCCGCGTGCAACGCAGTTCGAACAGGCCCCGTAGTAGAGAGCACGCCCACGAAAGGATGGAGAGACAATGCATACTTCATAGCGAGATTTTGTCTCTACGCACTTGTCGCAGCGCTCGGTGGACTCACAACCGCTCCGATGCAAAACATAGGCACTTTTGTAATGCTTATTGTTAAGCTGTGTCGTAGCTGTGGTACCAGAAGCACGACCACTTCGCACGGTATCCAACAGGCGTACAGCTGTTTTATCCATCACCGACGTCCAGTTCAACCCTGCGACCGTTAGTGGCTGGGTGACCAAAGAGATCAGATACCCACTCTTCTTCATGGCTGCAACCTGAGCCTCACGATCGGCCTCTATCACAGAGAGCGACTCCATATCAGGGAAGTTAACAGCGATGCGCGCTAGCGCACTTAGGAGATCAACCATGGCACCAGTTGAAGTAAACAGTAAGCGGTAGATGACAATAGGCAAATGAAGAAGAGGACAATGGCGGATAGCGATATAAACCGCGACGGGGGCGAAAGGAAGAATGGGAAGGAGGTCAGGAAGTAGACAGAGACGCGTGGGAGGCAGAAAGAGTGAATAGCAGCACCCAGAGAGCTACGCGTCGTCTGAAACACTTCACAGGTTTCCAACGACCAAGGTTCCATGACAACGGTACAGTCAACATAAATGATAGCGGGAACATCACACAACAAGCGACCATCGATTGCGATTCATGGGCCTCCACTTGACTCACTGGTGGTACACTGGGTTTGACTTGACATCTGACATCCAATACCGTGCGGCAAATAGAATACGTCTCTCTGAGATCACCTAGACTAGGGGCTAAATCGTGTAAATCTCTGGCATCACTCAATCAAGACTCGAGGTACTACGGTAACCGAGAGTTATCCTGAGGTATGATTAAAAAAAATAGGCTTTGGAAGGCACCTATGGCCACATAAATAGTCCGAGCATTTCCCGTGTGATGATATGCCTCTTCTTCAAGTAAAAGCCCTTGTTTGGTTAACTGGACTGGATCCATGTTGGCTTGGTATTTATTCCAGTAGCCATATCAACATGGTCGGCATTAGTATGCACAACAAAGGGATTGAGAGAGAGACGAGGGTGAAAGCAAAAAGACAATTGCAAATGTGTACTGCATTCCAGGGAGATTAGGCATCTTAGACGAAAAGATGGTGAACTCAACCTCATCCCAAGCCCACGTCACCAATTGAAGCACGCCTGTGCCTAGGCGAGGCTGAGTATTGTGTTCACTGGTATCGATGCTAATACCAATTCCTCTACAAGCACAATATGGACCGTGAGAACGAGGGGCTTCTGAGTACTTTTAGGTCGTTCCTGCCCTTCCTTTGACAATTTCTATGCTTAAGGTCATCATTGAAGCTGCAAAAAATCGTCTCTAACCAATGTGATGCTCCTCATAGTCCCCGTCCAATTCCAGCCGATTTTCCAACTCAACCTCCACCATATCATCCGCCTCACTGGGCAGATATCGCGGACGATCATACCACCTCCACCTGGGTACGTGATTAAGATCTACCGTATCCACACTCCTCGTCGAAAGAAACCGAAACTTGGCCTTGTGGTACCACACGGCAACGATTTGTTCATCCGGAGCCTGAAATTGCATCTCCAGATTCTCTCTACAATCCCTGGGCCTGTCAACCGAGAGGTTGACTAATTCCCCCAAGCGGCATGACCACACAAGTAAGCCTGCTGATACTGGCGCCGTCAGCTAGCCACCTATCTCTTTCCCCTCCGACCTCTGCATCCAGGACAGTGTGATTTCCTCCGAACTTCTCCTTGTTAAACTGCATCCCTGTACCACTTATCACAGTTATCCAAGTCCTATGTTTTCACTTGGCTTGTAGAGATGTGTGTCGCGACTGTCGTGCTGGTTGATATCCACTTTGAGAGCAGGGCAGTGAGGTCGGAGCCGAACGCATAGGTGTTTCTCAGGGTCTGGCTGTCGGAAGACTGGGTTTGCACTTGTCCACAGAGGCAGGAGAGGGGAATAACTGCTGTGGGAGAGTACTTGGCACAGTTTATAGCGATGTTAGATTGTCTCAGGTGGGTTGTGCTGTCGAGGTTCACGATATACCAGTTCTTGACGTGTTTAGGTGGGGGGTGTAGATATTAGGCTTGAATGAAAGGGTAGAGGTAAAGGGGAAAAGGCTCTTTAAAACAAACATATTCCTCGCGACTT